AATAAATGAAGTAATAATCTTCTTACTACTAATTATTTTATTATTATATTCGACTACCCGAAGTATAATTTAATATTAAATCTATAACCCTATATAGAAGGATTCTAAATATGTAATAATAGACTTAGTTTCTCTAATACCTAAATAATATACCTAAACGAATCTAAACTACCAATCTACAACCATTATTAAACTTGAATACTTCTAGCCCCCTACCTTTACCTTCTTATAAAAAAAGAAGTCGATAATTAATTATAATCTAAAGCCTTTTAAATAATTACGAATTTCTCTACGCACTTAGTATTTTAATTTAGCTTTAGTATATAATTTGTAATATATTATATCTAAACCTTTAAATTGTACGCTATATTTTTATTCTATTACTTTAATTAAAATTTCGGATCTTAAATAGTTAAATCGAAAATATTAGTAAAGGGGCTTACCCTTTTAGGGCTTCCAGTTAATATAATTCATATACCATATAATAAAAAAAGATTTATTAGTAATATTCTATAGAAGGATATATTTTAAAATAAATTACTTATATTTAGAAAGGATATAGTAAATAAGGGAATCTATAAAGTAGGAGTATAGGTAATTATTCTTATAATCCTAATAAATTTATTTATTTTTAAATTATTTTAAAGAAATAAGGTTATAAATTATACTTAGTACTAAAACGATATTAGGGAATTAAAACTCTCTATCTCTATTATCGTCTTAAATTATAACTATAATAATATTATACCCCTTTATAAGAATCTACTTATTTCCTGCCTATATATAATTACTAGTATTTAAAGGAGTAAAGTTTTTAAGGCGATTAACTTTATTAAAAATATATATTATCGTATTTAAATTAAAGATTATAGAATCTCTTAATAAGTATACGGCGTTATATTTCGCTATAAGTATTAAAAAATGATTTTTTACTTACCTAACAACTATAGAATTAATTATTTTAGTCTTTGTCGTCCTGCTACGTTCGGAAATAATTAATAGCCGCTTTAAATATTTTATCCTTTTTTAAATTAGCGTACGTACGCTTTTTAATAGTAGGACTTTCGATTTAATTTTTATAAGCCAACTATAATTTAATATAGTAGTATTTATCCAAATTATAGCCCGGCTACTTATAGAGTTTATATAGGGATTAACGTAGTCGTTTATTCGCTAGTAGGGATAAAGAGGAAGTACGTTTATTTTTATTAATATTCTTCCTAAATTTATTATTTTTATTTATAACTTTTTCCTATCCTTTTACCTCCGGGCTAAAGTTTTATTTATCATTAGGAGTATCCTCTTTAGTAGGCTTACTATTTAATATAATTACGAACGTAATACCTTTAAATAGGAGGGCGCAACCCTTTCCTTAAATAATATTCGTTATTATTACTTTACGAAAAATTTTAATTATAGTACGGAAAAAGATTTTAAAATTAAGATTTCACTCAATTTCCTTATTATATTAAAATTAGTAATTATCTACCCAAGCGGTATAAGGATTTAACCTTATAATTATATAAAATTCTAGAAACTATAGGTTTAGTTTATTTATTCTAGTAATTCTTCTAATAATATAGAAGGCTATAGCCGCCTCCTATTAAAAGGTCCAATTGTACTAATTATAATTAATTCTGCTAGGAGGCTTAAAAATATTAATAAATCTAGTTCGGACGAATTTCTTTACTTTATAGTTGTTAAAAGCGGTAGATTTGCTAAAATTATTATACTACTTATATAGATTAATACGTTTAATAAAGTTAGTTTCCTAATAATTATTTCTAACGGTTTTAAATATCTAGCGACTTAGCATAATCTTTTTAATACCTAAATTAAAAAAAGATGTTAACTTCTATACGCTAATCCGATTTTTTAATTATATAATTACAATAGTCGCGCTTATAATAGAAGCTATAAAATTTAGTAATAATAAATAAAGTAGCCTCCCTATTCTTTTTGGCTTCTTTAGTTTCTTTAGCGGGAATTTCCCCTTAGTAGTTGGCGATATTAGGTTCTATTAGTTCAGTTGGTTAGGGAACGCGGTTGTTTAGATCGATATACTTTTAGAGACCCAAATCCTAGGCTATAGAAATGAAAGTATCTTCCTAAGTAGGCTAATCCCTAGGGCTATTGAGGGCAATGCTGTTAATTTTAGTCGTAGATATTATTAGTAATTGTTTAATCGGTTATCGTTACTAGTAATAGTTTCAACGGTTGAATTAATAAGATTTTTAATTGTAATATTACTGGTAATAATCGATATAGGTTCAACGTAGCTTGATTGTGTGTGTGTGTATAAGACTGGTTCTGCAAACTTAAAGCTCTGGCATCTGGATAAAAATCCCGCATATCCCAGTCCAGCTGGGTACGTGCACGCCCAGTGGATCCCCTGGCCTCTGACAGAGAGAGTGGTGATCAAATCCAACATGCCAAAAATAGAGCGAACCATTCACACACATAAAACCCACCCCAGATGATATCAGTTGCGTTTCAGACTATTCTTTGATCTTTCCACAAAGATGAACACTGTCGCGCCGCGCGCGCGCGCACGCATTCCGCATTCCCCTCCCCTGGGCAGTTCACCCCGGTCCCCCGTTCAGCGTCGTGTCACGACCGACTGAACCCCCTGTTTTGCAGATTCGGTTTCAGGTCGACGAGCGTTTCACTTTCCGCCTTACCTTGTCGGTCTGCCTTGCAACAAAACATATCCCATGGTTTGGGCGCCATGGCTTGCTTGCTTGCCGCCCTATGGAAGCCGCCTGAGGAAAAAAAGGTCAAATATAGCAATCTTAGAGATTGCTTCGCTGCAGAGTTCACAGTTCACAGTTAACAGTTCAATCGGAAATCCAATTTCTACTTGCATGAACACCTACCCTTTCCTACCCTTCCAAAATTTCCTAGATTGTGGGATGCAGGCACGGCAACAAGCAACAAGGCAAGCTGGCAACAAAAAGTCCCTGGGCTGGGGCTGGGGATGGGGAAAGCGGTTCCGTTCCGGGCGCTGGGTTGTTCAACGAATCAGCCAGTCAGATTCTTGATTCTGGATTGGGAAGGGCATCCGAACCGCGAACGGGTTGCTACCACCGCGCTGTCACGCCGTGACGCTGGTTATTCTCATGTTGAATGGAAGCGTGTTGAATGAATGCCATGGCATCCACACCGAACGGACAGCAGACCTTACGGCCTCGGCTTTCCTCACCTTGGCATCTGTCCACACTTCACAACATCGAAACATCACAGTTACAGTACCTCAGTACCTACTCGTCACCCAGAGAACAATGGCAGTGTGCCGAAAAATTCTGTTATGCAGATGTGTGTGTGCCGGTGCCGTGTGTTTCTTTCTTGGTACATACCTACCATAGCACATCACGGACGGGTGTCACTATCCGGGTCCCCTCCGAGATATTCTTTTCGAGTGCCAGTGCGAGACAGACCCCGTTCCGAGCGTTCGGTGGGTGAGGTGAGGTGATCCGATCGATGTTTCGGCTCATGGGTTCGATATCACACGCCGAGGACGCCTAGGCAGACTGCGAAAGTTGCAGCGGTAGAGAGCAGTTCATCACCTGAGAGAAAGAGTAAACATTACTTGGGGCTGGGTCGTGTCGTCGGAATGATATCTCCAAGTCGATCGCTTTCAAGGAAGTCGTTCGGCTTTAGTGCTTCTGGTGACAAGCATTCGCCGAACCAAGAGTGTCAACCATCGACCGACCTGTGACGTCTCACCAATCACCCACCCCTGTCTCGCCAGACCCATCATTCGTCGACTAGACAGGGATTTAAGCGCCCTTACACACAAGAAATCCACCACCCCAACCAATGCCATCATTGCCTTCTCTCTAGCTAACCAATCATGGGTGAGTAGCCCCGTTCTGCACGACACGGTAGACCACGGTAGAGAACGGTAGACAGGGGTTGGGGGCATGGGTTTAAGCGCCGAGCTTGTGTGGAAGTCTGCCAGTGGGAAAGTGAAGTGGTTGGGGTGGTGAAGTGCTGGTGAACTGCCAGAATCGCCTGCCGAATGTCCTGCTGGAAGAAGAAGATTTTCACCCTGTTGAGCGGGAACTACATGATATTATCTCAAGGCTGGGTGGATGAGTTACCGATACCTTCGATGATCGCAGTGTATTCTGGTGATTAGGCTTTCTGCACTGACCTCCAGTTCGTTCAATTTCACAACCCATGCAGGTTATCAATAACACTCGATTTTATCGACATGATGCTAGGTCCTGTTCCCTGTGAATAACCCACGGGATGGTAGTCCTGTTTGGTCATCCGTCGCTGTCAGTAGTTACTAGTAGTTATGTAAGCGCTTTGGGAGAGGCAGGCTGCACTAAACAATGAAAAATATGATCTCTTGTGGTGATCATCGCCCGGTGTGGTACGTACCTTCTACAGGCCTCCAGCATCGCGACCTACCCAGGTCAGCCATGGCCACTTCTTCCCGTTCGCGGGGTAGCAAGCCGTCAACAAACAGTGAGAAAGCAAACGGATCATCCACAGACACGCTGATCAAACATGGAAAAAATATTCTTGTGTTCAAGACCCGACGACATGTGTCGCCCAGGATTCATATTGTAGTGACTATGCAAAAATGGTTTTGGGCTGGATCCAAAAACTCCGAAATGGCCTTGGATCAGGCCCTGACTGTCCTTCATCATCCTCGCGCAAAATCCAAATATTCCTTCCCTATGCACAGAGTCCCTCTAAAAAAAATCGCTGACAAAAAGCCAAGCCAAGACTCCTCCTGTGGTATCGTGGTTCAAGTTCCGACCTGACCGTTCGGACCGCAAAATACAACCCAACTCCCATAGTGGTGGACGCCGCCAGCAACGCCGATAAACTCCGTTTGACTCCTTTGATTTGTGCATCATTCGTAAATGACAGCCCGTAGCTTTGCGCAAGCTGCATCCCCTCTTCATTTTTGGTTCCCCTTCCTGACCGCTCTAAGCGTTGTTGGTTTGTTGATTAATAGGTTGTGATAATCTCTGTAATTGTGCCGCTCCAGGCAGGCTGCTCTGCAATGGTAGTGGTATGGCGATGATCAAGTTGGCGGTGATGGCCAGCACCGTAGATGATTTAGCTATTTTTACGACTTGATAGCTGTGTCGGCGTCAATCTTTCTTCGCTTTCCCTTGGGCGCGGGCGCCATTCGTGGTGTGTAGGTCACTGTTCTTGTAACCACTTCGCGGATGTGGCGTATGCTAGATCGTGATTCCTTTGCGACGGGAACAGAAGTGGGGTTGCTGACAGCAGGAGCATCACATGGCGCAGAACGCTTGAGGCTAGAAACTTCAGCAAATCGCCTCAGCTTTAGCGCCGCTTCCCAGTCGAAAGGCGAACGGACAGATGCCGCACTGAGGGGTGTTCGTGGCGAGTAGAGTGCGGAAGTAGAGATGGAGGGTGATGGAGGGATCTTGGTGCTTGGGAATACTGCAGCGCCGGTGGCTGGAGCTGACATCGGATAGAGCGAGCTATGGGGAGTCGGAGGTTGAGAGATGGTGATAGGTGCCGGTCTGGATTTTTCTTGCTTCTCGTCGCCGACGTTCTCCTTGTCCTCCTTCTTGTCCTCCTTCTCTTCGGCCTCGACCTTGATTTCGGGCGCGGAGCTCACATCGGAGCGAGCTGTTGATGGCGCGCTCTCGATCTGTCCTTCTTTCTCCTTCTCAGAGGCGTCCGTAGTGGCGGAGTCAATCGAAGACTCCGAGTCATTGCTGCTAGTACTGCTGGTGCTGAGGCTGCTAGCGGTGCTCGTCCGGTTAAGAAGCGCCTTTCCTGTTTGCGGTGGCGAGGCAAGACTGGGAGAAACGAGTTGCATGCACTTGAGAAAGTCGAGGTATGCGACTGGTGGTGTAATGGGTGTCTTCTGAAGATCGTGATCCACCTTGAGGGTTGCGCTGAATGGCCCGGCGGAAGGAAGGCCTGCTGAAGGAAGTGCCGATAGAGGATCACGGAAGGCTGATGTTCGCGAGATGGCAGACAGAGGAGTACGATCTGATAGAGCCGAAGGAAGTGTCACAGCGGAGCGAAGCTCGTTTGTTGGTCGGGGGATATTGGGGAAGTTGGCTGTGACCGGAGTCGACAGCTTCAAGACTGGTTTGGTAGACATGTTGATGGCTGATAGGCTGGCGATGAGGAAGGCCTAAGAAGTGATGGTCTTGAGGAATCGTATGGCGTTGTGAGCCACCGGTTGACTTGCCTTTGGGCGATGGAGGAAGAGAGCCGGTAGGTGGGGAGGGGAAAGAGTGCAGGAAACGTGCAGGAGGTGGTGGGCAAACGGTTATATGAAGAGGTTGAGCAAAGTGAGGGCCCCGGAGGCGGTAAAGATGTGAAGGGGTAGGCGATGGACGAGGGTGTGCTTCAGCAGTCGGACTCGAAACAAGCGAAGCTAGAAACAAATCCCCGCGGCAGCAGAAGGTTGAGCACCCCGGCGTGCGTGTGATGCTGGTCTCCCTTGGTGTCCCTGTTCGTTTCCAGAGCAGTGGGTTTGCTCCAGGGTTGGCTCCAGGGTCCCGCGGTTTCTTTTCTTTAGCACTTGGAGCTAGCGGAAGGCAGGCAAGGACTTCAAAGAGTAGTGGTGATTGGCCGGGCCCGTTGTGAAGACCAGGTGGGGTGGTTGAACTAGGCTTTCTAGGGAGGATGGTTTGTTAACTCGAGTCCAGGGAGTTGGTTCGAATCACAGTGACAGACGGACGGGAGGATCAAGGTGAAAAGAGGAGAAGCGGGAAGTGCTATACGCCACCAGCAGCAACTTGTCAAGATATGAGAGGGTTATTGAGAGAAGGAGTGTGAAAGGGAAGAAACAGAGGTGGTGAAGTTGCAGCCAAGCGCGGACCAGCCAGTCAGAGGGGTTCAAAGTGGACGACGGCGGCAAGCGATTTGACAGGGCCTTGAAAAGGCGGCTGTGAATGTGCTGAGATGCTCGCCGTATGCTTTAGTGTGACGCTGGATGCAGCTTACATCCAGAACTCCATGTTTTTTCCTCTGTCCGGTGCGCTGGCAGCCTTCGCTTGGTCTGCTCGGTCTGGATACGTAGGGGAGGCATGTTTGGAGGACGGGATAGGTTGGTGAAGGTATCGCGGAAGGCAAAGAGGATGGAGACTTACACAAGTCCAGTGGATTATCTCGTAGTCCCTTGTAGTCTTCTACGCAGTTGCGCAAAGATCAGGCTCTGTGTGCCTCAAAAAGAAGAAGCGCCCAAGCAAGATCCAATACCACGATCCGACGAGAAAGTCCAGAAGGATACTGGGTGCAAATGGGGCGCCTGGGCTCTTGATCGACTGTTTAAAAAGTGGTGATTCCCAAGGGGAGTTTCCGAGTGGATTGCGAGGCCCGTCAACTTGTTGGTGAATGAAACGCCCGTCGACGAAACGTCTTGGCCCGGGTTTTCCGGTGTCTTTGCCACGAGCTCGGGATGGGAGATGGAGATGGCCAAGTGGTGCTGGCTGCGAGATCGCGTGGTGAATCTTGATGGCGTCCGTCGGTACCTCAACCGCTGAAGGCCCAGGAGCGAAGAGATTGGGTGCCGGCGAGACACGGGATGTGATTGGTGGTGTTGTGCTAGAACCTGCAGCACCAGAGCGCTAAGCTCATATTCTTAGCACAGGGGGTCACCGACGCCGCTAATTGGCCAGGGGCTTACCGCGTGCTAGCGTACCGACAAAAACACCTGAACGTGGAGAAAGATGACCACAAGTGCCCGGAAGTGGAATTTGCACTTCAGCTTGTCTCGTATGTCGAAAATCGATGTCGAGAAAACAGAATGGTCGACAAGCGGAAGATCTCCCGAAATGAAGTTTTTTTTTCCAGGTTATTCAGGTGACTTGTCGTGGCGAAGACGGCAAGGTGCGACTTGAGAAAAATCAAAAGTCTCGGCAGACGAAATGACGGGTCAAGCCAAGGGAGATGAGCTGGTATAAAATTGGAAAGAGCAAAGCTGAAAATCCCGAAAACAAAGATGGGCGACGGAAGGAACCAGTCCAGTCCACCAGGCAGAAGTTATGGTCGAAACGGCAAGGGCAATTTATCAAAACTCCAAGACTCCGAGAAACAGACAAAGAAAACTTGTTGATGTTGGCGATGCTGTTCCCATTCCCGTTCGTCGCCCTTGCACTCTCTTCTATATATGCATCTCTCCCGCGCCACTTAACCGCCAACTAGCCGTCTTGCAAGATAGACGCTTCTTGCTTTCGAAACGCCAGTATCCGTATCAGTATGCAAATTTGGCATTCCCAACCTCGCGGTATTCTCCCCATTCCCCATCTTCTACGTCGTTTAACGGGCCCTTACCGGGAGCGCGCGCCAGCTGGTTTTGACTTGCTATCGCCAAAGACCACAAGTTCATGCCTCCGGTCGTCGAGACGCCTGTTCCAGAAAGCCAAGCGGCTGTCAGTTCGCCCGGTTTGCGGTTGCACCCGTGCTTTATCCCTACACTAGGGAGGCCGCCTTCCCGGGCCTGCTTTGGACGGTTTAGGCCGGATCTTTGTCCAGGACCGACCATCACGGCGCGCGGCTGATGATGCGCTTAAGTTTGCGAGAAAGAAACCATCTACCGGGCCTTCTGTTGGTTGATCTCCCCGGACTTCCGCATCTGGCCCTGGAAGAGAATTCTAAACGCCTTCACATCGATTGGCTGTTGTTAACGACTTCGAACCCGTTATTTGAGCGCGCGCTCAGTACCCAACCCTCCATTTAACTTGCGAGTATACTTACTTTCAAGTCTTCGAGAGCGCGCGCCTGCTGCCATGGCAACGTGCTAGATACTGATGCTCCGTTGTCGAGGCGATTCATACGAGTCGCCAGTATGGATGCTCTTACCGCAGCCTTGGTCATCGCAAGTGCGCAACACCAAGCATCTGGGTAGTGGTCAGGACGGGTGGCCGCCTGAGAAGGCCCGCTCGATACGGCCGCCTATCTGGCTGCCCATATGTCAGTAATACCTAGGATCTCGTCAGCTCCCAGAGATGAAACACCATCGGGGGAGTTCTCAGTGGCCAGTTTCAGGCATCATCGAGCGATGCCTGTCGAAATTCCGGATTTTCTTTTCATTACTTTGTTGATAGCACTGACCGAATGAGACCAAGACAAGACCCTCGGCTCATAATGCTCTATTGCACCTTGGCTTCACGTTGTTTTCATGGTTGCAAGACGCTGTTCGTTTCGTGCTTGCAACTTGCGAAATCAGTTTATTGTCTCGCCGCGACCACATGCTTCCACTACAGTGACAAGACCCAGAGAAAGCATTACAGGCTTGTCGTTTTGATGACACTAAACCATTTCACTGCAATCCGCTTCCATCGACATCGCCGAGACTATGGCAAACCCGCCTCCGTAGCTCTAGTCTTAAACGTAGATATCACATCAGCTGCCCTAATCCGAGTGGATAATTCGAAGCAACACAAAGTGGTAAACAACGAGGACAAACACTTCTCTATTAGACAGGTTTAGTCTAGTCCGGTCCGACTCTCTTATACATATACACAACATGCACAGTCCTTTCCGCTGGTACGAGGCTCTGGAGGCACAGCAGATGGAACTGTTTGACTATCGTATTCAGTCACTAGGTTGGTCATGTTAGGTGAGTTATCGGACGTGGAGGACTGGTACTCTCCAGCTTTGGCAGACAGTTATGTAGTCGCTCGCTCCCTCTCCTCTACTGTTCACAACTCTCATGTTTGTTGTTGTCTTCTGACTGACTTTCGGGTTTGTTGAAGTCGTGGAACGGAGAGGTTGTTTTCCTCACGTCTCTGCCAATAAGCCGTTGCCTGTGTGGGTGGATGTGTGGCGTCCGGCAAGATCTGACCCCCCCCTCCCTCAACTCATCAAATCAGCGTGATGTGATGGTGTCGAATAACTCCCGACTCCCGAGATAGCCGATAGGAAGTCGTGGCGAAGACAGAGCTGTGCAACGGCCAAAGTGTCTCCAAAACTCTCTCGAGATTTTGACGACGCCGTACTCTCATTCTCTACTTGCATCTTCCATGGGGCATACGAAGGATGAGTAGTGACGGGCAGATTCAGACTAACAAGGCTTGAAAGATGCCTTAATCGCCATGAAAACTTCTTAATCCCTAGTTAGTATCTTATCAGACAAGTTTCAGAGTGGACTACCACGCCGGGATCAAACAACAGTGACCCCGTTCGTCGTTAGTACCAGGCAGTTCGTCTTCTGACGTAGAAACTGTGAGCGAAGAGATATCACGATGTAGAGCCATGAGCATCGGACGTCGCGGTCTCTGCCCAGGAAAAGAAAACAAAAGCCATCGCGACTTCCGCTTCCTTCCCCAGGCTCGCGGTCGGAGGGGATACAAGAAGTAGCGATGTGGATGAAGAGCAAGTGGGAAAGAGCGAGCGAGCAGTCAACCTCCTCGGTCGTCCCTGCCTCCCGCTCCCTCTACAGGCGGGTAGAGCACAGGTGAAGAGCCACCGGGAACTCAAAGCCGTTTCCAGCTGTTCAATTTTCCCGGTCATCAACACAGCCATAACCTCCCAGGACAACCGCCGGGCTTTGGGGCTGAGTCATTCGAAGCGATATACATAGAGTTAGAATAGGTAGTTAAGAAGCAACATAACATGGACTGGCCCTCCTCTACATTGAATGAACTCTCCTTCAATATCCGAAATCGCAAATCTTCGGAACCGAGCTATACCAGCACAGCCTAAAGTGCCGGAGACCGGATTCATTTGATGATGATCTCGGAACTCATCAACAGCACGAGTGGAACCGAGTGAGCGTACTTGGCTCATACCAGACGGCTCCGGTCTACCTACTATCAGTCATCCATCATGAACAAATCTCGGCGCCGAAATTGGTAAGGTAGAACCGAATATCACCCGCTGGTACATGTAGTGTCGAGTATTCTAGCTGCCTGTGATTGAGTAGTCATGTTACTGTTCTCAAACTGCTGTTTTGCCCCGTTGTTATGATGTCTTCAACCTCGGGAAATTGTGACAGCTACACTACCTACCTACTTGTACCTACCCACTTGCACTCAAGAATCCCGGGGTAGGACACGGACAGTCGGGACGGAAGAGAAGAAAAGTAAAAGTTACCTAGCGTTTGTGTTGGTAATCCAAGCCGTCTGGTATCCGATTTCCGCGTTTCCGGTATCCGATATCCGATATTTGACTTGAACGGTGACAATGTCTGGTTACTTCTCAATATCTCTTGGGTTCTTGAGCTCTTGGGAAGGTTTTTTTTTTTTTTTTTTTTTTTTTGAAATCACCCAACCAACTGGCCAGGCCAGCCCATCACACCCACCTGGTCCTTTAATCCAATCCTCATTCTTCCTCGGCTTCTTCATCTCCGAGACTCCGAAAGTATAGGCCCTCAAGAAGGACAGGGCATGAAAATGGCCGTCCATCTCCGAGCTTCACTTGTCATCCTTGTTGTTGTTCTTTCCTTCGGCCCTTCTTTCCCCGTCGGATCTATTGTGATATGATGGATGACACTGACGATAACGGCAACAAGGCCGGCCAGGTCAGATTAGATTGATTGCTCAACCTTTTTTCGTTGTACATACACGGTTGCGATCCCCCAAATCCCCACGTGCCGCCCGGCCATTCACGACCCAAGGCGAAGAAAAGACAGAGCTCTCTTTCTGGCGTGGGACTCGTGGACACGTGGCGGTTGGTTCGATATCTTTCTGTATGTTGATTCGACAGTGTGTGATGATGGTTAGCGGTGGTGGCTTGATCACCAGCTGGAGAAGGCACACATGGGAAGAGAAGACACACATGGAAGCATGGTGAACTGAGCCTGATTCAATAGAATAATTGGCGCAAAATAAGTTTGGGGCTGGCGGATATCCAGCACTTTGTTTCTGCCACATTGCACGGATAAGGGTTTTGCACTAGCTAAGCATTTTGGGTTTGTGGTTCACTGGTCAATAAATCTTTTTGTTACTACTCTTTGCAGGACTGCTCAATAACCTGTGAGGCATCATCGTTGTGGGCAAAGCTTGCACCTACAACGTAGCTTTGTGACTCAGCAATATAATTTTTGATCGAGGCGGTGCTATCACTTGAGAAGTACGCAATTAAATCTCTACCGGTAACAGAATAGACACTCGTCTCTAATGAATCGTAGTACTCTTGCCAGTATTGCAGCTCAACGCCAAAATGAAACCGGCTGGCGCTTTAAATTGGAATATCCGTCTTTAAGACACAAAAAGACTGACTGCCTGCCTGATACGGAGAATTCCCAGAGAAGGATTGACACTCGACCAGTGTAGGCGACTAGAGTAATAAACAGGGCGACGGGACGGCTAATAAGCAAGTTCATGAGAAACTCGGTCATGTATGGAAAATGTTCACATTTGTGATGGTCATGTGCAGGGAAATTACCGAGTGTTCATGGGGTATGATATGAACGTAGTTGTTGGTGAAATCTGCCAACGCAGCCAAGACCATGCGCAGAGAGAAGTGGTCCGTAACAAGACGTTAATAAGACTCTTTTTCATCCCCGCCATGGTAGCGACAGCTTCATTGATGTCCAACTATATGCCGGATTGAAGATTCACGAACATTCAAGAACCGATCAAGAGTTGAGGTCTTCTGGGGATATCGATGTGATGAAGCCTCGCGGACCAGGCGCCCCAGAAAGAGAGAGCACAGCCAAGACGTGATGTCTGAAGCGATCAAATTGAGGACCAGTAGCATCGCAGGCCCCCGCAAAGCTCTTCGATCCCTGACGGTATCTCGCTAGAACAGGACTGGGTCATTGCCAATCCTTACGTTTTGGTCACATTGGTCAATCACAACTCCCCTTCGTCCCCCAAAAGAGGTGAATCTTCAGGGTTTCTAGCTCCAGTGGGGGTTGACATGGTGATTTGGTGAACATGGGGAAAGCTCTGGCTGGGGCTCAAAATGAGCAAGCTATCTTGTCTCGTGATCAATGATGAATCCCTGCGGTTGTCACCAACGACGGGATCACCAAAAGTGATGAGTAATATCAAGAAAGGTAGAATGCCCATAGGAAGCAGGGGGAAATATTATGTGTGAGTGACACTTTTGATAGCAAAGATTTGAAGCTTGGGCAAGACGTGTGAATCCGAGGGTGACATGACAAGGAAGATTGACGTTTCGTGAACCGAAAGGAGCAGCTTGTCTATGGGGTACCATGAGGCTCCCGGGCGTCGAATAGCAGAGCTGAAGCTGACTGCTCGTCTACCATTCGCCCGAAAGGTCGAGTTGGGTCGGGGTAGCTCGTTGCGGAATTGAGAACTGGATGATGATAAGTGGATGCAAAGAAGGGAGTCGTGCTTCCATGACGGACGACGTGCACAATTAGCTTCCTGCACTGCACTTGCTGATGAGTGTCTATGAGGATAGTGTCTGATCTGATGTAGGTACGTATATTAGCGCCAGCGGAAACGAGCGGGAACAGCCTCTACACTAGGACAGCCGGGACGACAGGCACACAAGGGGGACGGGGTTAGAGTCTTGCTTGAACTCCGCATAAACTTGAATCGATTGCGTATCATGCGCCTTGTGGCTGGTGTCCTTGGGCATGGAAAGTTCGGTCGACGGTGCAAGTCTGTACACACTGCTGGCTTTTGTCTTTGTCCAACAGTCTTTGGGGGCGTCATGATCAGCCATTGGGCCGCGATATGGGCTGTGATAGCGGCCCGGACTCTGTGGTGGCGGACTGGTCCGTTGCAGGATACACAATAGAAAGTTCCATGTTACCGGACATGACTTTTGTGCGACCACATGGTGAAGGAAGCTGGGCCGAAGGAAGCCTGGAGTATTGTCATTTGTCTCGAGAAAGACGTGATGTTGTTGCACACAGATGAGGTGATGCAGGGTCAGAGAGGGTGTCTCGAGAGGGGTGCACAATCAGTGGAAGTGGAATGCGGAGAAGCCAAGGGATCCTCCCTACCCCCGCCCCACCTCATCGCCGGCAGGCTGAGGACGGGCAAAAGGTGGAGTCGAGCGAGGGCCCGGGCCCCGGAGCCCCATTGTGAATCTCTGGCCGCTAGGGCCGCCAATTCCCGTCGCCTGGCCTTGGTGTTTTGATTCGTTGTTTGAGGTTCTCTTGCCTCTTGTCTTAGAGACGGGATGCTTTGGATGACATGACTGAGAGCTTTGACAGTGACAGTCACCGAGTCAGAGTCAACATTGCACCTCGAAAGGGAACAACCGAGCGAACCACATCAACGACAGCATACTAGTGGGAACCGCGGCCGGCAGTTCCCGAGTCGCGGTAGGTGGTCTTGACGCCGGAGATTTAACAGTCAACAACGTGGATTTGTAGCCAGTAGAATCCATTCCTCGCTACACTTTTGTATCAAACGACCAAAGAGATAGAAACGAGTCCTCCAGACGCTTCAAACAGACACAAGGGACATGCACAGAGCAGCACGGAGAGCCGCAACCCGCAACCTGCAACGAAGGACGAGAATCATCGTCCCCCATCTTTCCGAGCCGCCACCACCGTCGCAACGCAAAGTCCCGAATCCCAGCGCCAAGACCGGTGGGCAACATGGGCGGGAGTCAAGGACAGCGAGGTCTACAAGGACACCTCACACGAAATCGTACAAGAGAAGCGTTTGGATGATACATGGTGTCATCACCTGACTGCGGATCAAAGACATGCGACCCAGCCAGCCAGCCTTGTACCCCGCTATCACCGATATCTCGCTGGTACACGGCTACGGCGACATCAATGTTCTTTGTTGACCGGATTTGCTAATAACACAGCGGACAGCTTCGTTCACAATCCAGTCAGATTCGTTTCCGGCACACGGCACACGGAACACGTAACCCAAAGGGCACCCCCCCGAAACAATGCCGGCTTGCGGCGCAGCGTCGTCTTTTGCGAGGACAGCATCACCATGGCGCGTGCCTCTGTGAGTCCGCAGAGTCAAAGTCAGAGCCTCTGATTCCCATCTTCATCGTTTGCAATATACAGACCACGATATTGCCCGCGGGATGGCAAGAATGGATTTTCCATATCGATCGAGTTTCATACGATGGATGACAGTCTGACAGATGCCACCAAGGCCGGTCAACCGTTGTCCGGCGGGGTCGCGTCGGGGGTTTACGAGGCCACGGGTGGAGCATGATCAGGCCCCAGCGGGCCAGCAGAGTCCCGGTTTCTGGTTTCTGACGTCTGCTGTTGTGGTCCACACCGACATTTCCATTGGGCTGGGGGGTGGAGGCTGGAACTCCCGATGAGATGAGTTGGCCTCGCTGCTTCCTGCATCCCCGGTCCTCTGAGAGGGCGCCTTTGGACTTGGAAACATATTCCATTCTTGCCCAATCGAATGCACTCCGTGGCAAAGCCCAGGGTCAAGCTACCGACCCTGCGCTCATCAATCAACAACCTTTGCCAGATGCTCACAATGACGCCCGTGTTTATGCTAGCTACACTATCAGGACTATCCGGAGGTCCGGAGAGGGGCCCATCATTGTGTTAGCCGCTACCTGGAATGCCATCATCGATGGCTGTTGATCACACGAGAGGCAGGTATCTCCTCAACACCGCACAATCGAACCGCCGCATGAGCGTGGCAAGGCCGCCGGTTCAAACTGTCGAGAGGTATTATGGTCCGCTACGGTGCGACGGAAGCCGTTTCTCCTGACTTTGCAAAAAGCCCGACTTCGTATGTGACGTTGCTCGGACTAAATTTAGGCGGCTTTCGGATGTACCTACAGCTCAACAAAGTTCGCGCGACAGCATGTGTTGTTGTTAGTTCCCGGGGCTGTCAGTCTCATCGGGTGGTGCATCAAGTTGATAGAGGCGTGTATCGATCAAGAAGGCTACTGTAAAACAATCAGCAATTAAGATATGGTTATAGCAACACGGTACCATCGTCTTTGGGCAGTGGTGTTATTTTCATCTTAGTTCTGCAAAACTATAAGCCATTTGTGATCATCGTCGAGGTAGGCAAAGAGTCAGATCGATTTGGACCATGAAAACTCAAAAACAGAGAAGCCGGAGACGCGTTGGATGTTGGACGCGCTATCGTCCAAGCCATGTCCGCGGAGCATGTAGTGCAACCCTGGCGATATGCACCTTTTGGCTATCACTTTTTTTTCTCACCGGGGAAGTTGAACCGTGTGAAGAAAAATCGGGTTCGACACAAACCATCACAGCCTGCTGTGTGCGGCTCTGCCTATCCGACCGATCGTGTCTCGCTAAAACTCCAGCTCAAGGCACCCAACCTCTTCATTCACACTGCGTCACAATCCAGATATCAGACAGATACCAGTCGCTAGTGAGGAGGGGAAAAAAAAGACGGGAAGACAGATCAATAATATGCTCGTTGTTGTTGTTGCATTGATCGCAATGAGATATTGAGGTCCATCATTTTGAGTTTGGTTATTTTGAAGATCCGCACGATCCCCATTCTCGTTTCTTTTCCTTCTTCCATCATTCTGCCGACTCTGAGAGATTCCATCTCCATGCATTACTAGTGTCCATAGTCTCGGTACAGACTGCAGCGCCCTGGCCCCGCACCAAGCACCCAGAACCTTGTGAACACAAAATCGTGCAGCGACACCCCCCGGAGCTGGGCCCCTCACCCGTCGCCCACCGCCCGGCGCCAGCCACTTACTTGTCTTTGGGCTCGCCGCTGGCGGGGCCCCACTCGCCAGCTGATTCATCCAACCAGATTACTAAGTTTAAGAAGTCCGGATGCGCCCTCAAATCATCGTTCGCATTTCCCCTCGTCTCTCCTCCTTCACCTCGCACAACCAATCAGCCCACCAATCATCCACTCCACTGCCCAAGGCTCTCGAGCGAGCAGAACAGGCCAAAAATTCTATCAAATCAACGGCTGCGGCCATCGACTCCTGCACAACCTTTGCAGTCCAATTGGGACTTTTTGAGCAACTCTATTTGACGCGCATTTCGCATTTCCATCGCATCTCATTCGACAAGTCAGCGGTGCCTGCTTAGTCACTCGCTGTCAACCCGTCATTGCTGCCTCGCGTCGCGCAGATTTCGAGATTTCAAGGTCAACCTAGGGTTTTCCAGTTGGCTGTCAGTTGAATCAGTCCCGGCGAATCAGTCTCAGTCGCAAACCAGACATCGGACCCCAAATCCACCCACCGAACCTGCCAAACGGACGGCGTGCAAATTGGAGACGGGAGCATCCGACCAACCACCAACCCAAGGAGACGTCGCTTTAAACTCAACCACTCAGCGGCCACCTTCGCGCGCAAGAGCCACTCACTGCCAGGCTGCCTTATTAGCCTTGTACTTACTTAAAATCGAGGTAAGCCCTGTCATTTCATGTCAATTTCAGGTCATCTCCGCCTTTCATCAATCCATCAATCCATCCAACATCCCAAGCTTCCCGTGCTTGTCGACGATGGTTCAATCCACGCCGGCGCATAAGCTCGTCAAGATGCGGAGAGCTGGCGATAAGGGCATGGCCCGGCTTTATGATGGTCGTGGTCGTCCGAGCAGAACGACAATTGGATGCTTCTGCTCGTTAACTTCCACCACCTAGCCCGGTGCCTGCTTGCAATCATCAGTTCGCCTTTTGCATGTCAATTGCTTTTGGATGAGAACTATCACGATGGCGTCTTCTGTGCCCGATGACGACCAGAGACAGGAGCTGGGGGGCAGCCCAATCTTCCCCTCTGCGAAAGGCAGAGCAGTTGACACGGTCTCCTAATTAGGAGAGGAGCAAGGCTTACTATCGCATTTTGGGACGCGAGTGTTTGAAAAGAGACTGGAGACCAATCTTGGGAAACAACTTATAGGCTGCGACAGTCACACTGACGACGATTTGGGAACAAAGTAGAAACACCAATATCCACTTTGAGTTATCATACCCGCACTGCTTCAGCCAGTCACAACCCGAGCGCAAAGCATCCCAAAGACCCTTCCCGACACGGCAAATCAATTCAGGGCGCAGCGATACTGCGGATCAAGCATCGCGTCTGATTTCAAGACCTATCACCAACGCGAACCTCAACATTGGCCTCATCATTGGCCGTGACAAGGTCCCGTGATAACTTCCGCCTGCGGACTTCAATTGCCTCGGCTGCTTCCTAGCGCTTTTGCAACGTTCCTGGAAACGGGCATTCATATTGTGCGTGAATCTCCAGTTCTCGGGGATTTTGTTCGTACCCAGGACTGCTCAGACTCGGTGCGTCCACAGACGTGCTTCTGAACAGCTTTGTGTAAGTCACAGAGAGACACCCGCTCACCCATTCGCTTGCCTTCCACTTGGGATTCCTCATGCTTCTCCCAAGCGTCACTCCCTTCCCCTCCCATCTTTTGCGGGCTGCACACCATCTTCATCTGAAACGGGAAGCGGCACGTAACAGTACCCTCAACCCGTCATTCGTTAGGGCCCTCCATCTATTTTGATTGTTGGGATGTGCTGGCATTGTTGCCCGGGGAAACCGGCAACTGTTATTTTCAATCACCCTTTCCCTCCATGAGCCACACACCTCATTGTGTCTTTGAAATCTCCTGATAGTGTTGCTGACTTTCTTCCCAAGTATTCTCTGTGTTTATCTGCCAAGGGCAACAGACAAGTGTCGCTTCAACTCGGACGCCGTCAGACTTTCTTACGGTACGTTTGCATTCCTTTCTCTTTTCTTCGGTTTCTGTCATCGAGTTACTCCAGCCCTGTTGAGCTTGCATCGATACACGACATATGGATCCTTCGGTTGCTGGGCCACACATCCACGTAATGGATGTAATCCAGAGAGGCTGTGAAGTCCTAGGCCGAGTGCTTCTTCCCGTGGCCCGGTTAGACGCTGAGGATGTGTCTGCCTTCTTCACCTCGCGATAATGCACGCTTCGCTGTGTCGCGCTCAAAGCTACGCTTCTTTGTCTCGAGGGAACAGGTAGACGAAGCCTACACAAACGCATGCTCCCAACCCGGACGTTGGGACAACGATGGTGCTGAGGTCCAATGACTTCATGGCAGCCTCAACTGAGCTCACTGGTTGAGACAATCCTCTGGATTTGGCACCTCTTCTCCTTCTTCCCCCACCCTCTGGGGTCTTACGGTTCCCTCTTTCGATGCTGCTCTGCCAGGCCAGACGAGGGCGATGGTTGTGTGTGCTGAGCTGGTCGACTAGGGTGGGCCTGGCTCGTGCATATTCCGTCATGCATGCCAGCGCATCAAACTGGTCGGCCCAAGGCGCCAAAAGAAACTTGCCCACCACTGACTCGGCCCAGTCACATCGTCATTGCCCGCTGTTCTCTGTTTTCTTTTTCCGTTTTGGGTTTGCGAATTGCTTTAACTGACACTTAAAACCGGATAGGCCTCTAGAATTACTCGAGACTTTGGGGAACGTATCCACGAAAGCTTGACGTCCCGCACCCGCTCGACGCCAGTGTTCGCTATTCGCTTAGGCGTCATCCCAACTGCAGCGCTACCATCAGCTTTTATCGCTCAGCCCTCTAGGCGTTTTCCGACAGCAAAGCACCCTGCCCTCACGTGGCTTCGCTCACTCAGGCCTCCTCGTCTCGTCTCAAACGGCCCAGGACCGAGCCACCCAGCATTTGCCCCGCGACATCAGCTTGCATATGCCGTGTGCGACCAATAGCAAGCCTTGCCTTGACACTTAATCGACTGCCAACGCATCAACTCCAACAGATTGGGTGCACATCCAGCCCAATCCACAGGTACAAGGTTACTTCTCTTGTACTGCACAGCATCGAGCCCAAAACAGAAGCTTGGTGTTTTTATCTGAGCTGCAGGCCATCCTGGATTTAGTCTGCCTGGTAGCACATCCTGTTACGACCACAGACACAGTTTTCTTGTCAGCATTCCTCTACCCGAGCTCGGTAGCATAGCAGCACTACGCGACATCACTTGTCTTCATCTCGTCAACAACACCAACCTATCGCGCCTGCCGCCAATCATCACGGCTTCAAGTCGGACCCTATTTCAATATGATGGAATACGCCCAATACCAGCCGGCGCAAAACAGCCATTCTAATCCACATATGCAAACGGCCTACTCCAGCTCTGCAGGTGGAAACAGCATCACGTCCCCATCGAGCCAGCATCTACCCCAAACATCGCCAATTCTCCAGACCCAGCAGCATCAGCCCTCGCCGACTCAAGGTCACAGCATGTACCAAACTCAGTACGGCGTGCCCCAGCAGAACATGCACTATGGCATGCCCCTACAGGCTGCAGCTCTGGCTGCCACCGCGGCTGCGTCAGGAACCAACTACCCGAACCCATACATGGCAGCGGATCCGAACTTGCAGCAGTCGCCTAGAATGTCTGGTGTGAACTCTAAGAAGGACGCCAGAGCAGGACCCCGATCTCCGCAGCAAATGAACAGCATACCTCCAGGACAGCGCCGTCTCAGCCAGGTTGCCAGCCCCGGTGTGCCTAATGCGCAAGCGATGCTCAGCCACGCCTCTAGGTCTGCCGTTCCGCCACCGATGACGGCCGCACAGCAAATGCCTCCCCCTCAGTCCCCAGAAATGGCTTCCGGAGCCGTGGAAGAGTCTCCTTTGTATGTCAACGCCAAGCAGTTCCACCGGATCCTGAAGCGCCGAGTAGCTAGGCAAAAGCTTGAGGAGCAATTGCGGTTGACGAATAAGGGACGCAAGCCGTATCTCCACGAGTCGAGACACAATCATGCCATGCGACGCCCTCGTGGTCCTGGTGGCCGTTTTCTGACGGCCGACGAGGTTGCGCAGATGGAGCGGGACAAGACCAACGGGGACGTGAAGCAAGATGGCTCGGAGCAGTCCTCGGTAACAGCGGGATCGAAATCGACTGGAGGAACCAAGAGGAAAGCCGAAAGTAATTCGGGCGGCCCGAACAAGAAGGCGAAGGCCGCTCCCGAAAGTCCAGAGGACGATGACGCTTCGGACTGATGCGGTAGCGTGTACTCGGGAAAAGGAGGGACAATTTATCGAATTCTATACCCAAGTCCAGCTCTCGCTCGAGAGTCGGATCTCATGACGTAATGACACACGGCCATACTTTTATTATCGTCCATACTCTTATGTTTTCGTCGCCTGGGCGCATGAGCAGCATCGAACGAACGGTTGGCGAGGAGTTCGGGGTGGGCGATATGTATGCGCTCGTGCTTGTTGAACTTCAAACTGGGTCGAAACCTTTTTTGCTTACTGCTTTGTAGTAGGTGGTGGTGATGGTCGTGGTGTTTGGCTACGAAGGGAAGCTACTCGTCTCCTAGGCTATACATACTTCCTGCATCAAACTCACGCTGCTGACTCTTTTTGGGAAGGACAACGTTCATTTTCTCTCTTCAACACTGTCATAGCGCGGAGCCTCTTCTCTCGAATTTTTCCCTTTCATCTTTGTCCATATTTCCTGTTACCGGTACTACTACAACTCGCCTCACAGCACTTGCACTACAAAGCGTATATTTCATATGTTCAGGTTGACGAAACGGAATGTTGGGCGGATAGGTGAACTGGACTGGACTGCACGGACGGACGGACGGACGGATGAATGGACGTTGGCGGGCGGCTTCATTGTGTTTTTTGCGAATTTTTATCAGGGTGGGAAAGAGCAAGAACGCGGAACAGGACAGAAGGACAAGACTGCATGAACTGCTTTTGATATTTTTTTTTCTTCTTGTGCTTTATATTTTTGCCATCGAATGTTTCCATACCGGCATTGCGAGACACATCAAATTTGTTTGTTGTTGCATGATTTTGCGCAGCTCGTTCAGAGTCTCTTTGCCCCCGTGCCCTTTTCCACTCGTCTTGTTTGGTTATATCTCCTCTCCTTTTCTTCACGAAAGCTATGACAGCAACTGTCTTGTGTAGGATGAGGTAGAGTTGTTGAAAACGATTAGTGTCGTCTCTGTTGTTAGAGTAGATAGAGGAAAAGTTGTGCTTTTCAAAATATTGGTCGTGACCGTGAAGCCATTCGGACGTTAAGATGCCTGCAATCTGCATGTCGTCCAGACAGCGCTGGCATATTACAACTGCAGCGATATACTATTCGTCAAACTCGCATGCATCGCCATGCCAACACCGACATACCTATCCGCACGTGCGTCGCTTGATACTAAAATCAAATAACTTTCGTGCGCGTGCTTGACGTGCAGTACGATGTCGGTATGTAGGTGATGTTGCTGAGTGTTTGTACAAAATACGTCATGCCTGCCTATGTACGTTCCCGTTTCAGCCTCTATTTATCGTACAGTGAGTAATAATTCACAGACCTCCCACCAAGATCAATTCCTCTCCAGCAAAATCATTTGTCCAAAACATGCCGACCGGAACCCCAAAGAGCCCCAAATCACAATCTAACACTATAACGTTTTCCATAAACCTTCCCGACTCCCGAGTTCCCGACCGCACAAAGACGAAGACGTCCATCCAATCGTACGTATTCCTACCCGTGTGCATCTAGCAACCCTCCCGATTGGTTTCCAATGGGGACCGAACCCCTACCTCTGCCCCAGCTCCCCTACCTGGTCCCTACCTGGCTGGTCCTGGCTGCATGGGATAGGTATGAGATAATGAGGGGTCTTTTCACATGGGTTGAATGGCTTTCGAAGACGAACAGGGGAGCAATCACTCTACATGCCGATTTCGACAAAGCCACAAAGTCGCACATGACAATAGCAGTCAATGCCAGGGGAGCGGACGACCTTGTGAACTTGAAGGGGTTTGGGAACGACCCGCCGGGACGTTGCGGTTTCAAACACTCAAGAGTCAAAACCGGCGATGAAGTGCCCTGAAATAGGTAATCACCGATCGACCATGAGCCATGTGGGCGGTTGATTGGCGAATACACAACCACCCTGCCCCATGATCTCATATCCCTCTTTACATACCCTTCGAGAGATATTGATATTCCGTTCGTTTAGGTATTTGTGATCGCGGAATCAATCGTTCTTCTCCAACCGACCATGGGCGTGCCCGAATCTGAGGACGCTTTGGACGCTGAATGACGAACAGAGAACCGAACATGGATCACAGAACCCTCCCTGTCTCCCTGTGTTACTGAGGACCGAGCGGCAGGCCGGCAGTGGGATTGGTTCGCCAGCCCACCTATCCCGTTCGGATCTTTCGCAAAAGTGTGGAGGTGGGGAACCCTCTTTTCAATGTCATTCATAAACTTTTGACGAGTACGGGTACACGAGAGAGAGAATATAACAAAAAAAAGGACGCCGACTCAACTTCTCTTTTTCTCTCTCTCTCCTTCGGTTCTTCAACAGACCGTCTGACCCTTCTTTCCTTTCTCGACAACGACAGCTCATTACAGCAAACAGCAATGAGAGAAACCATGGCTTCTCTTGGTGGTGACATAGGTAACATATCACTACCAGTTTCGGTAACCCGGACACTAGCAGACCTCAACCTCAACAACAACACCACCAAATCCATCATCACCTCAGTAGCCGTCTTGGCTTGTCTCGCCGCCGTCAGCTATTCCCATCTTTCTTCCTCCTCCCTATCTTCTCAAAAAAAGTCATCCAAATATGACGAGGATGATGATGAGGTGGATAGCAACCCAAACTCCCTCAAATCCCTCCTCCTCTTCTGCTACTCCTGCTTCCTCAAGCCTCACGCAACCGCCGGCGAAACAGGCACCCAGCAAGACGCCCTGGAGTCGTTTTACGGAAGTCAAGCGGGCATTTATGATGCGACGAGAGGGACGCTACTGAAGGGGAGGGAGGATATGCTGGCTCTTGTTGCTGCGCAGTTGAGGTATAGGGCTGGACTTAAAAACCCAATATGGGTAGATGTACTGCCTCCTCATCAAACCCCTACCCGGGAGTTAAGTTCACAAGCAGCTGACCATGGCTCTATCTAATACAGGTCGGTGGAGGCACAGGCTGGAACATCGAAGCCATGGCCAACTTTGTCAACGTCCCGGAGTTCTTCAAGACCGTTTACCTAGTGGACTTCTCGCCTTCGCTTTGCGAGGTAGCTAGGAAGCGGTTTGCCAGGCTGGGGTGGGAGAACGTGAAGGTTGTTTGCACGGATGCTCGCAAGTTTCGACTTGAGGATTATGAGGATGTTGATGAGGAGTCTAGGTCTGAACCGTCCTCGCCTTCTTTGTCGAGTTGGTGGGAGGAGACGACGAAGAAGCCGGGACATGCGGGAGCTGAGTTGATTACTATGTCTTATAGTCTTTCGATGATGGTGAGTTTCTTGATTGAGGACGTTTTGGTGGGGTTTATGCTGACATATGATGGTGATGTAGCCGGATTATTTCTCGATTGTTGACTCTCTTGAGTCACTTTTGGCACCTCACGGCTTGCTTGCCGTCGTGGACTTTTATGCCCAGTCGAAAGTTGACTTCGGTTTTCGCAACTACACGGGTGGTCTCGTGAACCGGCACGTTGGCTATTTTGGGCGGAACTTTTGGCGCTCGTGGTTCGATGCTGACCGGGTGTCTCTTGAGCCTGCTCGTCGAGATTATCTCGAGTACCGGTTCGGGACTGTCCTCACCGTCAACGCCCGCAACAACACTCTGGGGGTCATTCCTTACTACATCTGGCTGGGATGCCACAAGAAGCCGTTTTCTACGTCGAGTCTACCACACGAAATTGTGGAACACATCGATGCCATAGCGACCGAGTCCCCAAGATCATCACCACGTCTAGTGGGCAAACATTCCTCAGCAAGAAATGCGCTGGCCTTCGCAGTCGACCGCACAGCACCAGAGATGCGCTCAAAGGCCTTTAACACGGCCATCGAAAACATATCCGCCAACCTACCTCTCCCCTCCTTCTTCTACCAAAACCATCACTGGAGGATCTACTACGACGACCAGCTCCAAAAGCACGCCCAATTCAACGACGAGTACATCTACGCCTTCACTTGGGAAGACTCGCGCGTCGACAAGGAGCTCCTCAACCTCGGCCCCGACGACGTCGTCCTAGCCATCACCAGCGCCGGCGACAACATCCTCTCCTACCTGATGCAAAGTCCCGCCCGCGTGCACGCCATCGACCTTAACCCAACACAGAACCACCTGCTCGAACTCAAAGTCGCCTCTTTTACCGCTCTCGACTACCCCGACGTCTGGAAGATCTTTGGCGAGGGCAAACACCCCGACTTCCGCTCCCTGCTGATCTCCAAACTCTCCCCCCACCTCTCCAGCCGCGCCTTCCAGTACTGGCTTTCCAACGCACACATCTTCACCAACCCTTCCGGCCGCGGCCTCTACGACACCGGTGGTTCCCGCTACGCTATCCGTTTCTTCCGGTGGATTTCCACACTCTTCTTCTGCCGCTCGGCCGTGCGCCAACTCCTCTCCACTTCGACGCTGAAAGAGCAACGAACCATCTACCAGACCAAAATCCGCCCCTGTCTGCTCAACCGGCTCGTTAACGGCCTGGTCCTCAGCTCCGACGCCTTCCTCTGGTCAGCTTTGGGCGTGCCCAAAAACCAAGTAGCTATGATTGAATCCGACTACCACCGTTCTACTTCCCCCAGCCCCGGCAAACAAAAACCAAGCCGCGCCCAAGCAATCCTAAACTACACAACCTCCACCCTGGACCCCGTCCTCTCCACCTCCCACCTTGCTACCGACAACCCATACTACCTCGTCTGTCTGCTAGGTCACTACACTTCCCAATGCCACCCCGATTACCTCTCTCCTGCTGCGCACTCCATACTTAGCCAACCCCACGCTTTTGATGGTCTACGCATCCACACGGATGAGATACAGGAGGTGTTGGCGAGGTTTAAACCAGGCACGTTAAGCGTCGCGGTGGTGATGGATAGTATGGATTGGTTTGATCCGCCTTCGCCTGAGGAGGAAAAGGAAGGAAAGGGGAAGGCGAGGGAACAGGTAAGGAGGTTGAATAGGGCGTTGAAGGTGGGCGGGAAGGTGTTGTTGAGGAGCGCGGGAGTGGAGCCGTGGTATGTGAAGGTTTTTGTGCAGGAAGGGTTTGAAGCGAGAAGGGTTGGGTGTAGGTCTAAAGAGGGGACGGAGTGTATTGATAGGGTTAATATGTATGCTAGTTGTTGGGTTTTGGAGAAGGTTGAGGGTTTGGAGGAGTTGGATTTTGCATAAGAAGACATCATCATCATAATGAATTGGATAACTTATTTTTCTTCGAGTCGAGAATGATAACATGGATGGCCGTGGAAGCGATCGTGAATCTCTTTGATGATGACTCGACAGAGTGGGCGGGTCAAAAATCTCCATCGAATAAGCGTCTGGAACAAAAGGATGAACGAAATGCCGTTTTCTGTTTGTAGTTCTCTTCAGGTTCGCCAATATGACGAAGAAGGCGGACTTTCAGGAGGGCTTTGCTCTCCAGGGCCCTCGTTCCATCTTCCACAATCCATGATCATCTCCAAACAGCGCTGGGGGACCGTATCTCCTGGACTGTTTATGGCTTTGGACACGGTCGAAGATATACATTCGTTCACGTCCCGTTGTCTGTCTGAGGTTCTTGGGAGCCGAGACAACATCGAGCATGTCGTCGCCCGCTATTTCGCCGCCACCAACACATGGTTCGCAATTGTCGATAGAGTCGAGTTCGAGGCCTTGTTGAAGAACATCTGGATCGCTCCCTCGGCAGAGACGAGTGTCCTCCTCGGCATGAGTCATCACTAGACTCCCACAAAACAACAATCTGAACGGAATGGCGGACAGTATATATCTTTCAGTGAAAACGATGCTTACTGTCGTCAAGACAAAAGTCTGCCTGTCGATACCGCTCATGCAAGCGGAATTGTTGATTGCGATGTATGAGACATCGCACGGGATGCACCAACAAGCGTACATGTCGGTGGGAAGCTGTTGCCAGATGAGTAGGACACTTGGCCGGTGGGATAAGAATTTCTGGAGTGGGCAGCGAAGAGCTGGGATGCCCATAAATCTCCAACTATGTTCAGCTCTGTGGTGGGCAACCGTTTATGTCGACTGGTGAGTGTTTACCCCGGTGGTTGTAGTTTCGAGTTCACTGACCGCCAAGCAGTCTGGTCCAAGCCGGATATCAAGACCACGCCTATCCTTTGCACACCTCTGCGGTACCCCCCAGGATCTCACGGTACCCTTCCCCGAATCGTTTAGACACTCTGGATCCAATGAGACTCTCGGGCCCTGGGATGTGACGATGGGAGATGCTGGCGGTGCAATGTGGTCCGAAGCCCATTCAGCCTACTACCTTAGCAGTGTCTTGCAGCGACTGGCCGACCCTGCTTCTCTTTCGAACGCCGACCGCGATCATTTGTCACACTTGATCATGAACCACACGATCAGTATGTTAGGTAGCGATCGTGCCGCAGTGGTGGGGACCAATTTCATGTATCTTTCTCCGCCTCACCGGCTCCCGATAAAGCCAACTCGTTGTTAAAAGTGGTTCGATGCGATTGAGCCAACATGGCATCCTCCCGAACACAGGCTTGGTCGATACCCGATCTGTTGAAACCATTCGATCGGTGATTGAGTCGATATACACCTCGGCCTTGAATATAGGGCAGTGCGGGCCAAATTATTGCGCCAGTCTTGTAGCACCATGCACACCCGTTGCAGCATACTATGCTGCTAATATGTTGGTGTCTCATGGGGAGAATTGGCTGCAAGACAAAGATTGGTTGCGTAAGGTCGAATGCCTGAAGAGGTATATGATGTTCCGCGGTCAACGGTGGAAGATTTCCGGTGAGTGATTCCCCGATAGACACTGACGAATGATACTGATTGCGATCCTAGAGGTTCATGCCAGCTTGGTCAGCATAGCCCTCCGCGGTCGATTGAGCGGGTACACCGGCTGAAATGGACGCTTGACTCCGTCCCATTTCGTCTGAGCGACTGTCTTGAGATGGAACCTAAGCTGAGCGACGGACACCCGTCGCTTGTCCCTGGGGAGAGGCGACTGAAAGCCGGTACCATACAAAGCAGGCTGTCGGGGCAGTTTTGGTCGCACAATCGGTAGGCGTCAACCGGGGAGTCGAGCAAATGGCATGCTGATTTCTCCGCAGCTTATTACGCGCCACAACCTCTGCTGGATCTCGAAAATCGGGTGATATAGTTCGTGTGCTTCTGGCCGCGACGGAGATTGTATTGAGCGGTTTGCCAAAGATTTGCAAAGGGTTGCACAAGCCATTCAGAATCGGGTTGAAGTGGTTTTGCAGCTGGTTTGATCATCAAGACGGAAGACGTCAGAATCCGTAGCAAAGCAACATTTGAAGGAGTCAGGATCAGTGAAGGCGAAACAGGACGAGCTCATGTTCATAAACATAGAGAATGGGAAAGTAGGATGCACATACCTAGGGGTTGAAAGTGGAATTGGGAAGAAATCAGGTATATAGCTCTCATATGGAAGAAAAAGCTACCTTGCACGCCATGAATAAAGAATGAGATTGTGATGTATTGGCTAGTACCGCCATGTGCTACGTAAGTCCGAGCAGCAGTTGTCGGACTCTTTCGTTGGGGACAAGGCCGTGTGAGATAGGAGTGGTTAGGAGTATGTCGACGCTTATGTGAGCTCAGTAATCTTTACCCTCGCCGTCAAGTGAGGCCGACCTCGGATTGGCGCGTTGGATGCCTGAAGAAATATGCTTTCGCAGTCAAGCATAATTGTGAGAAGGCGATATTGTACGGTGGGGGCTGAATTGTTCGAGATTCGTCCCGCGTTGTGTGCCAGTTTGGGTGAAGCTGGAGTGAAAATATGAGGACCAGTGGGAAACTTGGGCAGAAGAATAACTCGGAGGAGAAGTCTCCATAATGCCGGGCAGGCAAATACCGATGACGCACGAGCAAAGCCATATGTAGTCCATTCGCCCTTTCCTTCTATCAGTCAAACATTTCCATCATTATCGTTAACTGAGAAGGATCTGAGAAGATACTGTACCTTACTCGGCAAGCATCACCCTGTGGTAGCTTCAGTTCCACGTCAAGGAGGAGTGAATGATGTAACTTGGTCAACCGTATCTCTTCTCTTCATCATCTCTTTTCGATTCGTTGTAAGGAAACTACAACGGCCGTACCTGAAACCAACTTGTCAGTGTTGGCTTCCCGCCAGCCCCCAAACCAATATCCAACTGATATGCACAATCCCGTCCAATCCACAGACTTCAATGCGATGTTGAAACCAAGGGAAACCGCACTTGCGCATTTGAATTGCTTCCGTACTAGCAGCCCCCATTCTTTGCCCTCCGACCTCTTTCCGGTGTCACATCTCCCCAGAAATCCGGACCCGTGAACTCTGATCCAATCTAGACCGTCTGCGCACCATGACCCCCTAAACAGCGCAATAAAAAGTAGGCCGCATGAAGACAAAAGAGAAAGGTATATTCTTTTTACGCCGTGTGGTATGACAAAACAGAACTTCTTTCATCCCTTTCTGTTCCTTTTGAAAGGTGCCCTCCCTCACCTATTCCCGTCATTCCGGCCTTTGCTCCATCCAAAAAAAAAGTAGGAGGCCTTAGGAGTTTCGGTAGTTCCCAATGCATATCAAACAACCCTCATCTTTCCAACCGGTCCTCGCAACGAATTTGTCGCAAAGAGTCGCTTAAGCCTTCCAGACGCGCTTGATGGTCTCGGTAAGACCGACATCGGTGGTCTCGAACTCGTAAAGGGCAAGGCCGACGAGGACGGTAGCGGCGTTAAGGCCCCAGGTGAAGAGCTTGCGGGCCTTGGGGACGCGCTTCGAGGGAACGTAGTCGACAACGATGTTGGTGAAGCCAGTGTGGGAGTGGATGAGGATGGTGGCGGCGAGGATGGCGTCCATGGTGGGGTTGAGAGAGCCGGCGGCGAAGGGAGCGACGGTCAGGGGAATGAGACCGGCGGCGACGACACGGTCGAAGGTCCAGTGGTAGGAGCCATGGGAAGGAGAGGTGGGGGGAACCTCAACGGGGTCGTTCACTAGAGGTATATATTAGGCTACTGTGTGCATGCATGTTATATCGCGATGTTGTAGATGCGCTTCTCGCAACCCGGTATGGGGGTTGTTTGGTTCATGACGGGCAAGGAAGCGTTGCGGTTGGGTTGTTATCCGTACCTGTGCCCTCAATGCGCTCTACCCCCCGCAGAGTGTTAGCATATATACCGATCAATGCAGCATGACTTGAAATAGTATCAAGGTCCAAGTGGAAGTGTATGCGATTACGTACGAGGAAGAGGAGGGAGCAAGCTCTTGCGGGAGGTGGTGTGGAAAGCGGCGACACGGAGGCCGGTGGCAGCAACGGACTGCTTGGCCGCAACCTGCTTGAGGAGGGCGGAGGAACGGGCGACGGAAGCCATTGTTTCTGGTGGTTGTGGTGGTGATGGGTGTTGGGTGGTGATGTGGTCGAAACGTCGTGGTGGTGATGGCAGACAACCAATTGGGCTTTCGAGGACGGGAATATCGTCACACGGGTCTCTCGGTTCAGGACAGGATCGTGGGCCGTGGATCGCTAGGAGCCTCTGGGAGTGATGGGACGGACGGGCTCCGGAGTGGAACGGACTGGTGCCGAACTGCGATTCCTGATGTAGCTTATCCCTCGGCAATACTTGGCCAATCGCAGCGCAGAAGATGTCAGCGGCAGCGTGTGCCGGCCATCGCTCGGCGTGGAAAATCCCATTGTTCCCGGCTTGGCCGTAGCTTGGAGATCGGTACGTACCTTGGATCTCGCTGCATTCAGTGGACGGATGCACATGCAATCCAAGGCCCTGTTCCCGTCCCCGCCAAACCCGACGTGCGACGAACACTGACCTCACAACCGGCAGGAACAGGGGTGGCCCAAGCTCCCCTCCGCCTTTCCAGAAATTATTTCGCAGTCGGAGATGCTAGCGCGTAACGATAGGCGCGTTACGTTCAGGCGATAGGACCCATTATTTTTTTCTATGGCGCCGTGGTGCGGCGGTACCTTAATGACTGGCCGAAGCTATCATCATCATTTGTACCCTCCAACACCGGCCGACTGACTACCTCACACTACGCGACCCCGGATCTTCAGCCGGACACACTATCATCTGGGCACCCCGACCAATCTAATACGCCTTTTGGTATCATATCCAAAGCCCTGCAACTGCCCAGCAAGAGACCCAATTAATTCCAGTCGATCGGGTTGTGAATAGAGGGCCGGAATCGGTGCTTCCGGTTGCGCTACGGATTGTGCCAAATTCTCTCTGAGACTTTACACTTATTTTCTCCCTTCGCTCTCTCAACAGCTGGACGATATACAGTCGAATATTACACAAAATGCTGCTTCAGACAAAGGCCCTAATACGCTCCGGCGGGAGTATCGCCAAGTATGCTGCTGCTAACCCATCATGCTTCGTTCTCCAACGAAGAGGACTCAGGCGCAGCTTCGGACCAAAGTACACGGCCAAGATCAACGAGGCCGAGGCAAAGTGGCAAGCGAGGGCAGGGGCGATCAAGGAGGGCAAGAAGCAAAATACCTGGGACTTCTTTGAGGAGAGGGGTTATATCAAGGATACGGCTGGGTAAGCTTAGACACTGTTCCTTCGGTGCGCACAGGAACATGACTTTAACAATCTTCTTCTACCAGCAAAAAAGAGCACATCGCCGAGCTTATGAGGACGAGACGAATCGGCGCATATGTCGGCATCGATCCCACCGCACCATCACTACACGTCGGCCATCTACTCCCCCTGATGCCGCTCTTCTGGATGTACATGGAAGGATACAAAACATTCACCCTCGTTGGCGGCTCGACGGCAAAGATTGGAGACCCGACAGGCAGGCTAAAGAGCAGAGATCAGTTGAGCAGCAGCGATGCGACAATGAACATGACCAAGATTCACTACCAACTAAAGAAGCTGTGGGAGAATGTGGACACTCAGATGCGAGCGCGTGGTTACGAGGCCGATTGGGCACGGACGCGAGGTATCGTCAATAACAATCACTGGTGGAACAAGCAGCCCATGCTCGAGATTCTGAGGAGGGTAGGTCACGCCTTGCGCATCGGCCCCATGCTATCGCGCGATACCGTCAAGAACAAGATGACCCAGGGAGACGGCGTGTCTTTCGCCGAGTTCACCTACCCCATCATGCAGGGTTGGGATTGGTTCGAATTGTTCTACCAGCAGGGAGTTCAGATGCAGATCGGAGGCTCTGATCAGTACGGCAACATCATTTCTGGTCTCGAAATCGTCAAGGCCGCCCGAGAATCCGAGCCCGACCCGGCGGAGCGCAAATATATCGTGCCCAAGACTTCCCTTGACGACTGCGTCGGCTTTACCGTTCCCCTCTTGACGGACTCGTCCGGTGCCAAGTTCGGCAAGAGCGCGGGTAACGCCATTTGGCTTGACCCCTATCAGACCTCCGTCTTCGATTTCTACGGTTACTTCGTCCGCCGGTCCGACCAAGAGGTTGAGAACCTCCTTAAGCTCTTCACCTTTATGCCCACCAGCGAGATCGCCGAGACTATGGAGGAGCACGCCAAGGACCCTAGCCAGCGTGTCGCGCAACGTACCCTTGCTCGCGAGGTTGCCACGCTGGTGCACGGTGAACAGGAGGCCAGTGCCGCTGAGGACCAGCATCGCATGATGTACACCGGCCCCCCCCAAATGACCATTCCCCAAGCTCCTCGTGCCAAGGACGCAGCCACCGGTGGTGATCAGTACCAGACGATCCCAGACAAGCCCGTCACCCTCAACAACGCGCCCCGTATCGACATGATCCTTCCTGAGTCGCTCATCATGGGCAAGTCCATCGGCCGCATCCTCTACGCCGCCGGTCTCGCCAGCAGTGCCACTGAGGGTCACAAGCTCGCGGCTTCCCAGGGCTGCTACGTCGGTGGAGCGCACAGAGCCGGCAGCGACAACGTCACCATGAGCCCGGACCTCGTCTCCTTCATGCCCGTCAAGCTGTGGTTCCCCGGCGAGACCCAGCGCTACCTGATCAACGACAACCTGCTCATTCTCCGCAAGGGCAAGCACAACGTGCGTGTGATCCAGATGGTCAGCGACGCCGAGTATGCTTTGTCGGGCCAGTCGTACCCCGGACAAGCCTTTACTGGCGCGGTCAGGAAGCTGAATGAGATCATGAAGAACCTCAAGGAGAACAAGTTGACCCCTGAACAGGCTAAGGATGCCGTGAACGAGTTGCAGAGGAGCAAGCAGGAGAAGCAGCAGGGCCAGCAGATCGTCTTTCCCGAAGAGAAGAGCAGGCAAAAGAAGGATATGGAGATCAAGCTCAAGCAGGAGATGGACGCGACGATAAAGACGATTGATAGCATGATTGGCAAGAACCCCTCGGGGCGGAGAGTCGAGGTGAAGAAGGAGAACAAGGACGGCAACGATCCGTATAAGTGGTAGAGGGTGTGTAGGAAGCTATGTGCAGAGTGGAGTGGGACAGAGAAAAGGAGTAAAGGTTGGATTGGTTGGGCAAAAGCGTTACTCCCTGTACATATCTTGTAAGATAAAAGCATGAGAATACCCCATTTTTGGACATTATAGTAAAGACCGTGGAGCTTCGCGCATAGGGCGGTCATTCAAAAGCGATGATCCTATTCTCAGAAACATTCTCCGTTGACAATGGTTTCATCTAATAAACGGACAGTGAGATTTCATCCCTTGGCCTTCCGATGCTGATGTTGAAAAGGGGCATGTTGTTGAGTGTCCGTAAATAGGGTTAGGGTTATACATGCGGCATGCACTAGCAGCCATTGACGTCTCAGCACCAGAGGCACCTTTCCCAAAACAATCACAAAAGGTGACAACTTCATTCAAAACAACCATAGCGTCGATTACCGTGCTCCCGTCGTTTTGCCTTCTAAAAAGCGTTTCATTATTATTTCGAACGATTAATCTGTCTTATTTCGGATTTGAATGGGATAATTGCGCAACTTGACAGAACCAATCCGATAGAAATGAGCGCCGGCAACGGACGAGACTTCATTCTCGTCTCAGCATAAAGACCAAAACAGCTTCTCACAACACCGAAAAGACACTGGATTCCAACAACACATTCTTGCACCATGATTCAAGCAATCTTCTATGCTCGATTCTTTCCAAAAGAAGGTGTGTGTAGCCTGCCTTTACCATGACTTATCAACATCATCTGTCCATCCCTCTGTTCATCGAGTCTGGTCATGATGGCCCAAGACGAAGTGTAGTGAATCTCAGCTAACCACTTCCTTACATTAGGAACCAAGATCGTCGCGCAAAGTCCACCAGGCTCAATCGTGCCAGTTCCGCTTCCAGAGGGCACCAATGGTCCCCTCAACAGGAAGCCATGTCTCTTCGACTTCAGCGTACTCCAGGAGTACATCATCCCGCGCAAGGCCTTCTGCAACCGCTTCATCACCGTCAACGACCCGGACGGCAAGTACGTCATCCTGGGATACCCCGTCTCCATTCCGGACCCGCGGTACGACCGAAACGAGTTCATCTTCAACTTTGGGCTCGTCATCAGCTGCGACGTGGTGGACCAGATCCCCTATGAGCGTGTCGTGAGGAGGCTGGCGGCCACCTTTGCCGAAATGGAGAAGCAGGACGGCTACCTGAGCCAGGACGCGGCTACGAGGGGCGGAGCGGTCGCGGTCCATGGATATGGCAATGGCGGTGGCCGCTGGGTGGATGGAGACGGGAATGAGATGGTGAGTATGCGGAGGCCGATAGAATCGTTGCTGGAGATTGTGAAGGAGGATCTGAATAACTATGGAGAGTGCATGATTCCCATTGGTATGTTTCCATATCGCTATCCCCCTCCATCACTCCGTTTCTCATACCATACTGACTTATCTCAATTACAGACGACGCCAACACAATCAACATGAAACTCTTCCCCCACCACGTCAACCCCCCCGAAGTCAAAGGCTGGCACGTCCCCGTCGCCAAGATGAAGTTCGCCGACGTCGTCAACCCAACCTGGGACCTAACCCTCCAGCGCGTCGTTGCCCACATCGACGGGGTCTCGGACGTGCGTCGCATCGCCCTCGCCTCCGGCGTCTCCCTCGAGCTGACCCAGCTCGCCCTCCGCCACCTGCTCTACTACGACACTATCCTGCTCCTGGACATGTTCTTTTTCGGCGCGTGCTACGCCCCTCGCCCGGGCATCCACGACTTCATCGCCAACGTAGGCGGGATGGTCGACGAATGCGCCAACTACGTGTGCGTCGGACCCATCGATCCATCCCCCGGCAGCAACAGCAACAGCACCGGCACCGGCACCGGACCTTCTTCTTCCTCCGATAACCACCACCGCCTCCGTTCCGTATCAGGAAGCACCACCTTCCACAACCACAACCCCTCCAACCTCTCCACCTCAGCCAGTACCCGCCACAGCCACCTCTCCCCCAGCGGTCTCGGTCCAGGGGGATCCGACCGCGATCCAAGCCCTTACGCCCAACACCATCTCTCCCCCGTGCACGAACGAAAACCTTCCACCTCCCCCCGCAATATCAACCCCCACACCTCTTCATCATCACCCCCTCCCACCAACAAAGTGCCACCACCAAACGGCTACCGCATATCCAACTACATGCTAATCCGCCTAATTACCACCTTCTGCGTCGGCAAGACCGTAGCCGAATGGCTGAAAGGGCACATGGACTCCGGCTTCGACGTGCTTCGCTACGTGGACGTGCGCCGCTTAGTCCAGTTCGGCGTCATCAAGGGGTGTTTGTACAGGGTGCACAAGTATGTTATCTCAAAACAGTATTTGGCCGCGCTGGCTACGGGGTTAGCTAGGCCTGTTTCGCCTTCTGCAACCAACAATACCAATGGGAGAGAAAAGGAAAGGGAAGGGGGGAGGGGAGAACGGGAGGATAATAAAGTGGCGGTTCCGGGGGGACATTATGATACTTACCGTGAACCTGGGAGTCATGGTCATGGTCATGGGGGTAAGGGAGCCAACAAAAAGATGGCGATGATGATGAAGGCTAGTGGGGATCCGTTGCAAAAGTATATGGATGGACGACATTGTTTTGATCAGATCATGACTGAGAGGAACATGACGGATGCGGAGATTATGGATAAGTTGAGGAATTTCCCGGTGCCGGCGGGGGATTTGACGGTGCTTTATCGGTAGCGATGGACTTGGGACTTAGCCTTGATATGCAACTTCACTTATAGAGAAGATAGTGTTGTTGATTCAAGCAAGAGGGGATATGTTTGATTGAGCTCGCTAAACTGTAAATATGTAAACCCTCCATACGCGGACACCCGGCAGGTGGGTTTTGTGTAGGCCTCCTTCTTTGTGCTGAACTGCCTATCTTCCTCCTCAGCAACCATTATCGCTAGATATTTACTTATAACAACATCTCTGGCACGGCCCGACAAAGACCTTACCAGCAGATGACACTGCACTCCTCCGACATCCTCCAAGCCTCTGTCTCCTCGACATGCTGTTCATTGTGAATACCGCCGTCTCCTTCAGGAACAGCAGATAACTGCCAATCTCCGTTCCACATCTCTGCACCTATCTCCGCACCAGCTACAGGCGAGATTCAAACTAAGAACCGCCCAGCAAGTGCTCGATAGCACCTTGTACGCTACCGCCGCTTCGGCGCAGAGCAGCAACGTTCCGATCAAAATCGAAGAAGCCCATGTCGTTGAGTTGGCGTAGCTGCTCAGCATACCTCTCCTCCGGCGGCCTGTTGTCAGGGGGAGCAGCGGGACTTGCACCAAAACCACCCAAACCACCGCCACCAAATGCCTGCATCATCTGCTGCAAGGCCTCAGGCGAGATAGGGGGCAGACCAAAAGGGTTCGCGGCACCGCCCTGACCAGGCTGACCAGCACCTCCGAGCGCTCCGAACAGAGATGCCAACGGGTCTGCTTGCTGCCCAGATCCCGCAGTAGCGCCGGCAGCCGGAGCAGATGCGGCATCTCCGCTCCTGGCACTCTCGGTCGAAGCTCCAGTAGGCGCAGGCGAAGCGCCCGCGGGGTTTCCAAAGAGCGCGGCAAAGGGATTACCTGCTGGGGGAGCACCCGCCGGAGGAACACCAAAGGGAAGGAACATGGCGAACGGGTTCTGCGCATCGGCATTCGCGTTGTTATTACCGGCACCGGTCGCCGCGTTCGGAGTGTTGTCCGTTACCCCGGGCGCTGGAAAGGCGTTGGCGCCTCCGCCCATCATCCTGCGCATGCGTGCCGCCATGCGAATTGCCTCCGGGTTCGTCATCATGTTGCGCATCATCGGAGAGTTGAGCAGCTCGCGAGCGCGATCAGCGGGCATGTTGGCCAACATCGGGTTGGAGGCAATCATCTGGTCAATAACGGCGGGGTTGTTGAACGCCTCGGCCATGGCCTGGGCCATCGCTGGGTTCGAAAGCATGTTCGCGATATCGTCTTCACTAGGGGGCGCGCCCATCTGTAAAACATCATTAGTAAACAGATATGTAAAGGGTCAAGAGGGAGAGGTAGGGGTGGCTTACTCCTCCGTCCGGCCCAAACAAGTCTCGGCTTGGTAGCGGCACTTGACCGGCAAAGCGAGCACCCGTGAGCCCAGCCAAGAGGTTATTCGAGGGAGTACCGGCAGCCATGTTCTGAGGTATCGCGGGCTGAGCGGGTGTCGAGGTTGAGCCACTGCTGGCTGTCGCGGCGCTGGCTGGACGCTTGACCATGTGCACTGTGTTCATGTGCTTGATCTTGTAGAAACTAAGAACCTCATCGTCCTTCATGACCTTTCCGGAGTATATTAGGCGCTGCTGCTCCGGTGAGATGTTCTCGTATTCCTCCCCCGCCAAAAGGGTCTTGAGCTGAAGGACGGTCGCGGACTCGGCGATGGTAACTGTGTGGTTCTTGTCGCCTGAGCATTTGACCTTGAAGGTAATCTGGCTATCGCCGCCAGTATTTGAAGCTTCAGCCATGATTTCTGTCGGCTTGCGATTCGGGGATTAGACTCGGTTGATGGCGGTCGTGGATGATGACGTTGGTCTCAGGGGAGCTCCGATCGCCCCTCGTTCAAGTTCAGCGCTTCGTGATTACGGTATCTGAAAACTTGCTGCAAAGACGTTCGTATGGAGAAACAATAGCTTCAAAGACTGACAAAAGGCGAGAAATGGTGATGCTAAAAGGAAGTCTTGTTGGGAAAGTGGTTCTGTTGTTGTAATGTTGGTTGTTCACAGGCGGAGGCCGATAAGCGCTGCCGCCAACAGTGGCAGGTGGCATCATGGCATCAAGAGCCCATTCACGGCAGGCAGCAGACCCCACTACAAGCAATCCCTATGTGTGATTGGTCAGCAATGGTTTGGCCACCGAGGTTCTTGCCTTTTTGAGCTTCACTTCTTCGTCCAGCACTGCCCAACCCTAACCCTAAGAAATGCATGTTACTTTAGCTTCCCCACAGGGCCGCGCTGGACTCTCTTTCTTTCAACTGCCATCTCCCCCAGCGCAGTATGATCAGAGTATCGATCACGATGTCCTACCCGAACGCCGCAATACATGATACGACGATGCCTCACGGTCGCGACTTCTGCGTGTCCCAGTGGTGAACCATCTTGTCAGTTCAGTCAGCTGCGACTCTCCTGCTCTCAACACCCATCGGCTTCTTCGAGCTTCTACCAGGTTCTTGGCATCCACATGACACCGTTCTCCTATCTTATCAGCTTGTCTGCTTGTCTAGTCGCTTTGTTGTCGCATGTATGTGGTAACAGTGTACTTTGAATTAGCTACTTTCTTTTAGCCACATGGAGGTACCTTCTAAACTGACTGACAAGGGGGGGATCATCTCTTGAAAACCTCTTCTCTGATTTTGAACAAACTTTCTTCAGTTGGCAGACACTCCATCTCTTCCCACTGCTTACATTCTTATTCCGGCTGATGAAAGAAATCCAAAGCGTCAAACATCTCACACGTACTCCCTTTGATGCGCAATCAGCTTGTTTAAAGGTTCAGTGACCCTCAGCAGACAGCCGATTTGGCAGGGATAATCCTTCGTTGAGGTCTTTCGTTGAACCTGCGGACATGATCGCATTTGCAAACAATTCACATCTTCGATTGATCACTACCGTTTCTTGTTATGGCAGCATTTTAGGACTGTCGGGTCAACCTCGGCGGACTAAGAACTGAACAAAATAAGACAGGTATGTCCATCCCAAAGTTCATGGTCCTTGTGGACCATGCCAGGATACTCCAGGTAAGTGTATCGATGACATTGAGCACCTGATCTTTCTAACACTGCTTTAGGACATACCCCCTAGGCAGTTCCTGTTCTCCTTGCTGCGGCCCAAGCAAGGATACGACATGCTTAAGCGACCATTGTCTTCCATGGCTCTTTGCGATCCTGGAATCATTACGCTATTATAAACTGTCCGTCAATGCGAGCTGTCGGCGCATCAGCAGCGAGCGCCACCACGTCCATGAGGGCTCTTCTCCGTTAGTCCTTCTGAAGTGGATCCGGCGTGGGCGTGAAGAGGAGCTCAGCGCTTCCCCAAGAGATGGCCCGTGAAGATGGTGTTACGCGTGCGACGCCGGTCATGTGGGCTGTTGAATACGGGATTCAGCGGACAGGCGCTTCTTGGTTCGATCTCGGATCTCGTGGAATGCAGTCTTCCGGTTGTGGACCTCCAGAAACCCGATCTCGGGCTTCCTTAAGGGGAAGGTCGTGATTCTGCGTTGGACCAAAATCAGGGAGCCTTATCGACGGAAAGGGCTAGGATTTTAGGGATCTATCGAACCCCCCCTGCTCGTTAGCAAGATCTCAAACTGTAGTCTTTTGCGGCGTGGATGGGTATGTTTGTCCTGTCTTCAGCCGAAGTGCTATCAGGCTCGCAGCGAAGGCCATTTTGAGCGGGATGCATAGCCAAATGGGCTGGAGGGAAAAGTTGGGACGGCTTCTCACTTACAGGTCTGCAATGGTACGTTCCTACCCGTTGCATTAATGCGGAACCCGCGTGGAGAAGATGCTCCTTCGTGTACGGCACGTCTTGCTTGTATGACCAGACGTTGTCGACAACAAGGACAAAAAAGAGCGCTGCTTGAATTCCAAGCGAAGCAACGTGGAAGGTTCCGCCCGCTGCATGTCTTTCAGCTGCAGATGGTCTTTTTCCATGCCGGCAAGCCACATGAGAAATTGGACACAACAGGAGTTATCATATGGACGCACGAGGCACTCTTCCAGGACTCCTGCTCTTGAAGTTCTGTGAGATCCACTCACGGTTTCGGGCAGGGCGCATCGGAGAAATACCGACCAGCTAGAGAAGAGCTTGCCATGGCACGACTGGCGGTTGTGCAACTGGAGGTGCAGCATCAAGTACCAAGACGTCGCGTGCAACTTTTTTCTCCGTATGTTGCTGCACTGACTGAAGGAAGACATGACAGCTCCTCACGGTCGAGGCTAGACAGCCGGACATCAAGCCACTTTGGGTGGTTCCTGGACACCGGCGGGTGTGCTTAAAATTGTTGAGTTGGCTGCATGATGCGTCCTCTAGTGACCCAAGAAGTGGCCAGGCACGAACGGGATGGAATCCAGCGATGCTGTCAGTATCCAATACTTGTGTTGAATTGGACATCAACAGCAGCCTGGTGTAAGTGACTCGGGTTTTTGGAGCGGCGTGGAACACGTCACAACATGGCGAGGATACGATGTCGTGGGGGGCGCAAAAAGAAAGAAATCGGAGGTTAAGGCGTTGAGACCGGAGTGTCGGACACGTAGTGAGGCTTTGTGTTTGTTGTGTCGAGGTAGCCCGGTTGAGGTTGAGGTTGAGGTTGAGGTTCATGATGTCCTGCCCCCTGACGTGGTAGAAATTCAGGAACAGAAGCCCAATTGGAGCTGGCCAGCCGGAGTGGCAGGGTAGGTTAGGTACGCTATCAGCTGTACCCTAACAAAATCCTCAGTGACGACAGGGGCTTTTACTGCCCAGTGATGACTAATTTGGAAGGGTCTCTCAGGAACTGCCATGTGGAAGACACGGCTTGGGCTGTGTGTTTTAGGACGTTACATCATTCCAAATCGGGCTTCCTCGTCATCTTTCAACGGGCAGCAAAACGTTAAAAATTTCTGGAAACAGCATCGCAATCGAATTCGGGCAGATACCCTACATCAGCTCAGCCTCCTCTGTTGGGTGTCTCACCTCAAAATAATCCGTTGTCGAGACATTGCACAACGGCCAGGAACGTGGTAACGAGACAGGGCAGAGAGGTACCAGTGGCAGTAAGCAACAATGTGGAAAATAAGGGTAGGCGCATTTGACAAACTCACCCCCCTGACCCTGTTCGTGACCTTTGTGTTGTTCACTCCTTCCACTGCTAGGAATTGAACGGATGCCGTCGCAGTCACGGCCTCGCTCCTGCCCTTTCAAGGCCATAGCCAAGCCACTCACCTTGACAGCACAGCTTGCGGTTTCCAATTTCAGTTCTCCATCTTGGGGCGGCGGGGGAGACTGGCCTGAGTTTCCAACTTCCCCGCCCCGATGAAGTCTCTTCACTTCAACCTCATCCACAGGTCTCACTCAACGGCTTCCACTTCGCTTCATTCAAATCAGATCCATCTTCCAACTTCCCCACGATGGCCGTGGAGCACAATCTTCCCAACCGCATAATCCCAGCTAATAGATCGACAATCGACAGCCAGGTTTGAGAATAGTCGCAGGACGATGCCGTAAAACTTCCGAAAGCGAAAACCCCTTCTACGAGGCGACCAGTCACTAGCGCCCTCGGTTGTCGACCGGCCACCTCGTTTCTTCGGAATCTTTGTCCATCCACACCTCACGCACACCATGTGCGAGCCAGCCGGGTGCCCCAGCTCATGGACCCTTGAGTTTCCGAGATAATGGGCGGTCCACCATCTCTGGGTCTCGGGAGAGCCCCTCAGGTCTCTCCAGAAACCTCGCTTTTTTCCTGCTGGCGAGTGCTACATCTGGGGGTGGATAGACCGGTACCAACCTGTGGTGGGTTCCCCGGAGAATAGGCCGAAGTTTGTCATTTGCGAGGATGACCATGGCACTGAGGGTAAATACCATATGCCCCTGTTAAGCACAATCGAAGTTGGAAATTTGTTGGGCGGAAATCACCACCAGAGAGCTTAAGTCTTCAACCTGCGGAAAAGTAGACTCGTGTAGAGCCCTCCAGACCTGACTCCAGGTCCTCCAAACTGAGGCCCAATAGCCGAGTCAAGGCAGATTATCCCAATGCCACAGGTCGAGGATTTATTGACAGTAAAAATGGCATAAAATTGGACGGGGAAAGTCAGCCCTAGGAAATCTTCGCTACAACCCAACCACCACAAAAGATTCCGATCACCGACTCCTACATCTCATTGGAATCTCCCGTGTTAACCGCCCGGATTCTCGTTACATTTCTCCCACTCTTTTTGACGTGCTTCACTGGTCTTGTGAATACGCAGCGGTGCATCTCTGGCCTGCCCATAGAGGTACCGCTTATCCTTTCCTTTCCTCAATACACCCTCTCCCTCGTTGACACACCCTCGCAGACAACGTCATGTCATGCAGCAACTAGGGTTTGCGAATTCCGATCTTTGAGCCAATTCGGGTATCCGCGTTGCTCCACTGCCATGGGCAAGTTGCCTGGTTTGCTCACCGTCCCAAGAACCCCAAGGTCTGGGAACCAGTTGTCCCATCAAAAGAAGGGTAGCCATATAGACGCACGTCAAGGCAATCTGCCACTCTTCTTTCGTCCTTGCTGCCCGACCAGCAGCACCTCAAACACATCGGTCCAACAAAAATGAGCTGGCACAAGCCTCATTCATCAAGTCTCCGGTACTTCTTCCTTAGTTCCCCTATCCATAAATGAGCTCCATGATCGTGTCCGCTTCTCCATGTTTTGAGGGTTCTCCATCAGTCTCCACCATCATCTCCTGCTCCAGCCCTAAATCGCCACCTGGTCTCCATCATCATCACGCTTAGAAGAGTCCACCTTGGCCATGAGCTTCCCCTCCGTTTCTCGCAAGTCGCGCATCACAAGCGCGGCCAACGTTCTCTACAACAATGCCGTATACTGGCCGAATCACAGCGTGTACCGGGGTGACACTCCTGCTTCACTCAACTACGGATGCATTAACCGTGTTTACTATGCCTTTGCCAACATCATGCCAGATGGAGGGGTGTTTGTAAGTTTGTTCCGACGCCATCTTCCATTGTTAAGCACTTCAGCTGACTTGTTCCGGTAGCTCAGCGATGAGTGGGCAGATGCCACAGCGTCTTGTGACGGTGTCCAGGGGGCTCTCGGGTCCTTGATGCATCTCAAGCAGAAATATCCCCATCTGCAAGTGGTCTTATCCATTGGGGGCGGCGCTTCCAGTGAGACATTCACACTGGTGGCTTCTAGCGCCATCCTCCGTGACAACTTTGCACAGTCCGCTCGCGGCCTGGTGGAAGCATCCGGCTTGGATGGGATAGACAGTATGGCTCCTTCTCCTTCTCCTCATCTCTCCGCGCCCAGCACCGTAGCCAATGACCACGTACGCGTGAGGAGGCCCAATCAGTCTTGCCTCGCCACACAAGTACAAATCCCCAATGATCTTGTTGAGATGAGTGTTTGACTGACAGCACCAGTTGTATGGGACTATCCCTGCTCCCCGCAACAGGGAAGCGACTTCGTATCTTTACTGGCCGCGATTCGCATCCACCTTCCCGAGGACCGTTACCTGCTCACCGCTGCTCTCCCTGGGGCCAAGCCCATCTTGCAGAATATCAATCTGCGGCAGGCAGCTGAATACTTGGACTCCATTAACCTGATGGCGTATGATTACTTCGGTCCTTGGTCACACAGGAGCGGGCATCACTGCCAGCTTTACGCAATGAACAAGGATGAAGCATCAGGGGCGTCGAGTGTGCAATATCTGATGGCTTCTGGTGTTCCGGGCAAGAAAATCTTGTTTGGGATCCCCCTCTTTGGCCGCAGTTTTCTCCACGCGAGCGGCTCAGGCCACAAGTTCCAGGGTGCCGGGGGCGGCGACGATGGATCCTTCGAGTATTGTCAGCTACCACGACGAGGAACGAAGGAACAAGTTGACAAGCGGGCCGTTGCCGCCCAGTGTGTGGGCGGAGACGGTGGGTTCGTCACTTACGATAATCCGGATACAGTGAAGGCCAAGGCCACGTTTTGCAAGCAAAAGGGACTCGGTGTAAGTTGCTCCCACATTTCCCGATGTTTTATTGGCCACTGCTTCCACAGAGTACCATACTTTTCCCTCCGAGACACTCAGCTTGACGGGCCGTTCTCTGATCGAAAAGCAAATCGCTGATGCTATTCTCATCCAGGGTCTCTTTTACTCGAGCGCACCATCGGATGTTAAAGACAGTAAACGGAGCTTAATCACGGCGGGTTTCCGAACACTGCATAGCTCTTGAGTGTCATGACAGCAACGTGAGCTGAAACACAAACAGCCACTGTAGTCTAGAGCGCCCTGCCCGCTAACGTGGTCGTCCCGAGGCCGTTCAGCGAAGTGTGGCTGACATCTGTCATTGGACGCCGTTTCGGTTGGCGTCTCTGCATGCATGTCTCTACCACGAATGACACCTTGGTACCTTTTTGGGCATCGGACTCGTGGCGCTCGATTCTTTGCGTAACACTAAGTTCGCCCCTTGATGAATGGAGCGTTGGAGATCATCGGCTCAAAAGGACAACCCTTGTAACGGGTACACAGCTTTTCTTTCTTTTGTCTTTCAGAGATACCATGTTCGCGTTCAGTTTTCTCTTGTTCTCTCCCTTCGTCCTTTTTCTTTGGTATGGCTTCTTTTCTTCAGGCGCCCTTTTTATTTCTCTCATCTGCTTTCTGGTATGTTTTTCACACAGTTTGGAAGTTTCGGGTTTAGGAGTTCAGTTTCAACCATTCACATTGCAGCGCCCACGAGCGACCAGTGGTTGCTCCGTTGTAAAAGGATATACCAAAACAAAAGGGGTGAGCGACAGGGCAAAGTTGTACAGTATTTTTTATGATGGATAGACTGCTGGACAGGAAGCAATTCTCAAGAAACATTTTCCTCACCACAACGCTACCTATGTCGCCAGATGTTGATGATACATATGCGTAAGACCTGTCATGTTGCCCAACGTTCCCTCATCTAACAGCGGGTGGTGGTGGGATCTACGGGCAAGTTTTAAACGCATATTGGGTGTCTTGGTCCCTACATGTCTCGATACTCTCTGCCTCCAATCAAAGACGGGATTGATTCTATTATCCGATCTATCCCACCTCCCACACATGGCCGTTGGTTTTCAACAAGAAACCATTCACTCTTATTCCTTGAAACCATAGTTGGATAGAACAACAGATATCCACATGTCCGTTGTGCAAGACTTTTACTTGCTTAACCGGAATGCCGAGGAACATCCAGAAGTCCAAAACAAGTTCAACATCGCTGCCCAAGGACTCTTATGTAAATGCCAAAGGGACACTCACATTTCGAATTCACGTGCTTGTTATGGTGACTACTACGCCCATGTAAGTGTACTCACCCCATTGGCTGTTAAACAGAAACTCAGTGGTGGCACACAAAAGACGGGCCAGACACTACACATCAAGCTGAGCAGCCAACCCAGGGGTGCATGAACCCAATCGTTAATGGTCAAAAATACCGAAGAATATCAGAGCAACATAAATAACGGATAAATGCAAAATACCATGCAAGCTGAGATGGGATATGTCATGTGTATGCCGGGTTGCGAGAATGGAGGTGGTTACTCGGAGATAAAAAGATGGAAGAAAAAGTAAGGTGAAGCTATTCAAACCCACCAGCCCAGCTGAGAACGAAACATGGCCTGGATAAACTGAAAAGAAATAAAGATAAGGAGAACTCGCCGAGCTCACGAAGGAAGATGGTACAACATGAACCATATGTCAAATCACCCACCTTTCCATACTGTTCGATCTTAGCAAAAACACCAAGAAACTTGGCGTTTGCGGCTCTGACAACTGATGTAACTAGGAAGAAAAAAAAAACACCCTTAAAAAAGAGGAACGCAAGTGTTTGGCAATGCACACCTCGAACGATTTCCACCTGGATCTGCTTTGCTGGCACGAACGCCGGCCAAGTTGTTCCGCACAAACCCTATCTTCGATCTCACACGCTTGCTGCCCATTTGCTACCGTACTGTTGGGAACCCAAAGAACCAACGGTCGACAGGAGAGAGTTGGTAAGTTGGGTTGAAACGCAGGAGGACACTCCAAGTGGACCTTTCAGTGTTCTTTACATAGTTCGATCGATGGTTGTATCAGAACGTTGCAGAGGTCGCAGATGACGATGATGAAACAAGGAAGGGACAGGAGGAAAGAAAGACGACCGCGCCAACGAACGTCGTCGTCGTCGTCGTCGTCCATGGTGATGATGAACCTTATCCTACGTATTACTAGAGATCTGTTGGGTGAACGAGGCCAGATGTGAGATGACCCGTTGCGCCTGAATGATACCTTGTTGACTCTAGCCTGCGTTGACCATCTATGCATCCATCCATCGTCTGAAACAAGATTGATCGACCGAACTGTATGTCAGTCAGGAGTTATGGGACGAGTCATCGAAGAGGTACACTGGCGAATCTGGCGCATCAGCATTCAGCAGAACTGCGTGCCTCTGTCCACTAGTTCACGCCGGTGATGACGGAAACTTCGTGGTGCGTGGGAGGACCGGAGCTGAAAAGAGGATGACGGTACCCGAGAGTGGAGCCGTGCAAGGTGCTCCCGGCGGGGCCCGAGCGGGGAGAGCGGAAATGCCGCCGTAAAAGTGGACGGGGCCGGCGGGGCCCAACGGGCACCCGGACCTCGCCCGAAAACGCCCCGAAAAGCGGGAAGCCGGGAAGGGGTCCATCTTGGATTACCCCACTCGTGGAAAGGGAGCACAGGCCACCCCAGCAGGTACCTTGCAGGCCTCTCTCCTTGCTGCTGACAGCATCGCAATCAGCGATAAGATCAATTGATCCATAACATCCCATCCCCATGTGGACACTTCAATAACACCAGCAACCGGGGAAAGCTACGGTGTAACAGCGGCCGAGAATCCTGGATCCTGTTGCTTCCTGGAAGTGGAAGCCTCCTTTTTTCCTTCGAGAATAGTCGAGATCCCACATTCTTTTCGTCTCTCCGGTGGAAGCTAATGAATGATTGGGTTTCCCCGAGGACACCGTTTCCCACACACAAGCTGACACTACTACCCCTCGTTCCCTACCTCCAAAGCTGCCATCATGAACATCGTTTTGGCGGAGCAGTTGTCGCTTGATTCGGGTACGTGATTTATAATCCATCTACAGGTCTCAGCTATTACGGTGCCCGCAGGGTCCTGGTACTACTGGCACGTCATCATACTAAAACATTGTCGCCGCCGATCACAGTTGAATACGACCCGATCGCGCACCTCAACCTCCTCTTCTCCCACCCGTCCACCGTCTCCTCCGTCGGCCGCGTATCGTCCACCCTCCAGCGACACAAGGATGAGCTCACCAAGTCGATCGACTCGCTCGAGACCGCCCAGGCCTACGGGCCCGACTCGTCGCTCGAGCGCATGCAGTCCGCCCAGGCCGAGCTGGCCTCCCTATTCCAGCGCATCGAGAGCGTCCGCAACCGCGCCCTGCAGACCGAGCGAGACATCACCACCATGACCGCCGACATCAAGCGACTCGACGGCACAAAGCGCAACCTCACCCACAGCATGACCGCCCTCAAGCGCCTGCAGATGCTCACAACCGCCTACGACCAGCTCCGAGGCTTGGCCAAGACCCGCCAGTACCGCGAGTGCGCCGGCCTCCTGCAAGCCGTGCTCCAGCTGATGCGCCACTTTAACAGCTACCGAAGCATCGAGCAGATCGCCGTCCTGAGCCGAAACGTCAGCGAGCTACAACGGGAACTCTTGGAACAGGTGTGCGAGGACTTTGAGCTGGCGTTCGCCAAGGGCGAGGTGGCCGCCCGGCGCGGCACGCTGGCGGAAGCTTGTCTGGTCATGGACGCGCTAGGGGAGCAGGCAAAGGCGCGGTTGATGACGTGGTATGTCAACACCGAGTTGCGCGAGTACCGGTCCGTCTTCCGGGGCAACGACGAGGCGGGCAACTTGGACAACATTGGGCGGCGCTATGCCTGGTTCCGACGGATGTTGCAAACCCACGAGAGCGAGCATGCTGCCATCTTCCCAGCCCACTGGCGCGTCAACGAGACGTTGTCGATGGCGTTTTGCGATGGCACCAGGGAGGATTTCAAGGGGATACTGGAGAAAAGCATGCGGAGGACGGATGGAGGCACCAACAAGATCGATGTGAATCTGCTGTTGAGTTGCTTGCAAGAGACGATGGACTTTGAGCAGAGCCTGGAGCGCCGGTTTTCGAGCGAAGTCCGGGCTAGCATTGATACGTTGAGCTCGGCGGATGATCGGGTATCAAACTTCAATGGCTCTATCTCGGTCGCATTCGAACCGTATCTGAGTCTATGGGTAGAGTCGCAGGACAAGACTCTGGCTGGGATGATACCAAAGTACAAGTCGCAACCGTTGATACCGCCAGACGAGGAGTTCTCGCCACAGGCGGTCATCCCCTCGGCCATCGAACTCTTCCACTTTTACAAGCTCACGCTTTCACAGTGCGCCAAGCTGTCTACTGGCGAGCGGCTGCTGGATCTGGCAAAAACACTGGCCAAGTACTTGGACGAATACGCCCAGCAAGTTCTCTTCACCATCCTCCAGCGGGGAGGATCACAGGGGCCTCCGGTGCAGGACATCATATTGGTCCTCAACACTGCGGACTTTTGGCACACCAATGCCAACCAGCTTGAAGACAACATCAAGAAGAGGATCGACCCCGAGATGGCATCCAAGGTTGATCTTTCGACCCAAGCAGATGCCTTTATGGGCGTTGCCAGTGCGGCCGTGCACGCCTTGGTGCACAAGGTTGAGGTGGACTGCGAACCGGCATGGCGAGAGATGAAGAACACGAACTGGAGCAGGATGGAAAGTGTCAGTGATCACAGCTCGTACGTGAGCGAGCTGCTGAAGAATGTCAATGGCAAGACGGCGGAGATCCTCCCATTGGTGGTCAAGCCGCAATATGCTCGCGCGTTCTGTGACCATCTGGTGGAGAACATAGCCAACTCGTATATCAGCAACGTGGTGCAGTGCCGCCCTGTTTGCGAAGTTGGCGCTGAGCAGGTGAGTCTTTCTCCCCTCTTCTTCTTCCTCCTCCTTCAACAAATCACCTTGCTAACAAAATTCAACCAGATGCTCCTAGACAAATACACCCTAACCAAAGCCTTCCAAAACCTCCTCTCCTTCCACAACACCAACCACCCACCCCCCGGCACCCCTTCAGACCCCAACGCTCCACCGCCCCCTCCCCCTCCAGCAAGCTACATCAAGCGCGTCAACCAATCCATGACCAAGATCGACCCGCTTCTCAAAACCCTCCAAGTCCGCCCCTCCCCTCCCGAAGGCCTCGTACAAGCCTACCTCAACATCATCGGCGACCGCTCCGATGCCAACTTCAAGCGCATCCTCGAGCTCAAGGGCGTGCCTAAGAAGGACCACTCGCACCTGCTCGAGCTCTTTTCCATTCACCGCGACGGGGCCGGCGTAGGTCGGACTTTAGTCCAAAATTCCCCGCTTCTAACACCGCTGTTTGCTTCCATGGGAAGCGGCGGCATCGGCGGCATCGGCGGCGTCGGTGGGATAGGGATAGTTGGCTCAGCAGGACATCATGCCTCACAAGGGAGTGGTAGTGTGACGAGCAGATTTGATGCGGCGACGAGTTTGGGTGAGAAGTTGTTAAGTGCGGCGAGGGATATGAGTGCGACGGAGGGGACGACAAGTGCAGGAACAGCAACAGCGGCAACGGAAAAAGCGACGATTAATGAGAATTTGAAGAATATTGGGAATTTCTTTAGGAGGGATATTGGAGCGCTGGGAGCGAGGTTTGGGAAGAGGGATGATTAGAGTAGAGGGGGATGTCATGATGAGATCTGGACCGGGATAGAGATGGGGATGAGGAAGAGAGAGATCTTTTGGTTATGTGATCATACGTATGGTTTAGGTACAATATGTCTACAAACTAACAGAGCAAGCGATTCTTGGCTATTTAACATGACACTATCGCTATAGTCTAGAACTGCTAGTCTAGCGGTTTACGTTTAGTCTCCGAGATTTATATCCGTACATAGGTGAAACACGGCGCTGAGATCCCGTAATGACAAACGCCTCTTTCTCACTGTTATCTTATCAGATGGATCGATCGATGTTGTCTTGTCTCATCTTACCTCGGTACCTACCCGTGTCTACATGATCCAAACGAGCCTGGACCCGAGGAGACGCCCAGAACTTTTCGCTTCCCGTCAAGTCGTCAGAAATGGCACCATGCCATCTGCATAAAACAAGAGTCCCTGGACTCCGGAGAAGTTGGTAGCGAGCGAGGTAGCATTCAAACAAAAGTTGTCTTACGATGGTACGGTTCCGTCGGCCGTCGGATGTTGTGAACTAAGCACTGTATAGATGGGTAGGCTCGGTACTTAGGTAATACTAGACATGGCTGGCTGAAGATGTGAAGGATAATGGTGTGTGTCTGTAAGTGTAAGTGATAGAAGTGATGGAACCTGTCGCTTACATAAATCATATACCTTAGCCGACCCGTTGTGACCGTTGGCTGTTGAGTGACCGTTGAACCGTTGTTGCCGCATTCCCGTCCGCCCGCAATAAGGAAGGTGTACATATGTATGTATGTACCGTACCTTACCGTCGACACATAGAGGTACCTACCTAACGGCCGCGGCTCGTGTCGGTTGGTTGATGCAGTTGTACACACGGACACACATAAGACATTCATTGAAGATGGAATGAAGAAGGGTCCGGTCCCGGCGGCCGGGGCAGGAATGACATTCCAAAACCGTGTAAGCATGACGAATCTTTATCTTGGCGCTTTTTCTAGAAGGGAAAGAAACTCGGCTGATGAATGGATCATGGGCTCGCATCGGGGTCTGGGAGATGGTTTCGGTGTGGTGGTTGACTGTTGAGGCAGGGGTTTCCATGGGGTCCTGAGGGGTAGAGTCCACTTCCCTTTTCTCACTTGTGCGAAGCTTTGCCAAGACCTGGGCTGCTCACCCATGGCGCCAGGTCCCCTTTGCTCGGTCTCGGTCGCTGGCCTGACCTGAGACGGGCTGGCCACAGACCACCCTGGTCCGGGGAGCCAATCAGAGGGCGGCAATGGGCTTTGTCGCGGCCAGATCAGATCATTTACTGCATAAAACAGACCACCAGAATTATGATCAAGCATCGCACAGTTCGATGTCGCTCATGCCCTCCTTGCCGTGGGTTTTCCCATGCCAGTCCCTGGTAATGGTAGATTCACCGGGGAGAGAGCAATTGTAAGCAGTGGAAGCTACTATGTACTGCCGGAATACCATTCTTCCCCTTCCCCAAAAAGATACAACGACTTTTGTTTCCCTTCCTTTCATCGCCGATTCTTCAGCTCCAGTCCACAGGCTTTAGCTGCTAGTATTGTAACTTGTAGCTAGACTTGTCGGAGTATCTCACCTGGACTGCGTCGACAACTCCGAGTTCTCGTCCTCTGTATACCTACCTTACCGACTCGCCAGTTACCTCTTAAGGCTGCTTACACCTTTTTCTGAAATCACTGTGTGGTATTCATCAATCCTCACTGCAGATCTTCTCTTGTCACACACACAGCCTGGCCATCAGCATACCGCATCGAAGCACATCAACTCTTGGCTCTGCCCATTGCAAAGTACCGGACGCCGCTCGGCTTCACACCCATACCCGCCAGCTGACCCCAAGACCGAGACGACGAACTTCGATCCCAAAACATTAGCCTGGTCTTGTCTACTTCGACTTTACAAGAAGCTTAACCATAACCGAACACATTCCCCCCGTCACCAGTACCGACAGAGTTAGCTGTTCACCTGCTGCAGCGCACCACCACCACCCCGCCCTATTACTACGCCTTGCGCCAGCATCCAGCTATCATCGGAGCCCCGGTACCGCGGCTCGATATCGTTCAGGAGTCGACCCAAATTCATCCCGCATCGTTCGAGATTCTAGACGAGGGCCCCTCCCTTTGGCGAATCACACGGCGCCCCCTTGTCACTGGCGCATGGTGACAGCCCTATTCCATCTCGAAGCGAACGCGTGAAAGAGGCTCAGCATCGTTGTTGCGCCCATCCTTTCCAACAAACCAAAAGCTTATCCAACATCATCCTTGGGACCTTTTGCTTCCCCCGTTAATACAACAATGCCCCCCGGTATTCTCGAACAGCCTGCCGAGGAGCAACAAGGAGGCGACTCGCACATGACCAACGCTGCTAACGACAGCTGTGTCGACCGTCTGACCTTGCTAAGGAGTATGCCGGAACCGCCGGTAGAGTGTCAGGTGTGCGTGGTTGGCGCCGGCCCGGCTGGCCTGATGCTGGCTTGCAATCTCGGCCGTTTCGGTGTCAAGGTGGAAGTGGTGGATGATAGGGCGGATCAGACCCCTGTGGGGAGGCAAGTTCACACGCCGTCATGACAATGGGACGATGGAACAAGAAAGTGTTTTCTGACATTGTGTGCAAAAACAACAGAGCCGACGGTTTGCAACCCAAGACGATCGAGACTTTCCGCCAGATGCGCCTGGCAGACCCTCTACTACAACGCGGCGTTCGAGTGTACGACATTGCTTTCTGGAGGAGTACAACCGACGAACCGCTCCACCGCCTCGGCCGAGAAATCCATTACCCCCCTATAATCGATGTGCTAGACCCGTACATTTTGCTTGTCCACCAGGGCATGGTGGAAAGTCTGTTTATCGAGGACTTGAAGAAGCGCGGCGTTGAAGTGCGGAGAAACACTGCTTTCGACTCGTATAGCGTTTGCGACGGAAATAATGGGCCGCTCCAGGTGAACTGCCTAACAAATGTTACGCAGGATCGCAAGACCATTTTGACGCAATATTTGGTTGGCTGTGGGTGTTACCCCTGAATCCCCCGCTGCCGCTTGCCGCTGCCGACGCTGGCGGCGGCGCTGCCCCTGAAAAGGACTCCGCTTAATGCTAACATTGATTGCGTTGCCTAGGTGACGGTGCGCACTCCAAGGTCAGGAAAAGCATCCCTGATGCCAAGCCCATTGGCCTGTCGCAGCCCTCGCTGTGGGGCGTCCTCGACGGCGAGCTCGATACCGACTTCCCAGACATCTGGTCCAAGACATTGGTTTACTCGCAAGAGCATGGCTCTATTCTGATCATTCCGCGAGAGCGGAACATGACCAGATTCTACATTGAGCTGAAGAGCAGCACCAAGGGTGACAGGAACATGCTCGGCCAGGACTTTGTGATGCAGCGCGCCAAGGAGATCATGGCGCCTTTCAGTGTCAAGTGGAAATACATTGAGTGGTTTGGTAGGTACCAGATCGGCCAGAGAGTTGCGAACCGCTTCCAAGACTCTCATACCCGGGCCTTCTTGGCCGGTGACGCCAGCCACACCCACTCGCCCAAGGCTGCGCAGGGCATGAACACGTCGATGCACGATGCCTGGAATATTGGCTGGAAGCTTAACTTTGCCGCCCGTGGCCTTGCGAAGCCCGCGTTGCTGGAGAGCTACGAAGAGGAGCGGAGGAAGATCGCGTTGGACCTGGTCAACTTCGACTATGAGCACGCCAACCAGATTGCCGGAGGAGATGCTGTCGCTCTGGCTGAAAACTTCAAGACGAACGTTCGCTTCATCTCGGGCATTGGCGCCGAGTACGGCGAGAATGCTATTAACATGGTTGAACCGCAGTCGTGGGTTATGGGTGACGCCAAGCCCGGCTGCTTGCTCCCGCCTGCAAAGGTGACTCGGTACTTGGACTCGAACCCGGTTGATATCCAGCTCGACATTCCTATGCTGGGCCAGTTCCGGATCTACCTGTTGATGTGGGATGTCCATCAGTCGCGCATCTTCCTGGACGGTTTCTGCGCGGCTTTGGCGTCGCCTGATTCTTTGGTCAACCAGCTCTCGGCCGCCACGAACATTTCGTACGCTAAGCAGCCACGTCTACCAGCTCCAGAGGATATCTATCTCCGTCCGGAGCGGTACACTGCCGTTAGTCATTTGTTTACTTTCGGATTGATCAGTAAGTCCACCACCTCTCTCGTTCTCTCAACTCCCCCAAAAAAATTATACTAAAAATGCCCCCAGCCACGATGCCCAAGTCCGAAATCGAAATCACCGACCTCCCCGCCCTCTTCCAAGACAGCCGCTGGACCTTCTACCTCGACGACATCCCCGAGCTCGACACCCGCGGCCAGCTGTGCACCAACAAGTGGCTCGGCAGCCTCGGTCCTGGAGAGGTGGCCATCGTCAACGTCCGTCCCGACGGGTACGTCGGATCCATCGGCAGGTGGGACTCGAGCGTGGACGATGCCGGTGAGGAGGCGGCCAAGTGGCTTGACACTTACTACGATCGGTTTTTGCAGGTGCCTCCTTCTCCTGCGATGGCTTAGGAGGGTGATGCGGGAGAAGAGGATGGTAAGGGTGAGGAGGATGAGGAGGATGATGATGAGGGGGATGAGGAGGAGGAGGAGGTTTTTCTTGATCCGGAGGATGATCCTGAGTGGCAAAGGATTAAAAAAGAGATACAGGAGGAGGTGGGTATGAGTTCCAAGGAGATTGAGAAGAGAACGGTGGAGTTTTCGAAGGAGATAGCGGAGAAGTTGGCAGCGGACTCTGAGAATTGGTCGGAGAGAGAGGGATGGCTGGAAAGGGTGGAGGAATACAAGAGAAGGATAGAAAGGTTGGAAAACGAAATTAAGATGGGTGAGGAAGACGAGAATCGGTGGAGGAGAGTGTTGGGGAATGAAGCGGCGGGAAAGTTTCTACTACTCAAGAGGGCGAGGGAAAAGAAACGGAGAGAGACATGGAGCGATGAGACTAGCGGGGATGACCAAGACGCGGATGACCAAGACGCGGAAAGGAGACAGATCAGAAGACCTCGCGGAGGGAAATCGGACTCGAGGGACTAGGCCTAGGCGGGACAATATTTGGTGTATAGAAGGGCCACGAAAGGCGATGGAGGGAGGCAGGTTTGTTTACTTTCTTACTCATGTTGAAAGAAGGAGCAGGAAGATGGAGGAGGGCAAGACACTGGAAGAGCGTTTTGAGGCGGTTTGTGGAAAATATCCTTCTTCTTCTTGGTTTGGTTGTGGTTGGAGTATTATTTTCGGATCCTTTTTCCGGTGGTGTTCGGTTTGGCGTAGAGGAGTTAGACTTAGTCCCGTTTACGTAACTTGCTTTCTCTGTATGTATGTATTTAACGGTTTGACGAACTCGAAAAGAATTTCAAGAATCTTTTTTTTTTTTAAAAAAAAAAAAAAAAAAAAAAAAAAAAAAAAAGAACTACAAGAGTCATCGATAGAGGGTGTGCTTGGTGACTGTTACTTCACTGTCGTTATGATGTCTTTCTACTATGGGAGAGAGAGTAAGGGTTGTGGTGTCATGTTGCCTAATCCTATCAGCTGACACTTCGCGTACAACAGTTGTAAGGCGAGTAAGCGAGTCAAAGTTGGATGAAATTTATCCCCAAGTTATTTATTGAACAACAGTAAGACTGCAATGTAGGTATCAAAGTAATACAATGTAAGAAGTTATCGCAGAAGAGCAACCCAATCGTACCGACGCCTGCCTTCATACCGTACCTTACCCTACCCAAACTCCTCCCTATGTATGTCATGTCTTGTCTTCTCCGACCAAGTTTTGTCTGTTGTATCCCAACCACAATAATGCCGTTGTCAATGCATGCCCAAAACAAGCGAAAAAGAACAAAAGAAAAGGAAAGACAACAGCCAGGTATCGCAACCGCCCAACATCAACATCAACCCCCCAAAACCAAAAAAAACTAAAACCTAACAACAGTAACCCTCCCCTCCTCATCCTCCCCCAAAACCCATCTCTCATCACCCGCCAAATACCCCCTCCTACCCACCAACTGGCTCCACATCTCATCCGCGAATTGCACTTCCTCATCTCTCCCTCCTTCTCCTCCTCCTTCTCCTCCCTCCCCTCCCTTATGCCCCTTCTTCTTCCTATTCCCCTTCTTCTTCTTCGTTTCTTCTTCTTTGCCCACCACCTTGTTGCCCGTTTCATCATCATCAGGTGCTGCCAGAGACAACCCACCAGGCTCAGGTTTTACACAAACCCTCGCATTCCTCACACAAACCGACACCGTCTCCAACATGAAACAATGCCGTGCCGTGATCCTCACGCCCGCAGCGAAATCGACCATTTCTGCTACGGTCAGGTAGGGGAAATCTTCGTGGCGCCAGCAGGGGGCGAGGCCGGGGAAGCGTTGTTGGTTACTTATGATGCTCAGCAAATCCTGGAGGGATTGTTGGTGGTTTCTGCGGCGGCGGGGGGAGGTTGATAATGTGGTAGATTGTGGTGGTGGGGAGAAAAAATAGGGTTGGGAAGGGGAAGGTGGACGGGAGCGGAGGTGATGTAGGAGGGCTTGCTGATTGGAGGGGATGGAGAAGGAGCGGCGGGAGGAGGAAGGGGAAAGGGGTGGGGAGGGGGGGAGGAGTTGCTGGTCTTGGGTCTGGCGGGTGGGTGAGGATGAGGATGAGGGGGAGGCAGAGGTTAAAGGTGAAGTGAGGGGAGAGGTAGAAGAAGCAGAAGAATGTGCCCGTTGACAAAACGACATATTCACATCCCCATCCGCACCACACTGATCGACCCATATCGGCCCATGAACAGGATCATTGATAGTTGAAGTGAAAAGAGCTTGGTAGTAATGCGCATGAGACGACGGCTCTCGCTCCCTCTCCCAACCCTCCTTAACGGACACCAAAGGGATAGGAACAGCCGGCGTGCAAGGCACGATCGGAATACCCGTGCACTTGACATGGTGAACGCGAGGCGGACTAAGAGAGGAGTGTTGACCTTCGGTCCAACGGTGTTCTTCCTCGATGAAGTAGAGGTTCCTATCATCGAGGGAGAGGTTGCGCAACTGTGGGTTGGCGCGCTGGCGCAGCCCGTAGAAGTCGAGTTCGCGCCAGGCCATGCGACGGATTACTTGGGGGCCGGTCGTAGTGCTGACGGATTCTGGTTCGGGGCTAGCGCTTTTACTTGGTTGCCCGGCTGTTGTGCTCGTCGTGGTCGTGTGGGTTCCTCCTCCGTTCCACAAGCCAGCGGGCATGGAAGTTGTCCGGTTGCCGAGTGGTGGTCGGTTGTATCCTGTTGGATCCTCGGATGGACGGTATGGACTTGGTGAGGAAATGTCCCAGACGGCGAGCTGTTCAATGGGATCATCCTGGTAAAGCGAGCGGTTGGGTTGCCAGAAGTAAACGGCGTAGTGCGTTGCTGTGTGGGCGGAGAAGAAGCGATCGGAGCGATTCATGGGCAGACCGAGGAAGTGTAGCTTCCACTCTGAGCGGAACTGGATGGTCCATGTCCAGGCAGAGGGAGAGGGTGTTCGGATGACGTAGAAAGCAGTGACAAAATGCCGATGGACAACCTCTCTGTCGTTCAACTGGTGGTATGGATGCTCTTCAGCCCATTCGAATATCAGAACTCCCTGGGCAAGACGGACTCGACGAATATGCTTCCGGCGAACATCGAACGGAACGGGGATTTGAGTTCCAGTCGCCGGATCGAAGATGTGGTAAACGTAACCATGGGCCGGATCTGATGATGGAGAATTGGGCCTGTCAAGGACTTCTGCTGGGTAAACCAGCACTCCGTCTTCTTGACTGTACCACCACGCTGGATCGGGGTAGTGAAACTCGGCCGTCTTCTCCTCTAGACGCAGGAAACGGTTCCAAATAGCGACTCCCTTGAAAGAGAATGGAGAGAGTTCGTTACTATCACCTCGGCTTGGCCGAGCCATCTGGAGCTTCTCGACGACACGGGCCGAGCCTCGACGGAGATGGTGATAGCGTCTGGCCACGAGAGCAAATGTTTCGGACCAAGGAGGGAGGTCGCGAGAAGTACATGAAATCTCGACGGCGAGATTGTTGTTGATGTTGGCGAAGTCTGATGAAGCTGATGCTGATGGTAACAAGGCGGCGGCCGAAGCCAGGCGCATCTCACGACATCGCGGAAAATTCCATCGCATCAACAGATACGAGATGTGTTCATCGGTGAAAGCTGCGTGCCATCGTCGAGAGACGGAACGAGAGAGGACGCATGTTCTGGAAGAGAGATAAGAGATGATGAGGAGGAAGAGATCGTGTGGTAGGTCAACGATGTCTCTCATCTTGAAGAATGACTCTCATGGTCTGAGTGTTGAGGATCTTAGGTACCAAGAAACAATGAAATCAATGGCTGAGAGGAGGTTTATAAACACAGCCTGTGCTGACATTGATAAAAAGGTCATGGTGTGATTACGTTTGTGATGGCATCCTACCAAGAGGCTAGCAAATATAAGTGTATCATTGAGAGAGGGGTTGCTACCGTTGCTGGGGGCTGCCCGGACCACTAACGGACGAACAGGGACGAACACGGCAAAGAAGACCACTAGAACCACTGAGGACTCGAGAAAGGGATCTTTTGCATATCACGTAACGACAATGCAAGCCGTTCTTGGCATTCAGGTTCGGCTTTTGTTTTGTTGTGAAGAGACGTGCCTTTGTTTGTGGTGTTTCTTTGTATCAATTGTTGATGTTACTGTTGTCTAGTATTGAACAAAAGATGTGGGAATCTGGCAGTGGCCTACAGGTAGTTACAAGTACCATATTAATGGGAAACGAGTAAAGACTCACAGTGTTTGGGAGTGTGTCTCATTCCCTGAGTTCTGTGTGCTGATTTTGTCCCATCATGTGAACTGATGATGTTATTATCGCGGATCTCGCCGTCTTACGTCTCCACGTCTGTGACTAAGACGTATGTTTTCTGACGGTCTCGACTCTCGAACAGGTGGAGAGCAAAAGAGATTTCTCGGGAACGATTATCCAGTCAAACCACCACACGGACCGTTGTGGCTTTCCATCTTTTTGTCGATCTTGAACCGAATAGAGATCGCCAAGAAGCCAAGACCGTGGCGTGTAGCCCTACGAGATCCCAATAAGATCGGCAGAGCTATCGTTTTGATTTTGATATCGTCATCCCTTCTGCTTTTTCAGGCACGAGTTGAAACAATGGGATCAATGATGGAGAAAAGTGGTTGATTGGCGGCTTGGTTGGATGAAGAGGAGATGGCCTACCTGGACCACCTTAACTACACTGAGAATAGAAAACCATGGTGGGGTAACGACTTCCACACGTTACAGAGTGCACGACAAGCTCCAGATCCCTACGTGCATGAGAGTGCATTGGAATTGGGTCTGTAGGGCAGGGATTTTTTGGGCGGGGAAATGGGTCTTTTGTAGGGCTATTTCACCGCCGAGTTGATGGGGAGACCGGAAGAGCAACCAGGATGCCCGGTATGTTTTGTCCAAGATAGAATCAGATGGGTTCGTGGCAGACGTGGGAATATCAGATAGACAGCTTGTTTGCCCAGTACAATCGTATTGCCGGGTCTTCGAGCGTGTATAGGCCGGCCTAAATAACATCGGATCCTCCAAGTTTGAGATTGTTGACGAGAGTGAGTGTCTCGTTTGCAGTATCCAGGCGGTCGTTTGGAGCATTGTGAGGAATAAGGTATCCTGGAGTTCGATTCCATGCACTGCCAGGCCGACATTCTTTGAATCCTCGATGGACTGCCCCATATCTGGTGTTGTAGGCTTGCTACTCTTCTGATGAAAACAGGGAAGGTGAAACGTGAGTTCAAAACTTCAAATCAGAACAGAATTCGGAACACGCACGTGCCAGCTGGGCTAGGCTGGATTGGGGATCAAAGCCCAGTCAAGTAGTGATGGTCATTTTCTGAAAAAATAACAAAATTTCCGAAATTATCGAAATCCTGAAAATATCGAAATTCCAAACCGAAAAATACGGCTCGTGCACCTTACCACCAAACTGCCCTCACTCGAAGTAGCAGAGTTGGGGAAACAGACAGGAACTGACCTCCATCCCCAACGGGTAGTATTAACTTCATCGACCTTATCAGCTACCTAAGATGAAGAGGTATAATAATGTTTAACAAATTATGTAGGAGACGAATCTTTGAAATTATTTGAACCAAGGAGCCAAAAGAACCTGGACCTGTTTGGCCGATGTCTGTACATCTCTGAGCACTTACACCCTCACGTGCGGAAAGCTTAGCGGAAAACATCATATCTTTTCCCTTACCTTTCCTTACTTTTCCGTTCCTTACCCTTGCCGAGAAATTCCCCCCCATTACTGAGTCAAGCTTTTCTGCTGGAGCACCACTCCCGCGCGCACGGGCCTCATTCCCCTCTCTGATCGTCACATCCACTGGGCGCATCCACTGGCTGACTTGGCACATCCACTGGGCGTCCGACCACTCCCGGTCCCGCCGACCCTTCCTCTTCTCCTCAACCGAACCTCCACCCTCGTCCACCCTTTCGTCGACATCTCTTGGCAAGCCAAGCACCCATCAACTTCCAGCCGAACTTCCAGGCGTTGTCCAGCCCGTCGTTGTCACTGTTCTGTCCACTGTCGCCGGACTGTCCCAGCCTTGGCATATGCAACCCCCAGAGCGCAAGCCTTCTCCGTCACTCAAAGATCTCTTGGCTTTACGATCGATAACCGTCTGTACTCGCGTCAGGGGCATCACCGGCATCACAACCAATTCCACTCCGACGAGTCCGAGTCCGATTGCCCGACATTGAAGGTTGCTGTGGACTGTGGGTTGCGCGCCGGTTAGAGTTACAGGTGTAGCGACAACCAGCCCGGACGCCCCCAGGGCTGCCAGCACCAGAGGCACCACAATCACCACCACCACCATCACCACCGACCAGCACTCAACCCCCCCGTACATATCCCCACGCTCGAATCGAGTGCCCGCCCACCTGCCGCCGACTTGTGCCCGTCGCGCATGCGGGTTCGAGCCCTGCGCTGATTCCCGAATGCGACGGCCTTGAAGGAACTCCTACTCCCGCCTCCTCTCCATCTTCACGACAACAACCCACATCCCGTCCTCGACCCTACACGCATAGATGGGCCCCTTCTCGAGCGCCTCCGACCGCAACAGTGCCGCCGCCACCGCCGCTCCTGCAACTGCGACGCCATCCCCCCAATCCAAAACACCATCTGCCGCCGCGTCCGACGACTCCACGACCAGCAAAAAGTTCCTGAAGCGCCTCAACATCCTCCCTCTCCGATCACGCACCCGCAATATCGCCGACTTCCATATCCGACCCGACGATCCTCATCGCAAATACAGTGCCGGCGACCATGTGCAGGGCGCCGTGGTCCTGACCGTCGTCAAGCCCGTCCGCATCACGCACCTGACCGTCTTGCTGCACGGCTACGTACGTGTCTACAAGGGACCCAGCGCCCAAAACAACGAGCCCGTCCGAAGCCCAGCCGAGATCCAGAACATCAGCAGCCGAGGGGAGCGCAAGAAATACTATAATGGCTATGCGTCGCTGTTTCAGGATGAGCAGGTTCTCAGCTCCGATGGCCGGCTGGAGCCCGGAAGATACGAGTTCAACTTCGATCTACTCTTCCCAGCAAATGGTCTCCCCAGCAGCATCGATGTGCGTACTACCAGCTCCGAACCAGACGACATGATTGTCGCTAACTATTGTCCAGTTTGAACGTGGCACGATATCTTACATGATCACAGCAACACTAACGCGCCCGACCTCGGTAACCCCAACGACTAGCTGTGAACGCAAAATCTACTTGGTGGAAAAGCTGGATGTTGGACCGCTTGCTCCTCCCAAGGCCCAGACTGTGGACCTCCGACCCATTTCGAAACGAAGCAAGAAGAAACGACCAGCCGGTGGAGATAGGCGCTCCGTGATATCGTCAGAACGGCTGTCTGCTGATGTACCAGAACCATTGTCTGACGCAGATTCGGCAAGGATAAACGACACATCGACCGAAGGATCTCTTTCAGTAGTTGGTGATGACGTTGGTCCAGAAGCCTTTAGCCAAACTCCGCGGAGTGTCTCACACAGTGAGGTGCGAAGTCTCAGTGGTGATAGCGCCGCGAGTCTTAGCACGCACCCGAGCAGAGCACATAGCGAGACAAACCAGCTGGCCATCGCGGGGTCCGCGATGACAGGAAAGCGGATATCATTTGCCGACGAACGGACCATCACGATGACAGTTGAAGTGCTTAAAGGTGGATGCTTACCCGGCGACGTGATACCCGTCAAGGTATCCGTTAATCACATTAAGAGGATCAAAAGCATGCATGGTGTTATAGTAACGCTGTTCAGACAAGGGCGCATCGACTCGTCCCCGCTTCAGCTTTCCAAGCAAGATTGGAAAAAGTCGGAATCAGACGACTATTATTACCCCAAATCCAGGACGGGTCTCAGCGGCCTTTCCCTGTCGTCTGCGGGTTCCTGCAGCATGTTTCGAAAGGATCTATCACAAGCATTTGCGCCTCTCATTACAGATCCGGTGACCTACTCTGCCACCCTGACGGCATCAGTACGAGTACCAGAGGACTCTTTCCCCACCATCAAGGGTGTGCCTGGGGAAATGATCAGTTTCAAGTACTTCGTCGAAGTCATCGTGGACTTGGGCGGCAAACTCGCCAATCATCTACAGGGTGGTGCCTCTTCGGCCTCACGGGTGGGTGCCACTGGTGTGGTAGGGAATCCTTTCGAGAATGTTGGCACACTGCCATCGTGGGGGGCGACAGGGAGCACAAGTATCCTGGACACAGATCGCCTCAAAAGGATACAAGGAGTCATTCCGGGATACTACGAGGTCATCGTCGGTACAACCGACAGCAATCGGTTACGAGGAAAGGGTCCGCAAAGGCCCAGCCTTACACTTACATCATCTGTCACCGTCGGCCCCAGCTACGTGGAGAATGAGTACAACGAAAAGGGCGGTTGGCCGAACAGCATGCACGACGATGACGGATATGGTCCCGAGTCTGCAAACCCGGATGATGACTATGCGTCGTACCCTCCACAAACGACTCACCCACACGATTATGTCCATCAACCACCATATTGGAATTACGTTCCCGACTCATCACAGCATGAGCAAGAGATACCCGCACCTCACTATATACCACCGCCCAACTTACCTGGTGAGAATAGTCTCACGGAAAAGGAGCGCATCAGACGTGCCGAACAACGCTTACTGCCCAGTCAACCACCAATAGCGGCAGCATCATCATCGTCCTCTGCCGCCGTGCCCTCACCATCCGCCTCCAATCACGCCGTGGACTCGTCCCTACTACTAAACGGGGACAACATCTACGATGCAGAAGACGACGTACCAACCCCAGCCGCCACACCCGCAACAGCACCACCATTTGACCACGCTCTCGCTCCGGAATACACACCCACACCAGCAGAAGACCTACCATCCGCGCCAACCCTTGAAGAGCTCGACCGACCACCACCAATATCCAGAGGACCCTCTCACCACCCTCTAAGCGCCACCGAAGACAAACAGGAGCTCGAACGGAGAAGGCTGTTGGCCGAGGCCAGCGCACCGCCCGAGTTCCCAGAGGACTACATTCCCGACGAAGGCGGAGGACCCGTAACCCCAGCGGGGCCCTCGGGATCAGGAGCAGGACCTTCCGCGCCACCCTCAGCCCCACCCGCAGCCTTTGAACCCTCAGCTCCCGTGTTTTTCGAGGACGATGAAGACTACCACGGCGGTGGATATACCGCCGGTGGCCCCAGCTTTCCTAGCGGCAGCGGCGGTCACGAAGAAGAAACTGTGCCGGAGTATACGTACAATAATCACCGCTCTGGGTCCGTGGGTACGGTAACGGTTGTTGGTGGTCCGTCGTCACCAGCACCAGCACCTGCATCGGCATTGTTCTCGGCCTCGGGCTCAGGACACGCGCACGATCCATTACGGGAACAGGAGCAGCAAGCAAGGTCGGATTCTTCGAGTCCGCCTCCAATTGAGTATCTGCCGCGGTACGAGCGATGAGCGATGATGGGTCATTGGTGGGTGGCGGCTTTGAACGGAAGAGATTTTGGGTACGACTTTTTGTTGGTTGGTTCATGTCACGGCTTATAGGCGATTTGCTTTTAATATATACCTTGTATACCTTCTTTGACATCTATGGCTTGGCTTGGCTTGGCCGAGGAGTCTTGGACGAATGTGATAGAAGTCCATATGATGGAACAAGACCACTTAGGAGCATATATATATATATATATATATATATATATACATTACAAAGAGGATGGAAGCGTCGTGTACCCGATAAGGGGCTGAGATAGTAGCAGTGTTTGTGTACTCACACTTCTAAACCTTTTGAATAACCATCTTATCTTTATATTTTTGAACTACTGGGGATAAGATGTTATATACCTATGTATGTGATATGTAGGTTGATGCCAGGTTGGGAAGTGTAGTCGTATAGGTAAGGTCTGAAGAGACGATTAATAGCGGGTGAAGAGAAGGTGAAGAGAAGGTGAAGAAAAGGTGAAGAAAAGGTGAAAACACGGTCCCGTTATAGGTACCGTAGCCGGCTACTGACGGGCACCTACTACTGTATCCGGAAAGCTGACGACTGAATAGGGGCTCTGTATAAGTGTAGTAATAGCTATAGGTATCTCTCGGGCGTCAGTTTCATACGCTACTTACTCAGAAGCGGCGAGCTGGTGGTCTCTATTAGTAGTTGGAGTTGTCCTAGGACTAGCTAGGTAGGTAGCTGCTTATGGCTTGGTCGAAGGAGCGTTGTATCCTTCAAAGAACCCTTCTGAGATATGCAAGGACGGGGTTGCTAGGACAAAAGTTCGCTCTGGTGGACACGGGATCCATCATGGGTTCTTGCCAAACTGAGAAGAGTTCGGGTGGCTTGTCGTCTGAACCGAGTGGCTCTTTCCATCAACTGCTCGGTATCCCCAATTCAGTGAGGAACGCCCCTTCCGATTGGGATCACGAGCTAATCAACGCAATGTGCTCGTCAAGCTCTTTCTGCGATCATATTGTATGCTTATGATTGACAGGCATCTCGGAACGCAAAATGAGTGCACAATGGCACCCACGCACCCACGACAGGTCTGCAGCTGCCGCCGCAGGGGTACCGCCCTCCGAACCCGTGCAGCTGCCGCCGCTGAATTGCTGCGAAGTGTAGAGGTACGACAAGTAGGTGTCGACTATATACATATGTGGAGAGCACCTCAGGTCGGCAACACACGCACGGAAGCAAGCGGTGGCAGACGGCATAGCGCCACGATACGATTATTGTGAGGTGTGCGACCAGCACTTTGCCGCTGGCAGCACCGAAAGAGAGTTCAACAGGCACCTCGGCTCCAAGAAGCATACCGACAATGCGAGGGATGGGGAGGGCAGCGCCAGAACCTCATCTCACAGAGGAAGAAATCCAAAAAAAATTGTCGACGAGGAGGAGGCGCTGGTCGACAAGCTGCATGACAAGGCCGCTTGGCAGATCTTCCTTTATCACCGCCATTGCCCGTCAAGAGAAGCCTCGGTATATGTCATAATATCGGGTTGGGATATAATTTCAATGACCAGTACTAATGAAACTATATAATTAGATCATCAAGTCCGTTTAGCCTACCCTCGATCCCTATTCCACTCAGTGGAGGGATGCAGGCACCGTATTGATGAGGACACAAAAGAATAGTAAAAATTACATTATCAAGATAATAAAAGTTAGTATATATCCAACTATCTATAAATGTTGTTATGTCGCAATGTTGCTAACGATAATGCATCTATAGAACCTCATCCTTAATGTCGTCAAAAACGACACCAAGTTCGAGGGCCTCTTGCGGCCCGGAGTTTACTCCGAGGACGAAGAGCTTCGGTAACAAACGGACAAGCTCTTCAGCGTCCAACACTTCGAAAAGGTTTGGACCTGGATGCGTGGCCGCATCGACTTCGACAGGTCGGCGCCCCTCGGCCAACTATATGTCAAGAGTAAGTATACTAATTATAACGTTAGTATGCCAGCGACATGTACCACCATCATCATCTTGGGCAGGGCCGTGCTTGGTTGTTCTTTGTTTTGTTTCTTTTTTGCCTTTCTTTTTTTTCTGATGGCACAACATGGCACTCTGGCCGCTACGCAGCCGACCATGAGAACGACCTCGAAAACGGCCAATATTACAACCACGCAGCCTCCACAGTCTGGCGGCATATTAACAGCTTCACCTGACTCCCCTCGCCGTCTCGCCCGTTACCAACGCTGTATTTGTAACCCAACAGCCCATTTCAGAGCAACCACCCTCCAAAGGTATTGGTCGAGGCCAGCACACGTGCATCATCCAAGACCGTCGCCAACAATACCAGTGAAGACGAAGACGCCGAAGACCAAAGTGGTGGAGAAGGTGGCGGTGGGAAGAAGAGGAAGAGCAAGAAAGAGGGAAGCCAAGCGAAAAGGAGAAAGATAGTCATCGACGACTCCTCTGAGGAGGATATGGAGGATGAGACCACATAGTGGTCTTCACATCACACCCGCACGCCCTTACCGCTCGCCTTCTTTCTTAACTATCCTCTTCGATGCTATCTTTGGAGTTTGGGCTACCAAGAATGCGGCTTCAGACTGCAACAAAGAATCAGCTCAGAAGCTAAACGCCGTCAGCCGCGGAGATGTACCTCCCAACCCAATACGAGAGAGGGACATTCTCTAGCGATGCAACCAGCAACGGCGCAGGGAGCATACGCAAAGACAAATGGTACGAAGTGAAAATGTCTATTCACAAAGACGTCGAGGTGTTGTCAACAGCCAGATTGGCTTTGTTTCTTGGCTTGACGGCTTTCTCTTTCTTGACCTTAGGAGTAGGCATCGTGATTATTGTCTCGGCCAGAGATCATGCGACTGCGCGGATATTTGGTCTTGCAACTCGCTGTTAATTTCGCACGGGTCATTGCGGACGAAGCTCAGTTCCTGCGCAATGCCGAGAGCGCCTCGTGGCGGTGGAAAACGTAAGTCAAGCTTGTCGGTTTCCTGCTTTTCACAGGACTTTCTTGTCGACGTGACAGTGAACTGACGCAGACTAGACAAATGGACCCCAACACCCCCTCGCGCCCCCGCGGTCGCCCGCCTTCGGCCGCAACCGTTGAGCGCCGCGACGCCCGCCGCCGTAGGGTGGTCGCGGTTGCTGCTGCCCGGCGTGACGCGTACGCCGCCGTAGGGTGGTCGCGGTTGCTGCTGCCCGGCGTGACGCGTACGCCGCCGTCGTAAGTCTCCCTGTCCTCTATGCGTCCGTCTTTGTCCTTATTCTGTGTAGTGTTGAAAGACAGGATTCTAACTGAGTTTAGCGCGGACGTTGCGGCTTTTGCCGACACCGGTTACTTTGACCAAGAAAACCCCTCGATAACCCTCCGGTAACCCTCCTGCAACCCCTCGGAAAAATCCCAGAAACATCAAAGGAACAATGTCAACTTACCGTTGGCGGCGCGGACCTTCTGGCGCTTGGGGCGACCACCCGTATCCATACCGAAAGATCCATCCTCAAGATCGCTTCGGGTGTCAAGATGGATCGCAAGGCACGAAAGGACATCGCTAAGAACGCCGCCAAGTTCAGTGTGGATCTGGCCCCACGCTTGGACATGCGCACGCTCAGTGCATACCTCGACGACTTGGATGAGCAGTGGCAGCCGGCAGTAATGACAGTGCCGTTCACTGATACCAAACGCTTCCCGCTTTTCTACCGGCCTGGACGCACTTCTGATTTTATCAGCGCAGCGGGGGAAATGGTCGATCGCATTGCCAAGCTGATGCCGAGGACGATTCGATGAGAGTCCTTATAGTGCCTTCTCATAGCATCTCTGTCCTTGAAAGGACCCTGATAGTCGCAAAGCTCGCCATTGTTTTCTGCGAAGCGACAAAAACGTTCGCCGCCCGCCTCCGTGCGTTGGAGGAGGAGAACCGCCTCCTTCGGGAGCGGTCCGCTCGCATCAACACTGCTTATCGTCGTGGAGTGCCTTGGTAATGGCCGCCTTAATGTTAGTCCACAAGTTTGTGGCGTCAGCGGGTTTCTCGGGAATGTTGGCGATGAACCGGAGACAATTACGCAATTCGTGGTTCTTCTTGAAGAAGTATACGGCATATTCCTTCAGCTCGTAGTTCTGCTTCTTCAACTCGCGGTTCTCCGCCTCTACGCCGGTCAAACGGTTCAGGGTATCGCCCATGGTTTCCGTAAGTCTGTCCAGGTCTTCCCTCACACTACCGAGTTTATCCAGTTCCTCTCTCATGGCGAGTATTTGGGCGTTAAAGTTCGCAGCCATCCCGTCTACTGTAGTATGTAGGTCGCCTCTCGCCGACGTCTTGTGTCTTTTGGCGTCGCTCCTGGATCCTGCCCCGGCCACGTCGGCCTCCAGTCCGCGGCCATTCTGGATGAGTTGTAGGGATGGTCGAAACTGTGGCTGCAACTTCTGGGCGAACTGATCCTGAATGTCCTTCAGTTCCTTGAAGTAAGTGTCTAATGAACCGGTTGTGCGCAGGTAAACGGCTATAACGCCGTAGGCTCTCAGGGTCAGACCATCCCGGACAATTGGGTTTCTAATATGCGCCGGCCTGTTGGAGTTGTACAGCTTCCGCAGCGTGGGCGGCTGCCTCGGTGGCCTTGGAGCAGTTCGAGTAGATGATTTCGGGGTGGCCCGCGCCCCTAAGCGGCGCACTAACATGAGCAATCTGCAAGGGCACAGTATGGGAGGGTCGAAGGCCAAGCTAAGATTCCATCTATGACAGAAGATTTCAGATGGGGAGAAGAAAAGAGGAGGAGAACTAGATACAAGCGTGCAAACCCAAATAAATACCCTGGTCGCACAAGCGATAGCGGGACCCACATGTGGGTCGCTGACTGCCAGCGCCGTCACACAATCTCGGGGCCGCCAGCTTCGGCTGGCGAGCTAGCCGCTTTCCTGTTCCCCATCTGCTGTTCCTATTGATATTTGAGTGGTGTCTTGGGTTTCTTCCTTCCGTCTATAGTCGTTGGGGGTTATGGGGATGAGTAACTGAAAGCAAAAAAAAAAAAAAAAAAAAAAAACCCACAAAGATATTCTAAGTCCTGTGGATCCCATCTTGGTCTTGGAAATTGGCCTCGTAGTGTTTCCTCTGTTTAGTTCAAAGTAAAGGGCATTTACGACCCCGTATTCAAGAAAAACGCGAATTCCGACTGAATACACTTTAGTATTCGGCATGTGGAAGAACATGGGTAGTAGGCTACCTTTCGGGCTCGGAGTCAAGGATTGCTTCAAGGGGCGGCTAGCGAGGTATTTTTCCAAGGCCATACCCACGGCATGGCTAGGGTGAGCCGGATCCGACCACTCGCCATATGGCATCTTGTCGTAGTCGGGGTAGAAGAGCTTGTTCGCTAGATCGAACATGCCCCTGCACATCCTCAACTGTTGAAGCAGCCGGAAAGTCGGGATCCCCGTAGCTTGTAGCTAAGCCAAGGCCGAGATGCGGCCAGAAGGTGCAAAACGGTTGAGCCAATTACCCTTTGCATCCATCCTGGTTTTGGAGCTCCATCATTGTCGGCGGGAGCTGTTGAACATCGCCAGCAAGTATGATCGGCCTCAGGGTAATGCCCCAGATCGAGCAGAGGTCGGCCTTGTGCATACAGCCTGCCTCGTCTACGGCGATAACCTTGGCTCTAGCCCAAACTTCGTGGAACCATAGCGACTATCTCGATGTAGTCAACGCCCTCCTATTCATCGAGGAGGTCGAAAGGCACCACAGAAACGGTCGCAGCTGGACAGGAGGTTGACGATGGCCTCATGAAGAAACGCGATGATGAGAACAAAAGTGAGGCCAGTAGAGGGCAAGTATCCAAATCGAAGAAGAGATCTCTTCAACAGGAAAAACATGTGTTACAAAAAACATATCTACCGTCAAGCAAAGAAACCAAGAACGTCTTTTTCATCTGAACTCGGCGCTATGTAAAAACTGAAACCGGATTTTTCATCTCTTCTCCCATTGCCAAACACGCTTTTGACCTAATGACCAGAACATCACGGTTGAGAAAGAATAAGTGCCTTCTGAAGATTACTAGCAGAGCGAGAGCTTAGGAGTTTCTCGATGCGGATCAAGGACGATGTAATCCGGACATCAATCAGTTCGGCTTTGGTCAAAAACCAGCGTAAGACAGCGCATAAACAACGTAGTACCGAAAGGCCTTTCGAGTGTCCAGAACCTGACTGCGACAAGACCTTTAAAATGAAGGACGCTTATACCAACCATATAAAGCAAGTACACAGTACCGAAAGGCCTTTCAAGTGTCCGGATCCCGGCTGCGACAAGGCCAACAACACTCCCATATCTTTTACTCAACCGGTCTACGATTTACTCAAAGTCAATATCGCGGATGATGACCTGTCAAATTCGGTTCCATACTTCTCGCTTGCCCAAACCATTTCTTCTGTCCATTTCATGGGGTCCAAGTATTCCTGAAGCTCCCAAAACTGGTGCCACATTTCGTACTAAGGGGCATACGTAAGAAACTATTCGACGGTGACGTTGATGGGGGTACTATTGAGTAGGGAGCGGTGCTTGAAGTGGACGTAGCGCAGCATAGCTTGGTATGTACAAAGCTCGTTTAGGAAATCGAATTCCTATCGAAAAATGAACTTGCGAATCTAGTTGATTGCTTGGCCGGGAACGTTTTCGAATTTGACTTCGAATATTGGTATAAGAACCTTGGGGATGTCCTAGTCCTCATCTCAATGATCAAACTGACGATGTCTCACTCGGTGAACCGACTTTACTCTGATCAGAGTGACAGACTTTACTCTGATCAGAGTGGAAGGGGGGGAGTCGAGAATCTAACTTACGGTCGTAGTCGCAGTGCTGATGGAGCATTTGGGTACTTTCGTAACCCAGTAGCGAGGCCGCATCGCCCTTATCGTACCGTGATTCAACGTTCCATTTGCATGCCAAGGTCTGTCCTAGGATCCTCTGTTCAAGTGCCTTCTCCAGGCTGAGGTCGGGGTATCCCTGAAATGGCCTGGGTTCGCGCTGGGTGACGCTATATGTGGCGCTTGTGGGCTGTTCCGGAATCCCCTCGACATACTCGCGGACATTGTTGAGGTTGTGATATCCGGCATGAGGCGGATAGTGGTTGATAACCAAACTCGCGTTGCCGATTTTCGGAGTGTCACTATTCCATTTATCCTTGCATTGGTACCATTCCAGTTCGGGATGTGGCAGGCGCTGGAGGAGCCCGATATCAGGCTTGTCGATGGTTGCGTAAGGGGTGGGATCGTTGGTGTTACCGATCACATTACCGCTGAGCACTGCGGTATTGGCTTTGGCCTTGCCCCCGGCTTGAGGGAGATGGGGGAGGGTGTTTTGTCGGGCGATGGAGGTGTTTGTAGTAGCGATAGAGGCGTTCTCGGTGCTGCGAAAGGTGCTGCGAAAGGTGCTGCGAAAGGTGCTGCGAAAGGTGCTGCTTCTGTCGGTATCGTCGGGTTGTCGTCTTCAGTTAGACACCAAGCAAAGGGTAAGAAAATAAGCCACACTCTGGCCGGTCTGCCACTGTGCTAGATGACGAAAACCAGACTCGCTCCGGAGGCGGAAGCATCTCCTTGGTGGAGTGCATGAAGTCGGACGCTTGAATGGTGGTTGGACACTCGGTGATATCAGCCTAAATAAAACAGGAAATGACACAATGACAGATACATCTTGGAAGGAACTTGTACGAAATCCTGTTGCTGAAAATTTCTTGTTTGTCCTGAGATGTTTTGTTCAAGGAAAGAACGAGTGTCCTCTCCGCGTTCTTGCCTCCGTTATTCACCGTCCAAGCCAGGGTTAGGGTAGGAGATTGAGTATTTTGTCATGCTTGTGGTAAAGGAGACAGACAGTCTTCGCATATTGGCACGTTCTGTGTGCAGCAGGGAATTTGTGGGGTTTTGTCCAGATGAATGAAGACTGACGCTATTGGTTGAGACTACCTCTAAATAGTAAATACAGAAGGATTCAAGTAGTGATGCTTAAATTCTGAAATAATTCCATGTTTGTTGACTTTGGAAGTCGGAAAGGCAACTCACTATCATTGTGACCTTGAATGGAGGTATGTTTGGATTATGTGCCACGCTTTTGAGTTAGCGCTCTTAAGAAATGTGTTCATGAACTTAGTTCACTTCTTCAAAGAAAAGTATCGAGAAGCTCAACCTCCTTAAACAAGTACCGTACTAGCCTCCGGCCCGTCCCCACCCATCCTCTCCTTCCCCTCCATCCCCTTCTCTCTCCCCTCATAAAACGTATCCAAGTCCTTCACCACCTTCCTCCCCTTAAACTGGCTCATAATCGTCACATTCTTCGCCCTCAACCTAGTCTGATACCAAAGCGGGAACGCCGCCAGCCCGCTCATGATGTTACCCGTCTTGGGAACCACCACCTGTCCACTCTCGCCCGTCAACACCTTCCTGACCACCGCCTCCGCCACCGTCGCCGGCTCCAGCGGCGGCACCATGAACGGCGAATCGTTCTGGTACCCCTCAAACAGCGGCGTCTTGGTGTATCCCTGGTTAACCACAATCGTCCGCACCTTGGGCGCCTTATAAGTACTCTTCAATTCTGCCGTCAAGCCCTGGTGGAACGACAGCGCCGCGGCCTTGGACGCCGCGTAATCCACCATGTTCGGCACGCACACCCAGCTGGCGAAGCTGGCCACCGTCACCACCATGCCATGGTCGCGCTTGATCATGTACGGCAGGAACTCCTGCGCGGTGTAGTAGTGCGCGAAAAGGTTGACGTCGAAGGTAAACCGCAGGTCTTTTTCCGTAGTCTCCAGCACCGTGCGGCCCTGGACTACGCCCGCGTTGTTTATCAGCACCGTCGGGTCGCCGACCTTCTTGCGGACTTCTTGGGCGACGGAGGCGACGTTGGCTCGGTTGGTCAGGTCGCACTTGAAGTAGTGCACGTTTGGGCCGGCGTTAAAGGTTAAGGGCTGGATGTCGAGAACGACAACGCGCACGCCCTTCTCGGCGAAGAGTTTGACCATCTCCCCGCCGATGCCACCGGCGCCGCCGGTGATGAGGACGATCTCGCGCGCCCAGTCGTAGGTATCGGAGACGCCGTTGTTGAGGACGCGTCTGTTCAGGTAGCGGTTGGCGACGCCGATGAGGGAGAGGATGAGGAGGGTCTTGAGGCGCTTGAAGGCTGTCGGGTGCAGGATGGAAAGGTCTTGGCCGCGCTTGGTGTACTTTGCCGCGAGGAAGAGGGGGAGGAGGAGTTTGGCGTTGAAGGCGGTCTTGCCGATTAGAGAGATGAGGGTGTCGCCCTTGAAGCCCTCGCGGGGGAGGAGGCCGTTGTGGAAAGGCATGGTGGTGGTTGTGGTCGTGTCTGATTGGAGTCAAGGGTAGGTAAACGGAGAGCCTGAAGAGAAGGAAGTCAGAAGGAGAACAAGTTCACCACCAGTAACCAAACCTGAAGTGAAAGTGAAAGGCATGTCGTCCCCTTTATTGGAAATGGGGTGTCGTCAATCGTCTTCCCCAACTGCCAAGAGCCTCATAGGGTTGCATGCCATGGCTTCCCCCCGCATCATTGACACGATCTTGGCCCGCATCTGCGCAAGCTACCGAGGTCTGAAGTCCGAGGTCTGGATGGTGTGGATGTGACTTTGTGATGTGACAGTGAGGGGAAGATGTTTTGGCGAAACCGGTAACACGCCATGGTAAGATTGGTAACCCGCCATGGTAATTTTCATCCAACTCTTCAAGTCTGAACTGCGATAACACCACCAAAATGAAAGCTGAAACCGTATTTTTTGCTCGGGTTGTTTCGAATTCGAATGGGCTCTGCCGCAGTCTGCTTGTATGTGACGCTCCTTCAAATTTCTGTGTCGTGTTGGAGGTCAAAAGATGCTGAGATTTAATAACTGACTTTTTGACGATATTCATTGTCTTTAATACGAGCTATCATTAGCGGAGCAGACCCATACGCAGTAGGCCTGCTCAACTTTGGTGCAAAAAAGGCGATTTACCATGGCGGGTTACCAATCTTACCATGGCGTGTTACCGATTTCGATGTTTTGGAGAAGGGGAAAGCCTGTTTAGGGAAGGATTGGCGAAGCTAGAGCTCGAAGGGGGTTCTTTGTCCTCGTCTGCCAAGACCTTCCCCAGATTCCTACGCTAGCAGCCCTAGTGTAACTCTCCTCGAACGTCCAAGCTCTTCTGATGAAGCACATCAAATGAGACACTCGAATGAAGCTCTTCGAAATGTGATCCACCGCATAGAAACTGTCCTCATGTGCTCATTGTTTCTTCAGGTTGTTGTAAAGAGGCAAAGAAGCCCTCAACTTGACGTTCAGCTCGTCCCGTTCAAACGCCAAGTCCCCTCCAAGTCAAACAGAATCCTATTTCTTTTTCTTATCATAACCCAATGCAATGTGATTTTCTCCACATGGACCTCCAGTCCCGTTATGTATCTCTTATACCTCTTCATCATGTAACCGGACAACCATTCCTCACTCCCTCTCCACCGCCAACCTCAATTCACTCTTCAACCCAACCAACTCCATACTAACACTCTCATGACTCCTCAACGACAAACACGCCGCCCTCTGCGCCACATCCACCAAATTCTCAACCCGTCCACCCATCGCCAACCCTGCCACCAACACGCCCAAGAACGTATCCCCCACACCATTAACACTAACCACATCCTCAACCGTCTCCACCGGCGGGAACAACCTCATATACACACCGCCCACATGCGGATGATCATTATAATTCCTCGCCAGAATATACGGCGCATGATGCACATCCCTCAGCAACGGATCCCCCGGCTTCAGCAACATCGTCACCAATGCGCCCTTGGACCCCAGCTTCGTGATGATCGTCGGGATATACGGCAACAGCTGGATATTCTGCTGCGGCAGTCCCATATCAGTGATCTCCGCGCTTGTGAGTCTGACGAACTTATCCCTCGAGCCGTGCATGCCAAACGTGTCGATGACTTCGAACCAGCTGTGCGTAAAGTACTCGTTCCGCGTCGCGGCGCTATGCATCGCTTGGAGCTCGTACTGGTTCGGGGAAGCGAGATCGACGCTGGCGTGAGGAAAAAGACGCAGAGGCAACTGGCCGCCGAGCTTGGGAGCGGCGAAGAGCCGCTCGGACTTGGCGGCCGAGACGGGCTCGAAGGCGACGCGGGCGCCGTGCTTGCGCCCGGCTTCGATCCACGTCTGGATGTCGGTTTCGGCCCAGTTGCCGTCGACGACGAGCCACTTGGGCTTGGTGGCGGCTACGGCGGAGTTCCAGTAGGTTGGGAAAGAGTGGTTGGAGAAGATGGCCATGTCGGCCATGGCCATGACGAGGTTCTTGTCGGCGTCGTTGACGGCGACGTATTGGGCGGTGCGAGTGGAGGGGTATTCCCGGCCGAGCTTGCGGATGCAGGTGGTGTCAAGGCCGGAGGCTTCGAGGTTGGCGAGGATGGTGGCCCCCGCGCTGGGATCGGGTAAGTTTTTGCTAGCTGGAAGAGGGAAGTGATGCCATGACTTACATATCGTCACCGACCATACTGCAGAGCCTGACTTGGCCCTCCTCGCTGACTTTGTTGGCGGCAAGGGCTACGTTGTGGCCAACACCTCCGACGGATTGGGTGATATAGGAGGGATTGGATACGTGGGCCAAAGGCGAGACTACCTTATTGCCCTCGGCATCAACACCGCCGGCATAGTCACAGCTCAGATCAAGGGCGACCGAGCCAGCGACAAGGATGTCAGCCGTATTAGACTGTTCAAGGTGGGTTGATCATTAGGTCAGTGACACGGCAGTTACTGGAAGGGCATGCAATTACTGAAGCCAAAGCTAGACCTTACCTGCTGCTGCTGTGCGACCTTGGAGGGCTCAGGCTTGATCTCTACTTTCACTTTGAGCGTTCCAGGAGACTGAATTGTGAACCTGATCAACTCTACGTTAATAAGGTATAGTTTAGCTGGCTTATGGAAGTTGTAATAAGGTGCTTACGCAGCAGCCTGAGAGGAGGAGCGAGACCCGTCCATAAGCTTACTGAGCTCCACTGCTATCTTAGCGGCCCGCTTGACGTTTGACTGGACCAAGAACTTATTGGCAGGCACACTGCGGCCCTCGGTCAGTTCCCTGATCCTCTTAAGGATATACGGCGTGTTCTCGGCGCCGCTGAAGCCCTTCTCGTCCGCCTCATGCACGGCGACGCTGATGGCGTGCTCCATGTCCTGCCTGGAGATGGCATGCTCCTCCGGAATGGGATTGGCCAGGAGCAGACCCGTCTCAATGTTAAGCTGTTCCTGGGCATAGATCATGGCCGCAGCTTCGGCCTCGGTCTGGACCACCGAAGGGCTCTTGATGCCGCTTTCACGAGCCCAAAAGGCGGGGAAGTCAATGTTTCCTTGACGTCCGTCTGCGAACGTGGACACCAGGACTCCTTGGGTCTCAAGGAACTCGAGTGTCCTGGGGATATCGAGGAAGCCCTTGCAACCACTGCTTATTACGGCGACCCGAGTCCTTCCAAGCTCGGTCAAGTCGGCCGAGATATCCATTGAGTTCTCGCCGCCCTTGTGAACACCACCAAGACCGCCGGTACCAAATACGCGGATACCGGCGAGTCTAGAAAGGACCATTGTTCCAGAAATGGTGGTACCACCATGGATCTTGGTTCCAGTAAGGCCCTGTATGAAAACCGAAGGTTAGCATGCCGTGGCCTCCCTAGCAGTTATGAATCAGTCACGGGACCTCGTAGTGACCGAATTACCTTTCCAACCAGATATGCAAGATCGCGTCTAGAAGCCTTCTTTGCACCCTCATTGACCATGCGCGCCACCTCCTCAGTGCCTAGACCAACTGTTGGCACGCCAGCCAAGATACCGCAAACAGCGGGGACAGCTCCATTCTTGCGAACAATGTCCTCGAGGTACAGGTCGTCTCCGAGGGCGCCATGGGTGTAGATGGTGGACTCTAGAGCAACGACGGGCTTGTTGGTGGCCAAGGCGTCGGCAACTTCAGGGGAGACCTTGAGGAGGCTGGCGAGTTGAGAGTCTGTGCTCCTGAGTCGTCGTTGGACGGTGTTGAAACCGGGTTGTCGGGCACACTTGAGTCGCGAGCCTAGTAGGGCTGAGCTGACATGGTGGGCCCGGCTAAGGAGGTGTTGCCGAGCTGTCATTTTGGTGACCGGTGACTTGGGGCGTGGGAACGGATTGAGAGTGAGGATCCGCAAATCAACTCGGTTTCCTCCTGTCGGCTGCTCCAGGTATCTGGCTATTGGTCAAAGATCCTTGAGCTCCTCCAGGCCTAACCACAATTTGACAAGGATCACCGGTAGTAAGTATTCAAGATGCAAAAACAATGACGAGTGAACTTTTATATGTACTTTAGCCGCCGTGATACCTGACTGTTCGGTGGTGGATCGACGCCAATTGCTGTTACCAAGAGATATCTGATGTTGTGTTGTTGGTTAAAATGACCATGGGGTAAGCTGATGTGGACCCCACCCCCGCCATTGAGCTTGCGCCCTTCGAAAGAATGCCGGGCGATAAGATAAGAGTACCTTTCCTGTATTAACTGTCAAACATCAACCAGGATTGGCCAATGCCAACCTCTATGAGGCAGTACGGAGTCCGCGGCATCTTGACAGTTGATGCTAGAGAAAAGTATAGTGTAAAAGCTTCTTGAAAGGAGTTTGTTGGCTGCTGTGTTGAAACAGAAGCATTATTGGCGAGTCTCCTTATTTGACAGCACTGTCAGTTTAAATGAGCAGTGTCAATGTTTGCGACTTCTCTCCGTTCGGGAAGGTGCTTGATCGCGCAGCGTGCTATCGACACTAGGGAGCCCGCCAAGCACCAAACCCCGGGCCAGGTCCGCGCCAAGACCGTTCACAGCCGGAGCCGTCTTTTTCGGCGCTCATCGGGATAATCATAGACGCCGTAGCCTCCGGATATGGTCTGTGCATCATCGGAGCCTTCACCCCTTGTGTTGTTGTCGCTTTCGTTTATGTTGACCTTCTGGAAGACTTGATGGAAAACAGCATGTCACAAAAGGTACTTCGAACTTGTACCTCGAACAAGGCTGCATGCTTGTGATAATAAGTGGATCCAGCTTAAGTGGAGCAAGATCTGCAATCTGCAAGGCTGATAACGAAAAAAAAGTTCCCAACGTCAAACAAACCAAACACTAGCGACTTGGCCGTGGCACTTCCGTCCAATTTCACCCCATTGACCACGAACGAATCTCAGAGGCAAATTCCTGTTCCCGGACTTTGCACGATCACTCACGACAGAACACCATGGCGCCGCAAACAACAGACGAGGTTTCCGACGACAACGAGTTCGTCGGATTCGACGAGGAGAGCGATGAGGAGATGCACGACAACGATGGCATGTCGGTAGACGACGAGGAGGAGGACGACTCCGATATGGATTCAATTGCCGACCCAAGGAAAAAGGACGAGATTGACGAGAAGGACTCCGACGAAGAAGACCTCGAACGATTTGTCTTGGGCAACAACGACACATTCCGCGCCCAGCTCTTCCGCGACGACTTCCTCGCCGACATTACCGATTCCAAGGCCCTCGTCAGGGCCGACGGGCAAGATGACACCACCGGTCTCGAACACGTCGACGATAACGCCCTCTTCGCATTCGATACGGGTGTCCCCGGCGACAAGAAGCAGACAGAGGCCGCGCCCTCGGCACTAGAGGCTCACGAGCAGAAGGAGGAACCCCCAGCATGGGAGGACAGCGATGACGAGCGATTGACAGTGTCCCTCGCGGCTGCCTCGCGGTTGCGCAAACTGCGTCAGTCCGAAGAGGAGGATGTCGTGAACGGTACCGAATACGCGCGCCGTCTGCGCTCGCAATACCTCCGACTATACCCCCTTCCCGAGTGGGCCAAGGAATCCTCGGCCGCCAGCCAGCGCCGGAGGAGAAGATCCTCAGCCGCCGGCTCCTCCTCCGAGGACGACAGCGACGCCGAAGACGACATCGACTCAGCCCTCCCTCTCGAGACCTTCCTCCGCGATGTCAACTCCTTCAACGCCAGTGCCGATGCCCGTGGCAGCAAGCGCCGCAAGCTGCGCCCCGAGACCATCGACATCCAGCGCTCGCGCGACATTCCCGACATCCACAAGCAGTCCGTCAGCTCGCTCTCCTTCCACCCCAAGCACCCCATCCTGCTCTCGTCCAGCGTCTCCTCCATCATGTACCTGCACCAGGTCGACCCGACCGCGCACCCGGTCCCGAACCCGGCCCTCACCTCGGTGCAAGTCAAGCGCACCGACCTTCGGCGCTCCGAGTTTCTCGGTCCCGATGGCGACGACATCATCTTCGCCGGTCGCCGGCGCTATTTCCACAGCTGGAACCTGTCCTCGGGCGCCGTCAAGAAGGTCACCCAGATCCAGGGCCACCAGCGCGAGCAGCGCACCATGGAGCACTTCCGCCCCTCGCCCTGCGGACGCTACCTGGCGCTCATCGCCTCGGAGAAGAAGGGCGGCGGCATGATCAACATCGTCAACGTGCGCACGATGCAGTGGATCGCGCAGGCGCGCACCAACGGCCGCGGCGGCATCTCCGATTTCGCCTGGTGGGGCAACGGCAACGGCCTCTCCATCCTCGGCAAGAACGGCCAGGTCACCGAGTGGAGCATGCTCAGCCGCCGCACGGTCGGTGTCTGGCGCGACGAAGGGTCGATCGGCGGCACGGTGATTGCGCTGGGCGGACAAAAGGGCACCGGACCTAGCCAGATCGGCGGCGATCGCTGGGTAGCTGTTGGCTCGAATAGCGGTATTTTGAACATTTACGACCGGAATGATCTGGTTGAGTCTGTTAAGAAGGAGAGTGGTGCGTCGGAGGAGACGGTGCAGATCAAGAGCATCCCCACCCCGCAGAGGACGTTTGAGCAGCTCACGACGCCCATCTCGGTGGTGACGTTTGCGCCGGATGGTCAGCTGTTGGCGTTTGGTAGCTTCCACAAGAAGGATGCGTTGAGGCTGGTGCACTTGCCTAGCTGCACTGTGTACAGGAACTGGCCTACGGAGCAGACGCCGTTGGGTAGGATCACTGCTGTGGCGTTTAGCCATCAGAATGGTGGGGATGTGTTGGCGGTCGGCAATGATGTGGGCAAGATTAGGATGTGGGAGATTAGGAGTTAGATGTGAGCATGATGTAGACTGAGCGTTGTGTTCGTGGTGTTCGTGGTAAAACAGTGCGGGAGTATAGAATAGGTGTAATTCAAGGGTTTCGACTACAAAATACCGACCAATTCGTTTAAGGGTCTCAGCAAACGTTGTTCATTCTGTATTCCTGTGCTGTTCTTTTTGTACATGCCATGTCTCAACCACATCTCTATTTATGTATCCCTTCTTCTCCGGTTGAGTAAGAGGTAGATTCCTCAGGTACTTCCAGTTTCCGTCTGCTTTTCCTCCTTCTCCCTATTCAACTTCGTGTCCTCCTTCTTTTTCAACTTCGCCTCCTTCTTCTTTCTCAACCTCTCCTCCCTCTCCCTCTGCAACTTCTCCTCCAACTCCGGGTCGGAAATATGCTTCAACAACGCCCCCTCCGGCTCGCTCTTGATGACATTCTCCCTGGGATAGATCTTTTTATGCTCCACGGTATACTTGGAGAGTGCCTGCGGGGTCGGGAATCTCTGCGGCCTTGCTTTCCCTCCAGCCTGAATGGTCCTATCGGCTTCGAGAACGTCGTAGATGTTGACGAGCACGGTTTCGATGGCCTGTTTTCGTATCGTAAAAAAATGGGTGTTAGTGTTAACTGTTTCTGAGCATGGGGTCAAAAGGGACGAAAAACCTCAATACAGGTACATACCTCTCGACAGCTCTGGATACTCTTAAACTCGCCTTCCAGACCAATGGTGTCGCACAGTCTCTTCCAATCCTTGAGTTTCCTCCCGCCTATGAACTCGTTGAAGTTTCGGACGACTTCCTCCTGCTTCTTTCTTCTTTCTTCCTGTTCTTCCTTTGTCAGTCTCGGCTTCTTTCCTTTCCCAGTCGGCTTTTTCTTGTCGTTCGGCTGGCTGGCCTTGGTTGAGTTCGGTCTATGCCCCTGCGTTGTGTCCCCGACATAGTGCCAGTGCCCAAGTGCGAGGGGAATTGTTGGACTGAGTCCTATTGCTCTTAGTCTTCCCGCTAACACTAGGCGGTTGAGGCTGGGTGGTCGTCGCTGAGGTAGGGAGCGGAGCAGAAAGGCGCGGAGGGAGTTCATGGTCTTTTCGTTGCTGAGGGTTAGTCAGGGTAAATGTTGGGTTTTTTGAACTCCAAGTAGACACTTACCGGTACAGCTATGATAAAACCGTGTCTGGATCTGTCGAGTTTCGTTTTCGTCTGTCTGCTGGTTTGTTATGTATTCTGCTACGTGTGGCAATGAACACCAGTGTTTCATTCGCGGCCAAGTTTCTCGCAATGGACTGAAGAGACACTGAATAAAAGAACGGGTAAAGCCAAGAAGTAAGACTTTGGCACTCTAAGCGAACGGGAAAAAAAAGAAAAAAAAGAGAACAAGAAGCAAAGTCCATCGTGATTGAGTTGAGCATGTCCAATTCCGAAGTAAATTCCTTTGCAAACGGACGGCGGTTGACGTGGACTAGGTATGGCCGTTTGTCACCAACCAAAAGGAGCTTTCGAGCTGCACGACACACCACGAGAGACAGACACTTTTCGCACATTTCCACAATCCTTGGGTACAAACAATTCTGTCGAGCAAAACTTCCTGATAATGTTTCATTGGCACTAGGTAAGGTAGTGCACAATATTTAGTCCTGCTCATCGCATGCCTTCTCCGAGGAGGGCTTGATATGCATCATTTGAAAAGGTACATCGGCGTAGCGATCGCAAAGTCTTCTCTTTGCCATTTTGTCCAAAAGCGCTTATCTCACCGGCCTCTATGGGTAGTTTAACTGAAGCGAATTTGATATGGTAGATTGGCTTGGTGGTCGCTAGTGATTTTTTCCGAAGACATCGTCGTTGAGTGGATGATTGCGTTGCGTTGCTTAAGGTACCCTATGCATTCGTGCAAAGACAAAACACGGGTTTGGTTGCCTTCAATCTGAGTAGAAATGATGTACCTAGGTAACTTGTTCACTAACCTTTCAACATCCAAGATTTCAAAGTTCAAGCGAAAGGTAGAGAATGTAAATCTGACGAGTGTCCGGCAAGTGTCTGTTTGGGGATACCTGTGTCGTTCCATTCTGTCATCCATCGCACCGATACCTCTACAACTAGGCAGTCAAGAAAAACATTGAGGCATGCCGTCGTTGTGACTATGAACAAAAAAAGAGAAAAATAAAGACGAGAAGTTAACAAAAATTTTGACTGAAGCGTGATTCGAACACGCGCCTCTTTCGAGACTAGAATGCACCTCACCTTAATGGTGAAGAAGAACTTGGTTCTTGAGTCTAGCGCCTTAGACCGCTCGGCCATCCAGCCATTGGAAGATTGTTGAGATGAGAGGTGGGTTCCAGTACCTATATTGCTTACTCCACAAATCAACATATACTTATGGATGTATGCACAACTAGTTCAGTGATCACAATTTGATGGGCGTATGCTAAGCGATAGTAGTATATATCAAATTGACGAACGGTACAATTTGAAGAAGAAGATATACTGATTGATGCGAAGACGTAGATGCAAAGAATATATAGGAAGGTTGGGAGGTACAGGGCATGATGGCGACAGCGGCTTAAGGCCGAGATGCATCAACAACGCGCACATGCCTACTCGAGTGTTCTTGTATAGATGTACATTCAGGGACACAGACAGGGCCTTCTTCAACCCAAACGCCAACAAATGCAACCTGCCCGTCTGTCACACGGCCCGACCCTACTTTACTTCCAGGGGGGATGTGGCTAGAACAGTCCTCAAATCGCGGATACAAGATTCTTGAATCATGTCTACACCCGGAACTTCACCTCGCCTCCAGCTTCGTTCTTCACAGACACTGACGTTCTTCAAGATGAAAGTGTACAAGTCAGGGTCGCCTGTTGTTGCATGTTCATGGTAGGAGGACACCGTTAGCTTTGGGCCTACGTCCTACCGATCAGTCGATGTTAGCAATATCTTTTGTAGTATAATACAAGCTTGAAATTGCTGGATTTCAGATGCCGATTATGCCTCGCTCAACTCGTGTCACGAACAGAGGAATGATTGTCGTCAAATCAAGGTCCGTTGATGGCACAAGACCGCCCGTGCTCTCGGGAGCTCCACTCGTTCGGGAAGTCCGGCGAACAGCCCGGATGATCCGCATAAAATCGTAGCATCCCGGCATCCAATAGCATCCAATGGAATCAGCCATGAGGTTGAAGCATGGGACATAGCTGTCTAGGGGACGACCTGATCTCGATGAAGTTGAAGATGCTAACCGAGACTGCGGGTATAAATCATGCCATGCTCGACCGTCCAAGGATGTACACTCCTCATCACTGACCCAACTTTCACCCCCTCTTGTTCGTGATCTGAGCACCATGGCCTCTTACGCTTCCGCTCACTCACCAACCGAGTCCAGATCTCTCACACTCAGAAGCCTGCTTTCCGTCTTTGGCGCTGGACCGGGGCACCAAAAGTCCGAGTCAGTAAACGTGGAAAAGGACGACGAGACCATCCCGGGTCAGCTCCCTCTTCTTCCCGCCGGCAATTTCTTCGGAAACGTATCAGCAGTTGCCCAAATAATCTGGGCCTTCACCAAAAATGACCTCTTCACTTCCACGCTACCCAACACCATCTTCGGCATCACAGCCGCCATCGCTGATACTCACCTCCGCGGCGAGGCTTCCGAAGGCCCCACATTTTCCGAAATAATTGCCAGATTCCCACTCACCTACTTCTTCAACTTCTACGCCCTACTCATCTTCAATCTCGGCAACCAGCGGCCCCGGGAGGGGTCCATCGCCGAGGAGCGCGTCAACAACAAAAAGCCCTTGCCCTCTGGCAAGACCATCACAACGCCCGGGCAGATCCGCCGCGCCTACCTCATCCTGCTCCCCATCACCCTCGCCGTCAACCACCTTTTCGGCGTCTGGCACGAAGGGCTCATGATCCACCTCCTGACTTTCATCTACAACGACCTCGGCGGCGGCAACGAGCCCTTTGTGCGCGACATCATCCTCGGCATCTCATTCGGGTACATCAACTCTGCCTCTCTCAAAATTGCCCTCTCAGCCACCACCACCACCGCGACCACCACCACCACCATCAGCAGCAGCAGCAGCAGCAGCAGCAGTAGCCCGCACGGCCACACCTGGACCTGGCTCAACCTCGTCAGCGTCCTGATCGCCACCACCATCGGCTGCCAGGAATTCAAGAACCACAAGGACCACCACGGGCAAGAGGGGGGCGGCGGCGGCGGCGACGACGGCAAGACGATGATGCGCAATAACAAGCGCAAAAAGACGCTAGCCATCTTCCTCGGCGAAGCGGCAGTCCCGCGGGCGCAGCTGGCCATGATGATGCCGCTCTGGACGCTCGTCTGCGCGTGGTTCTGGCGGCTGAAGATCAGTGTCGCCGCCTCCTTTTTGCTCTATTCGCTGTTCGTGGCGAGCAGGGTGCTCACGCAGAGGAACGCGGGTGCGGAGGAGCGGACGTGGAGGTTTTGGGCGAGATGGACGGTTGTGGTTTATTTGTTTCCGGTTGTGGCTGTTTTGTCGGCGGATTGAGGCCTGAAGGGATGGGCCTCTGGCTGGGCGTCTGGCTGGGCTGGGCTGGGGTGGCTTGTTGATTCAGGTTTGTTTATTCTACCTACGTTGAATGACTGGATGAGACGGATGAGGCGGATGAGGCGGATGATTGCGGAAGTTGATGCGGTGTGGGGAGGGAACTGGTTATGCGTGAGCAAGGGGTGTGTCCTGGAAAACACAGGTCTTTTCCGGACGACATGATGTTTGGATGCTTGGAGGATTCGCTGACGTGGGTGGTAGTGCGACTCGTGGAAGCCTTGAAGGCCAAATATTGTAGACTGTAATGATGATGATAATGATGACGGATGATGATAAGCGGAGGCTGGTAGCAGTGTAGAAGCTAGTTGATTCACAGATCAAGCTATTGAGGCCTTTTTTTTCGTACTGATCGGGTCGCAAAGCGTGTTAGCTGTAAGTATATCTATGTTGATATTGTGAGTATCACATCAATAGGGTCGGCCGGAAATGCGGGATAATGGTATTTTGAGCAAGAGAGAGGAAAAGTGAAAAGGGCATGGTAGAATTGGTGATGCAGTTGGGTGGGTCGAGAATGGTCTGTGCGCTGAGCATCGTCCGTGACAACCAGATGCAATGAGATGATGTCTTAACAGCTTTGTGGGGGAGCTTGCGGCTTTTCAGTTAGTGCGCTATTTCACGGTCGTCAGAGTCGGAAGGTGAATGTATGACAAAGACGAACCGTTTGAGCGACCAGGCTCGCCAGGTTCGAGTCTCGAGTTTTCACTTTTATTTTTCAGGTTCCAATAGAACAAGCTCTCGTCGAAAAGATAAGTGACACAGATCTCCGAATTCGGTGCGCGAACCGGGCTTTCGTTCTCTAGAGGTATTTTGCTCTTCTCCGAGTTCCTTGTATATATTGGGCCGGCAGGAGTTCAGAGAGGGCAAAAGGAGAAAAAGGCTGAGGTGAGCCGGTGTGTATGCCAGCCTTGGGTTTATAGTTTGTGGATGATAAGCTTCGTTCTCTGTTCGGACCTCATAGCGAGACTCTTGAGCCGAGTGAGCGCTCACTGAATCAAGACGCGCCCCTCGATCGTTCTCAAACAATCTCGCATCGATACCACCCCCTAGCTTCGACATCTTCTTCTCCGAGGTTAGGGTCCGTAACACCCACTTTCCTGCGCTCTTCTGCGCATCGATCGATATAGTCCAAAAACCTGCTGATCTTCCCCGTATAACCCAAGTTAACGGCCGAAGTATAGCGAGAGCGAAGCGTTTTGGTGATTACACCGTTGCCAAACGGGTCTTTCTTCAACCACTCCTCTCGGTCGGCAAAGCTTGGGAGTTTCTCATCCTTCTGCTGAATTTTCCCTTCTTTTCTCATCTTCGCTATGCGCTCCTCATAGACGCGTCGGCCTTCCATACCCCATGGGTCCTGGATAAAGAAGTGCCCGATTCTTCGGAATTGTCCTGGAGACGAGTTTGTGCGTACCAAAAGCAGCCCTCCCAGTCGGAGCAGACCTGAATAGGTCAGTTTGAGGTCGATGTCGGTCTGCAGGGGGGCCACGTAGACTGTGATGCCCGCGTCCGTGTCAGCAGCCGTTTCTTTCTCGCTCCAAGGGAGGTGGTCGAGCACCACCAATGTGCGAAATCCGGAGTCATTGTCCTCGGGCATGTCAGGGTTTGAAACCGTGTCTTTTGTGTCTTGATCGAAGCACAAGATCTCTGTGTACATCGTCTTGACCAATCTTGCTTGGCACATGGGCCCGTTGAGACGGATAGTCCCCTTGGTCAAAGGGCCAAATGGATGTTCATGCGACACCAAAGTGACGTCCACCTGCACAACTTCGGCTAACCCATCAAAGTCGTCGGCGTCAAACCACTGGACTGGTGTGCTGACAGAAGCCCACGACCAGGATGGCGCGATGAAGTCCTTTGCCGGAATAGAGGGCTTCATACTATGCCAAAGAAGGCTCGAACGAAGATGCAACGACCAAAGACCGGCGTGATATTGGACACCGTCCCAGAGCTGTCCCAACTCGGCGGCCATGCCCACGATTGCAATGAGCCTATCGCTCGCAAACGTCAGGTTCAAGCGTGAGTAATCCTTCACGATGTTTTGCCAAACATTTCGGCGGCTTGCATCTGTTTCTCCCTCGACAGTATGTTGTCGCTTTTCAAGTGCAGTTCCAACAGGGGAGTTTTCGGACCCGGTAGAGTCGTGACACTCCCAATGTATCTCTTTTCCGAAGATCAGGTTTCGCCGAGCCAAGACTCGCTCTTGCATTACCCAACCTCTTGAGAAGAGAGTGAGATCATTGAGATTCTCTCTCCTGGCGTTCATGTAAGGATACGAGGCGAGTTTGGGTCTGTGAGGATCTCCGAGGGGCACAAGAAATGGGATGCTGAGAAAGGGATACTTCGATGAATAGAGCCCGCCGTGGGAGTTGGATGAAGCAGCCGCCATGAGATTGAGGTATGAGTTTTGATAGATATGATGCATCTTTGCGGATTCGTGGAGCCAATCTTCGCGAGAGTCTTGGATGATACACAAAGAGTCAATCCATAGGTATTGGACACTCAGACGCCGAGTTGCGTCGATGGCGTCTCTGAATGTTTTCGGTATTTCGCTGAACTCGATCCCTGCAAGGAATTTGTTGTAGTTCTCGTGCAAGAGACGTAGCGGAACACCGTCACCCCAGCAATGACTAAGTGTCATGTAATCTGTCCGCGACAAATCCAGAGTTTTGGTCTCGCAAAGATTTACCGAAGAGTTGGCAAGATCACCCACAACTAACAGCCGGGTGGGCTTGCGGTCTCGAGAATCGTGACGAATTTGAGCAATGCAGGAAGGGTGGTTGACGGAGCACTGGTCGACCCATCTGAGTATCTGCTTCCAGCTGGCTTCACTGTTAGTGCTAGTGGCCTCAACAAACTGACCTTCCGCTTCACCTAGTTGGCGCGACGAAGAGTTGAAGAGGAAAGTTAGCCGCTAAGTTACACAAGAAAGGGGAGAGTCTGTGCGATATGCCACGTTCTTACTCAAGTCTATGCCTTCTTCGAGTGGCTCCAAGGTTATGTCATACAGTTTGTGACTGATTGAATGCACCTCCCACGATACCATTACATCGGGCGTCCCACTCCCAAAGCTCCGGTCCCAAGACCGTATTCGCAACTTGAGTGGGCTTGTACTTTCTTGCGACCCCAAGTTATGTGGATTCGTGAGGCGCAAGACATGCTCTTCGTCCAAGGTATTTAGAAGAACGTAACAGTGGTGACATCCCTCCCTGGCCGCGTCAGTCAACCCCGCCCAGTTGTGAAAGTCATATTCTTTCCCCGGGTAGTCCTGGATACTCAGATCTGCATTCTCCAATATCCATCTGCATTTGGAACAGTAGTGTAGGCGTTTTGAGAGAAATTCAGGTGATGGATGCAAGAGGGATTGCGGTGACTGAACCGCCTCCTCCTGGGCGTCGAAACCAATGTTCTGCTCATTATTTGACTTTTCGGACATTGTTCCTTGGTACTTGTCGCTGTTTTGGACAACGGATACCTTGTCGGGAACAGGCTCGTGAGTGTTGTGTTTTGAAGAAGGATGAGGTTGACGATGGTTCGGAGTCTCCATCTCGTACCCCGCACGGGCTAGCGACGACAAGGCCTTATCTGGTTGCATATATGTACAAGAAATCACTCAATACCCCGCCAATACCTCAAGTGAGTGGCACAATTTTCTGTATGGTAGCGCTTGATAGGAACATATGCGCCATTCCTTCCATCCGCTTCCCGACAAAACCACCGACGTTGTAGATTGGCATCATTCGCATCACCGAAAAATTGAATGACTGGCTCCGGATGTCATGAGGTGCTGAATTCTCATTTATCCTCACTTGTATCGTGGTAGTGGATATTAACTCCTCTCCGGCAGCCCAATCACGACGGACGACACGGAATACATCGATCTGATCTCCATGCCGCAAAAGCATGTGCGCTCCGATTGCGAAAACCAACTTCTTCTCAGGCCAACTTCACAGCCCCATCATGCGTCTTATATTCAGAACAAAAGACACAGACCAAAGCGCGTGGGCGGTTTGAGATTTGCTTCAACCTGATACGATGAAATAGCCGCGCAGAACCGACCGCGGTGCGGCAACCTTTGGCGATTTTACACAGGTGCGGGCGACCACCCAACTCAACCGCCCGACCTGACTCACTGACTACAACCCCGAAAACAACCACCACTCAGCGATTCAGCCCTACCTCACACCTCAAACGCCTTCCAGTCGGCCGTCTACCTTGATGCCCAAAATATCCGACGATGACAGACTCCCACGAAAAGAAGAAGCCCACGTGGGCCCGTTCATACGGCCGCCTTTCCGACTTCGCCTTCCGCTCCGCCATTGCTTCATCGCCATCTGTTATCAGGAACCCACGATGGCGGCCTGTCCCTGGACTCGCCCTCGCCAGACCGCGAAGGCAGATTACATAACCTCTCTTTCTGGCGCCCGTCATATGTGGGTTTGCCGCGGCACTTCGAAAACTCGACGATGTTCCCTTCGCGCCAAGTGAAGTTGCGCAAGACATCTTACGTTCAAGACCTCAATCCAGTTCCTCAAAGACACAGCGCTGGTTGGGAAAGCCAAGTTGAATTTCCTCCGCTGCAGCCACCCGAACTGTCTTCCCCCGTTCCAGGCGCGCATCCTCTTTTCTTTCATTTCATTTCCTTTCCCTTTTGTTCAGCTTCACGCGACATCTTCAAGTTTGGCATGCTACCTACCTGTGGCCATCTTCAGACTTTCCCATTCTCTCTCTACCGTCGCCCTCAATGCTCTCTCCCTCTTTCCTCTTTCTTCTCTTTTTTTCACTCTGAATGTCACTCTTTCTCTCTTTTTCTGTTCATCGCTTTCCTTCTTTGTTCCTCCTAGATGCGCGCATGTACCCGTGTTGTTTCAACTTCTGCATCCCATCCCATGGATGCCCAGGTACCAAGTGGGAAGCCACTCATCTAACGTCATGCTGTGCTACTCTCCCACGCGCTTCTTCCAAACATCTGGCCTGTCCCGGATTTCCCAAGTAAATCCCTAAATTTCGGATTGGGATCTTGGGAAGCAGTACATCCCGCGATGGGGTCATGTCATGGCCGGCCGCCCTGTGTCAAGTGTCAACACCGAGGCTGTGGATCTGCTTAGCTTACCCTTACTTTACCTTGGCTTCGCTTACCTTACATACGCACCTTAAGCTGTTCCAAGATGTCAAATGATTTGACGTGTCGCTTTGACTGGTGATTGCAGGGGTGAGAAAGTAGTGGTGGACGATGGTGTTGCAAATGGAAATAGGACGGAGGCTGAGTTTAGAGTGCGTCCGATCCTTCCGCTCGCCAGATCACCTGCCCCTATACACTATATTACACTACTCCACAGCACGATAGTATTGATTACCCACGAATAGCAACACATCGACTTTACTCGTCGGTTGCTTTTACCGAAGCGACCTTGCCCAGAAGTTTAGTCGCTACCGCCAATTAGTCCCGTCGCGTACTATGTATAGGGCGATCGCCAGCGCACTAACAGCACACCAACAGCACACTAGCACACCTTTATTAGCTGGTGTTGATCGCGCACCTACCGTTCCAGCGAACGGTGGGATTCGGAGTTGGTCTTGGAAATTGTACTTGGAGCCTTGGACGGGCGGTTAAAATGATAATGAAAATGCTTCGGAGTGATGGAGCAAGTGACCACCACGACCGCTCCGGACTCCGGATGGATATTGATGCTGTTTGAATTGATTCCTCAAGTGATAAGATGGACAAACTATGATGATCAACAAGTGAAGAGGAAAAGCATACATGATCACTCATCACATTCACACCTCATCCATGTGATAGTTTACCTCCCACTTATCGAAACCAACACAACGAACAGCGCAGAAAAAAAGGGCCTTTCATTTCCTTCAACATTTTTACTTTTTCAACTTCATCCCCCAGCACGTCGCATCACTTTCCCAGCTTCCAGCTTTCACAGCTCCCCATCAATCCAAAACAGTTTGCTTAATTGAACGTGCCGCTCTGCAAGGGGTAAGAGAAACGTTAGGTAGTTCCTTTAATTAACTACCACACTCAACAACCACCCACTGCACCAGGGCAAGTACACCACCAACGGCCCCAAGATGGAGGCCCAGACCTATCACTAGCACAGCACCCACCTGGGCATAGCACAACACATCGTTCCTTTCCGTTCACCAGTAGAGGTATCGCGACCCAACAACACAACTCACCTTTTGTTACACAGCCACGAGGGTCGCATCAATGTAGTAGTGTATAACGGGGGCCCTGCAATCTTCCGTCCGCATTGCATCCCGCTCCTACAACAGGGGCAACGCTCCACTTTTTGTTTTGTTTCCAGTTCCCCCTTCAGGCGCAATCCCATCCCATCAAAGAAACGAGATCAACAGGTCACAAAACACTCGTGCCAGGTGGCTTGGCGTTTCCATCGCAATTGGCCCTTGTCTTCGGTTGTCATATGCAGCTAGCGAGCTAGCCAGCAAGTAGCGTATAGCACTAACGACTCCCAACGAACACAGCCCGTCAGTTAGCCCGTTGAACACTTGAACTGTGACAACTTACTGTGTGTCCAGCGGTACTACTAGTACCGTGGTAGTGCAAGTGGTACGGTACCTACCAACCTGCTGCTACGCCGTTAACGCCTCTTCCTTCCCGCTTGCTTGGCTTGCTGCGGTAGGCGAGCTAGGCTAGATTACAGTGGTGAACTACGCCCCTGTCCTGCCTTGGCCATCTTGGCCTTGACCTGGCCCCCCTGGGCTTTCTGGCTTTGTGTGGAAGCACCGCAGCAGAACTAAGCAGCAAGCGAAGTGAGCTATCTCCCACTCTCCACGAGTTCCCGCTTCCGCTTGGAACACAAGGACACTCGAGATTTATTTTTGATATATAAGAGGTACTACCAAGAAACTCTCCTTGGCCTGCCTCCTCTTCCTTTGCCTTACCTAGTACGGCTCCGAAGCATCAAAGTAACGGTACTAAAAAGCAGAAAGACAAAAAGAACCAGAAAGCGGGAAAGAAAACAACGAACCAACTGTTTTTTTCACGAGATCCAACAGGAACAAAACAACGGTTGCAAAGGGGTGTCAGTTCAAACTTGCCTGAAGAACCGGAATTTATCCACATCCCATCCCATCCCATTTCATCAAATTCCCATATATCCAGCCAACGGAAAGTTTGATTGGAGGGCAGCGACGTCAATCGAGTTGGTGACGCATTCGGGTATTTTCGAGGGTCGAGGAAACAGAAACAAAAAACGAGGTATGTTGTTCGCCCCTGTTGTTAGTTTCACTGTTGGGTCGCACACGTGGAAGTTGGTCCTCCCAAACGCCACCCAAGGAACCGGGTACAAGGTCTCGAATGTTTGTCCCTTGCATGGATAAACGGAGGATCCTGACCGACTTTGAGTTCAGCTTTGATTTAAAGTTGTCGTCTTCCTCCGCCTCCTTGTGCCTTTTTTTTTCCACCTTCTCTCAATCAGTCACTCGCTCAGCATTCAAAGAGAAAAAGGGTCGCACAAACTAACCTCGAGACACCGCACCAGACCAACTTGTCAGCATTATCAACCTAATCGTCGATTATCAACATAACCACAATCCAAAATGCGTACCTCAGTAGCTTTTTCACTCCTCGGCGCGGCCGTTACCGGTGTTGCTGCCCAGAAGCCTGTATGTTGTCAACATCGACCTCCTACCTATACACCGACATAGAAAGCTTCCGAATACTAACTATGCGGTTGTAACAGCTCCCCACAGCTGCAGCTGTCACCAACAACCCCGTTGGTCTCGTTGCCGAAGCGGTCCTTCCCGAGAACGCCTGGCAGAAGGCAGGGTTCCCCAATGGCGGCAACATCAAGGGCAAGGTGGTAGCCAAGTCCGGCGAGGGCGGTGTTGGAGTGCAGTTCAACGTTGAACTGAGCGGTCTGCCTGAGGGTGGCCCCTTCAGTATGTTCCCGACATAACTCACCTTTGCTTGATAGGAAAGGGGTACTAACCTGTTCACAGCCTACCACATCCACGTCAATCCCGTCCCCGAGAACGGCAACTGCACCGCAACCGGCGCTCACCTTGACCCTACCGAGCGAGGCGAGGCCCCCGTCTGCGACAAGAGCAAGCCCGAGACGTGCCAGGTCGGCGATCTGGCCGGCAAGTACGGCGCCATCCCTGCGGGCAGTACCACCTTCAGCGCCAATTACGTTGACAAGTACGCCTCGCTCGTCGAGGGTACGGGCGCCTACTTCCTCAACCGCAGCATCGTGTTCCATTTCCCCAACAAGACGAGGATCACCTGCGCCAACTTCAAGATCACCAACAGCGGGTCGGCCCCGCAACCCTCCGAGTCGGATTGCGAGGATCATACCGTGACTGCGACTCAGACCGGCCCCTTCGCGGTGCCGACGAATGCTACCGGAGTCTCGAGCTTTGCCCCTATCGGAACTAACCCGGCGCACACCACCGGAGGCGCGCCCTCGCCGTCTGGAACGCTGCCTGTGGAGGCTGGAGCCAGCTTTAGCACGAGCTCCATGACCGGTGTGGTGGCTGCCTTGCTGGGCGGTGCGATGATGTTGATGCTCTAAGCTCGAGACGGAATGTTGTCGGGAATGTTGGGGGTTAATGATGGGAAAATGGGTATTGCCTAATGGTTCATTGCTGGATTCCACCTTTTAAAGGGCTTTTTTTTCTTGTCACTGGTCAGCGGTCCGGTATGGTGTTATTTGGGAGTTTTATCATGGGGTTGCGGCGCATGTAAGCTATAAGCTACGTACCTGAACACATGTCCCTGATTTTCTTTGCATGCATGAGGATGCAAGCGGGAACCATCCCGACGGAGACTCTTATTGGCAGTTTTTTAATCTTGTGATGGCATCGCTGAGGGTGATCCATGCAAATGCCGTGATGACGCCCTGGAGATCTCACTAGTGCTGTGTGGTCAAGTACTGAAAGTGATCATTCTCCGTTAAAAGATGCATTGCGGTTGCCAAGCCGAGGTCGAGATGGGACAAGCGATACCGTCCCAGACTTCCTAGATGATATTTTCCCCTCCCCTCCCATCTAAATGGCGAGGCAGACGAGAGTGAAAGGTCGGGTATATCCACTTTAGCTAAAGAGCCAAAGAGCCCTGGACAATCGTAGTCAGTGGGTACCTCTGATGTCCATATGAGATGTCTTGGAGAAATTGCAGAAGAGGAGGACATTGAGTCTTGGCTCGTAAACTTCAGCTTGGCAGGCTGTGGTGACCGCAGTAGTGTCGGCTTCCCAAGCGGTTTGGGTATGACTTCTTTCGACGGCCACTGCTGTCCTTCGTGTTGATGGTTGGATGCGGAACAGCTTCCCACACACATCTTGCCAAGCTTTCTCAGCCGTCATAATCGTACGAGTTTCAGGGCCACCCGCGATTATCATCCAGTGAGGCACCGTTCCGTGATGGTGATGAAGTGAAGCTGGACCACGGATCGTTATTGGGTCGACCTTTGAGGGTGGCAGATTGAGGTGTGAAGTGTTTTGTGGAGCTTTGTGTGGTTGCGTCGAACCGCCGCGGGGATCTCCCTTTAGCGGCCTCCACTAACCCAGCGGCCCCGGACTGCATTAGCCTTAGAGGGTCAGAGCGTGCCGTAAGCCCTGGGCCTTCAGGGGAATACTTGGCGGGACTCCACCTCATATGATCGACCGGCAGGGCGCGGACGATGCGATGCAACTGCAACATCATCTCGATGTCAACACGCGATGTATCCACGGGTCTATCGATGGGCAGGGGGGAATACTGTACCGACATGAACGCTAAAGGAACAGAGGCATCGTCCTCCGAGTTCGGCTAATCCAAGATTGTCAAATGTCAGGCACCGATGATGACCAAATCTTCGGGTCAAGTATAGGCACCTGCCAATTCCAAGTTAGCTCATTAACAGACGGCTAACGATTCGAAGAACATACCTTAGGATGGGTCGGTCAGACTCGGCGTTTTCTTTGCTTCTTCAGCCGCAACTGCAACTTCATTTCACTTGGCTCTGCTCGAGTGGCTTCACTAGGGGCGATGTTTCTGAACTCACCTGCTATGTCTTGACGTTTTGGCGTTCTGAATTCTCCGAGCTGCGACCGGTTAACGACCCAGCCAAGTTGTGCTGGCTTGTCTGCCTTTCGCGTCCATATGATGGGTTTCGGCATTTGAAAGCTGGCGACCTGGGAGGAAAGAATTACCTATTTCATCGAGTCGGAGTTTCCCGGCGCAGATCCATGTTTCAAACCAGCTTTACAGGACTGACAGAAACTTGGAAGTAGCTCGAGAGATCTTGTCTGCTGACAGAACATGGTGACAGACGGGAACATGGAAGAAACTGCCAGATCCCAACTCCCACTTTGAGAATTTTGTTCGCTAACGCACACCGAACCTCGAGAAGGCAAGAGCTCCTTCAAGTCTCACTCGCTCACCCGGGCACGCAGCATACAGTTGGTAACACAAGGAAGGGGTCGGGCCGCAGCTTCCACTTCCGCACAACAGAGTGCAAGCTGTAGTCTGGTGATAGCCCGCGCTAACAAGAGCCACCAAAACGCCATCATCTCACCTTGCAGCTGTTAGTGGCGTCTTCGATCCTGCAGTCTATCTGGTGGTTCCTTCCTTCTGCCTCACTTCAACTGTGAGTGTGCCATGAGGTGATGGTCCCAATGGGAAGGAACTGACGACAAGTTGTCTCACTCTCAGCCTCGAAGAGCTTGCCTCCACATTATCAAAATCCATGACCCTTCTTCAGTCTGGAGCCGAGTCACGCTGCCTTTCCTTGCTGACAAATTTCACTGATGCGGGAAAGGTACAATCCAACAAATCCATGTCATAGCCGACGGGGAGGGTTGCAATCTTCACCAATCATCAAATCTAATGGACTTTACCTCAATTTGGCAACCTCTGCCATTCTCCAGCCGTGTCATCTCACTCCCCATACCACTGTCTACAGCCTCATTTTATGTCTCACTTGCCCTTACCCTTCCAAGTGAAGAACGGATCCATACAACCCTGCGGACATCATCCCATTGCGCTTGGGACATGATCGCCCATGGGATTGCTACCTCATGAACACATTATCACAATGGGCAGAGATTAACTCCATGACGATCTCCAGTCCCTCGGCTTCAGCCAACTCAACGGTGCGCAAAGCCATGTCTATCTTACAATCCAGAGACGCTAACGGTGTGTTTCGACTTCGTTTGTCTTTGTCATTCAGTGCTTTGGGATTAACTCGGAGCAAACTCAGCTGTCTTGTGCTGAGCAACAGCTGGAAATACGGGCTACTACACTGACAATCCAGCACACCGGTAGTCGTTCAACGTCCGGACTCCTCCGCGGTCTCACTCGCCTCAGCATACCTCGATCTCTAACGGACTAGTTACTTCAACGTCATGATCTACCTACTCCGGCCCAGTCCAGCTGGCTGTGCAGATGCTTGTTCGGCTGTGTTGACGGTCCTCATGAAACCCAACAACAATCAAATCAAGAAGAGGCAACATCAGAGCAGTGTATCAGCTCATGGCCTTGATCACTGCTCGCCGATATTGTCATTTTTGAAGAATGAAGGGCTGAACCGGTCCAGGCTACAGCTTCTGACGACCGTGTCTATCGTCTTCCGATTTAGGTTGCGTTACAAGCTATTCTACCTTCACTCTACAGACAAGCGTCACCTCACGAGGTCAAGCCCATCTTCCAATTGGCCATTCGCCTTCACGACAGAGACTTGCTGCTATCGCCCGTGTTGGCAGTCGATAGCACTCCCAAGGATCAGGGCTCATGACCTTTTGGATGACAACATTGGACCAACGCTGTTCAGTCTGCCAATCAACGGGGCTAATATTGAGGACCATCCTACGCTACCTTAACCATGTAATCCATCCCACGCCATGGGGCTAAACTGAGACATTTACGCATACGGCATCACCTGGCGAAAGCTGTATCAAGATTATCTTGTAACAGAACACATCCGACAGGCAATGGTGCGTGAAGCAGACCATCACATGAAGCCGTTGCATTGATATCGCAACTGGGCCACTCTAGCAGCGTAACTCCGCGCTTCTGCTTCTTATCAGTATCAATAGGTCGGACGCTGACCCTTTGTGCTATCATCCCATTCACCAACTACCAAGCGTGGAGTGGACATCCCTAGAGTCGGTATAATAAGAAGCCGGGATACTTGTAGGTCAAAGTCAATGGGTATGTGCTGAATTTCGAAGATCCAGAAAGGAAACGATCAGCCAGGACAACGCTTGAGTGGTGAGGCTCTTCACCAGTCATAGATCCCATTATGCACTGCGGACTTCAACGCTAACAAACCAACAAGGTCTCTCATGTCCCTGTTGATCTTTGCCATGAGCACATGGGTACATCCGGATGTGTGCACCTGGATACCGGGGAGCAACATTGACCCACCCTTTTGGACAACACCCTCAGTCCAGATTCCCATTGGTCTCCGTTCCAATACATTTTCTCTGGCATTACATCCGGTAGCACTGAGAAACCTCCATGTGTGCTTGGATTTGGAGTCCATTGAGTTTCATTCGCTCTCCCAGAGCAACAGTTCGCCGTTCATCGTTCGTGACGCTGTCCTAGCTTCCGAATCTGGTAGCGGTCGACGTTACAGGCTGAGTGACTCCAGCCCTTGAGTCTATCCTTTTCCCTTCTGGTAGGTACTCCCTCGTGATGTTCAGCTTGTCGTGTTCATGGCGCTCTCAACATTGTGAGAAAACGTTATGCTGGCTCTCGGGGTATGATAGCCGCGCCATCGGATACGGGGAAGACACATCCGCACAGGATTCTCTCATAACCTAGGGAGGTCTCAGTTTTAGAGGTCAAGTCGTCTTCCAAGAGTATTTAAGACGGTCTAGATGCCCTCCTCCATGACACCAAGTGGACATAAATTCATAATCATCACATCACGCCATTACCATTGTCTTATTCACCATGAGCCGTCTCAATCTTCTCAACCGCCTTTCCAAGAAAGGACGAGAGCGTCGTGCTGTTACTACAATGAGTGATAGCACTAGACCATCATCAGAGGAGAAGACATCGTCCGAATATCCAGCTCTGACCTCCATCAACTGTAAGAGCACATTCGACCTAGCTACCTTTCCCCACATCGCTTCACTCACCCTCTGCAATTCCAGGAATTATGCATGTCAACTCGAGCTAACCTGAGCTAACATCTGGCGTACAGTCCCATTATCGGGCATCAAGCGTCTCACTTTGACTGAATCACCCTATGACAAGCCAGTGGAGATCATACGCAAAGAAGAGTATCCTCACATGAACAATGGTATGGCTCCCTACATTCTCATCCTCCATCTCTATCTCTCCTCGTTGTGCTCAGCTCCAGCCTAACGGTGACTAGGTATCTACCTCGACCACAGCGGCACTACCATCTACGCCCAATCGACCGTCAAGCTCTTCGCTCAAAAGATGAGCGCCAACCTTTACGGTAACCCCCACTCCGCCAACGAGCCCGCCAAGTTCTCCGGTGACATGGTCGACTCGGTACGCGAAAAGACCCTCCGTTTCCTCGGCGCCGACCCACGCCACTTCGACCTCGTTTTCGTCGCCAACGCCACTGCGGCCATCAAGCTTGTCGCCGACTGCTTCCGCGACCTCGCTGAGCAGACCCGCACCGGCTCCTTCTGGTACGGCTACCATCGTGACGCACACACCAGCCTTGTCGGCGTGCGTGAGTTGACTAAGGGGCCGCATAGCCACAAGTGCTTTGAGAGTGACGCCGAAGTCGAGGAGTGGATTGAGGGGAGGAATACCTTTGGTCAACCAGCTGGTAGTCTTGCTCTTTTTGCCTACCCCGGGCAGAGCAACCTCACGGGACGCAGACTGCCGCTCAACTGGACGGGCAGAATCCGACACGACAGGACCAAGAGGCTACGCAACACGTACACCCTTTTGGATGCTGCCGCATTGGCTATGACCAGCCCCATGTCTCACGTCTTCGAAGACCCTGATACCGCGCCGGACTTCACCTGCGTGTCATTCTACAAGATCTTTGGCTTTCCAGATGTGGGCGGCTTGATTGTTCGCAAGGACTCTGGCCATATTCTAGCACTGAGAAAATACTTTGGCGGAGGCACCGTCAGTTTGGTCAGCACCATCGGAAGCGCATGGCATGTAAGCAAGGGGTTGGAGACCAACACCCATGAGGATGGGAGCGAACACGTCGGCGGTCTACATGAGGGTCTGGAAGACGGGACGCTCCCCTTTCACAGCATCCTAGCGTTGGGCGAGGCAATCGATGTTCACAAAGAGTTGTTTGGAAGCATGGAGAATATTTCTACCCATACGTCGATGCTGGTAAGGAGACTGTATCAAGGGATGAAAGGGATGAGGTATGGCAATGGTCAACCGCTTTGCACGGTTTATCATTCTGGAGATGAAGACCTTTGGGAAAACGGGAAGGGGGATGAGGTGTATGGTAATGCGAGGGTGCAGGGTGCCACGGTGGCGTTTAACGTGTTCAGGGAGGATGGGACGTATGAGAGTTATGCAATGGTGGAGAAGATGGCGAATGATAGGGGGATTTATGTGAGGTCTGGTGGTGAGTTTGTCTTTACATGGTTCCATATCTGTGATGTGGGATACTGACGACGGATCTCTACATAGGCGTCTGCAACCCCGGGGGAGTTTTTACTGCACTTCACTACGAGCCGTGGCAGTTGAATAGGGCCAAGTCCGCTGGTCATCATTGTGGCTCTAACGGGTTGAGCGTTATCAACGAGCTTCCCACGGGGTAAGCCTATACACTCCCTGGTTTCCATTTTCCTTCCCACTTTTCCCTTTACCTCTTCTCCCCCTCTCTATCACCCCTTATCCCCTTTGTCTTACACCAAACCATACTAACCTCCCCTTCTTTGCCTCTCAGTATCGTCCGAGCAAGTCTAGGCGCCATGAGCACCACTCAAGACGTTGACGCCTTCCTCACGTTCCTCAGGGAGAATTTTCTGGAGAAAGGCCTCCCCGCGAAGAAATCCAATATCAAGAGAAAGAGGCAGCAAACCCAAAACTTGTTCAACAGCATCTCTTCTGCAGCTACAGCGACAGCCACTACAAAGCAGGGGGAAGGAACAGGGACAATGGTCACCTTGCCGCCGTCGCCGACGCCCACTTCCTTTCGGGAGGAAGGAGCATTGGTGATGAAGCCGAAGATGTTGGAGAGGGTCGGTAGTGCTATTTCTGTTTGAGGAAGGGAAAAGGGGTTGATGACTATCTTCTGGGATGCGGATTTGGTAACTGGGGAATAGGTTTAATGTTTCAATGGCGCGAGGGAGGCTGTCTGAGTGTTGGATTGGTGTTCGCGTTGGGAGCAATGCCATTTTCATTTTCCTTTTGGTTGTCCTTGTGCTTCTTTCCTTGCATTTCCCATTTCCTTCTTATTTCCTTGGGATATTGAGTTCCTAGTTTCTTGGGTGTCCTAGCTTGGTAGACCTTATACTCCTATCTATCACTCTGTATGCATTTTCCGTCTTATCGGTGATTGATCAGATAATAACTGAGAAATGTCAACATCGGCGACATGCGATTTGTTTTTTGAGAAACTCTATACACAACACACCTATGCTACAGGCACACACCTTTCTCCACCTCACATCTAACATCAAAATACCGGCGTTTTGAATAGCAAAATTAGTGGGCTTCTCAGTTTTACCCGACATGCCCGCTAAAAGCCAGTAAGTCGCAACCAATTTCCACGGTGTTTCGGGCTTTGACAGGATGCCCCTACTGATTGAGCTTTTGCCGTATCATGGCTGCTTCTTTTGTACCTGTTTGGCTTTTTTTGTCCGCCGACCGATCACAGAAACAAAATGTAACAAAAAGGTGCATGTCATGAAAGGTGTTGTCGAAAGAGAAGAGATTTTCTGCTTGCTAGTATGAAGATAATGAAGTCCAGCGTCATGACGCAAGGAAAGCATAAAAAAAAAGAACATACAAGTAAACTAGTGAAGAGTAGGGGTTGAGGTAAGGTCTACACCATAACCCCCAAGTATCCCGAAGACCAGCGATGAATGAAGACGAAAAAAAAAAAAAAAGTCGCAGGGCTTCCATATGCAAAGAACCGATTTCCAATGAAAGAAAAAAAGAAGCAAAAAGAGAATGTTGCGATGATCCGACCCAGGCTCGATCTGGGGACCTTCAGTGTGTTAGACTGACGTGATAACCAACTACACCATCGGACCAGTTGTTGTTTTCAGCGCTCTGATCCATGCCTTATATTGCTACGCTGGATATGGACCCACCGGCGTTAATTGCATGGAACGAAGGATAGAAACACAAGATAGATCTCTTGCCGTCGTGAACACTCTGCGATTATTAGATCATCGACAGCCCAAACCGACGGGATGTGGTTCACGAAGCGATGTTCACCGTTCGTATGACTCGTTGCTTATTTCGCACCACCATACCTACCTAGGCATGAGCTGGTCCGACCACCGGTAATAGCAAGGAAAAGATCAAAAAAAAAAAAAAAAAAAAACCAGAAAATCCAGCCAGACACACTCTAGTCCTATAGGCACACACCTTTCTATACAAAAACTTTACATTTGACAGCTTCTGAAAGTCCAGGACCCGCAATGACTGCTACGTTGGAGACCGGCGTTTTCGCACTGAAATTTTGAGCTTTGCGATGCACGATATATTACACGTCCAACGCGCTTTCCCCAATGAAATGAACCACCATCATCATCGCATCACCGCCGTCGCTAGCGCAAGACCCGGTATTCGTGTTCCTCTTCTTGCCTATTTCTCCCTTTGTTCTTCCTCGTTGGGACCCAAGCGGACACATTCAACTGTCCGCGACATGGCTGTGTGTTACTCATCATCGTAATCGTTTACCGGATGTAGAATCGATGTTCACGATCTTCCTTGTTGTTTCAACTCACTCCAGTAATAGTAATGTTCTGCCTAGGGTGATGCATACGTGCAAACATCGTAATCACCCAGCACCGTGTCTTGTTGGCTTTTCGGTGAGTGTCAAAATCGACTAGGCAGGGTAGAGCAGGGCATGGAAGCAACAAGCTTTTGTCTGGGGTCTCTGATCTGTGTACTGGCCGATGTCGATAGCATCCATCGCAGTCGAGGAGGTCCAACGGACTTCTTCCTTCGGCTGCTAATACGTAGTGCTGGATCGAATCGAGCGCAAGAAGGGAAAAGGAAAGGGAGGAGGAACGGGGGTGCGAAATCGTACATTACATGAACAAATGGTAGATTCTCTGTTGGGAGTGGAAGATGCCAAACCCCGGACCGGCTACCCGCAGCATCACATTGTAGGGTTAGGTAGGGGTAGGGTAACCTTTCCTTAATGGTTCTTGACCGGTTCGTTTCTTTTTGCGGAGTACGGAGATCTTTTCGACGTTTTTTTTCGATCGCGTTTGGGAGATGTTTGGGTGTTGGGAGGATCTGCCAACCGTAAACCACTACAAGCAGAAAAAAGAAAGGGCAAAAATGTGACAAGTCGTTCTGTCACCAACATCCCATCATCCAGGCAAGGGGGGCTGACGGCAAGGACAACGGTAGTCGCCCTGGACAGGTACCTGACATCTGCATGCCAAGCAAGGAAGGGGTTGTTTTCCAGTGAGCAAGGGAAGCTTTGTCGAAACGTCTTGTCTGGTCTGGCGTCATGCATGACATAAAAGGGGTCTTTTATTGCAGCCAGGCAGCTTCGACCGGAATCTCCCTTGCTTTTGTTAACATCAAGAGCATCGAAAAGAATGCTTACTATGGATTATGGGCGAAAACGGAGAAGAAGCAGACACGTATGAGGTAGATGAGTGCTGGTGTTGTCAGAGCAAAGTCTACAGCAACAAGGGGGCATGGCGAAAACAATAATCTTTCATGGACCAGTTGCAAAGACCGGTCATGGTGAATTGTGGTCCGCATGAAATGCTGCGATGGAGAGAGAGTCTATGATCCCATTCGCAAGTTCGCAAGTTCTTCAAGGGTTCTCAGGAATGTGTTTGCCCCGGTATTACGCATCTGTTGTTGGTTAAAGACTGCAGAACAGCCAAAAGAGAATTCGGGACCGAGAGAGGCAGGAGCCTGGCTTGCCTGGTTACGGTTTCTGTAGTTGTTGAATGATGAGGCGTTCAGATGTGGCCACTATCTCGTGTATGTTAGCTCTATCGTCGTCAAAACTACTCAAAGCAGTAGATTGATTGGACCTCCTTCTTGTGGTTCTCACCCATTCGGTCATCATCTTTCCTTTCTAGGAGCCACAACTTATGCCGGCTCTGCAACGTATCCCATAATAGCCAGATTATCGCACATAGATACAGTGCAGTGATACAGATGGTAGTCGGCTCGTAAGGTACTGTGTTAGACTGTCATCTTGGTGCCTCTTCTTTTGTTGTTTCCTTCGACAGGACTACATTGTAAGTCAGGGACAGCTTCCAGAGCAGATAGCGTTTCATCTAATGGCCCAGGAGATGCGATGGCAACATGCGATGTAACAAGTTGGAAGCAAGTGGAAGCGGTTTGTTAGTTCGCTGTTTTCGCCGGAAGTCCCGTTAACTCTGCTGCAATCGTAGGACGAATTGTCGACAAAAAGGGAAGGATTCCAGAACAACAGTTTCAGGATGTAGGGCTGTGGAATGAAAGTCGATGGAGAAGAAGCTCCAACACTCTCGCCCTTCGTTCTGCAAAGCTTCGGATAGTGTCAAACAAGCCCCGGGGGTTGTCGCGCCATCGGTATCAGCAGCATACTAGCTCGGACTAGCTCGGAAAGAGGTTTGTGCGGTGGTAATGTTTTCGAAATGCGCCAAGTATGCTCCTCGTGACGCAAGAAAACAAGCTTTGGCATTTGCTGCCGGAACGGCGACCATCGTCAGCGCAAAGGTAGATCAAAGAAGATATTGACCTGCAATAAGTCAATGCCCGCGATGTTAGGCGGACCGTCCACCGGCTTTGCAGAGGCCGTCTATGGCCTAATCGCCATGGAGTTGTATGGCCGCAAGCACGTATCAGGGTATTTTGGCTAAAGGGAAAATGTATTAGTATCGTTGTTCCAGTGACAATGTAGTGTAATTAAACCAGGACGACGCCGGACATGACCGTAGCTTGACACATGTAGCTGAATGGTTACGAGATGTATAATGGAAAGTGTATTGCTGGGATCTGGACTGTAGAAAGATCGCTTGATCGGAAATGCAGTGCTTGATTGCCGGTTACTGGATAATGTGCGAGGAAGAAACCGAGAGGAAAACATACTCGATAGAGTCGTCAGCGAACCCTTGTCATTGCCAAGGCTCGTCTGCCACACGCTCGAGGAAGGTGAACCGAAGATCCGACGATATTAAAGCGCTTGTATGGCCGTGCAGGAAACCCGCTCAAGTGCTCAAGGACCAAAGTGAGTGGATAGATGGTCAGGTTTCTGCGCGGATTTTGGTTTGCGAGGTGCGAGCACAGCCGGAGGTGGTTGATGGTGCTTTGGTGAAGAGATATCGCCAACATCAAGTCCTGGAGGTTTCGTCACCATTAGCGAGGCTTGTTACATTTTTCTAACGGCCACAAGCGCGCAAGAGCGTCTAATGCTTGGAAATACCGGAGCTGGCAGCCAGCCGCAGCGGCAAGTGGACAAACCTAAGCGTGCCGCCCTCGAGGTCATCGGGACAGCTAGGGCTGAGCGGAACAGGCCGTGTAGCGTCACGGTAGCCGTTGCAGGGTCGCGTTTTGCGGGAGGGCTCGGTGGGTTACCTGTCGCCTGCTGTGGTGCTGATGTGGACGTGTATGTATCTAGATGTGTCTCGTAGAATCAAGCCTCTTGGTTGTCTCACTGTCTTGCCGGCCATGTCGAGTTCGCCCAGCATACGAGGGTATACCTAGTCAATCGTGTGTGCATGTTGACTGTGTCCTTGAAGGTGCGAGGTTACTAATCAACATGTGTCTTGATATCAGCCAAAGACCAAACACTAGTAGGTATAGAGCTGTGCAAGGTTCTATGACACGGGGCATCGCCAAGTGGTCAGGTAATGGAATGAAAATCGCATGTCCCGCTCAATGTGATGAGGTTCGGACCCAGTTGTCGTCGGAGTGGAGGACGTCGCTAGTAACCCGAAAGTCTTGGTGGCGTACATTTCCTTTCGACAGAACTGATACCCGCATTGCAGAGATGCCCGATCGTTTCCAACGTAAGATACTGAAGCGACAGCTGATTTAGCCAGTAGAAATTATGTCGAGGGGTGAGAGTTGAGTGTCCTCGTTGGGTGTCACCCCACATCGAGTCCCAGACTTCACCATCGACATTGCGTCACACCGCAATCCAATTCATTCGCGCTCTTAGCTGTCGCCTGTCGGGGTGGCGTGGCGGTCTTGATTCCCTGAGGCAGGAGCACCTACCTCTTTAGCCACTGCTGTGTGAAAATTTTAAAAGAGAGATGAGGGGAAATTGTCGAGAGAAACCAGGGAGGGAAAGAGTGGTCGTCCATTCCACGTCCGATTCGGGCCGG